TTTAAGACATTTTATATATACATTGCTATGTAGCCTATGTTACATAGAGATCATTCTCTTGAAATAAAAAATGAAAAAGAAAAAGAAAAAGGTTGAGACTATACATTAACATTGTCATGTGTGTTTGTGTCAAACAGCCTCACGCGTGGTTGGATGGATGCTTGGAATAATTGCAGGCACCGCAGGCTCACCCTTTCCTAGGGTTTCTCCAATAATATACTTAACATTTAATTTTTTTAATTTGTTACTATATCTTATTTTTTCAGATGTACTAATATTATGTAAGGTTAGTTGACCAGATAAATAATGTATCAAGATTTATTTTTATAGATCAAGACAAACGACTTTAGTTATTGAAGCCCTTAAATATCATCGGTTCACACTTTACACTTAGCTCTTGTATCATTCAATGAAGCTCTCTCTTAAAAAACTTTCAAAGCCATTTTGTAATGAGATCTTTAATTGTAAAGTTGATTTCTTACAATGTATCAGCATTAATCGTTGACAAACTAAAACGGACTAACTATTTTTAACGACTAATTATTTCTTACAATGTATGGCGTAATTAACTACATATTAACGGCCTGAATTTGATACATGTAGTGGGTTCTTTTGTTTGATAAAAGAACTTAATACTCCAATTTGCTTTAATTAGTATATTGGTTACTTTTTTTTTTGGGGTCAAAATATTTTGATTACTTATGTATTCAAATTTTATGTAGAGTATGCAAATTTGTGCCATTAATTACCTTGAATGGTTTGTTTTATTATTGTCCTAACTCACATAAACGCGATTTATTTTAGTGAATTCGGAATATTAATGCAGTTGTACCCAATATTTCGGAAATAAGGAATTTAGCCTATTCGTAATCAACAAAAAAAGAAACTTATTTTCACAAGTAAACATATATATAGGCCACAAAAATAGATTGTCTATTTGTAGTCAAAACTTACAAATTCTTCAACTTTACTATTTAACTAATTCTACAATGTGAGATCAACAACCAGATGAAATTATTGCAATACCTCATGGAAAAAAAACTCTGATGAAACCTTCGCGGATGCGTAAACAAATGTGCAATTGAAACCACAATTTAATAAATAAAACTAATATTTAATTAACACAACTAGGTTATAAGTTCTAAAGGTAGGTCACAAGAGACGAGTTATATACATAGACAAATAGATTTATAAAATCGATATGAATGATTGAAAGGAAACAGAAACTATTGAGCCGTACGGGGAATGTAATAATTAGCTATCGATATTATTAACCATTTCCTTTTAAAAAACAAAGGAGCTGCACTGATGTGAACACAGACGGCATCCTCGAAAAAAGTGCTGTGACATGACAAACATTTGTACTGGAAAAATACAAATCGAACACTAGAACGGAATCAGAGGGTCACCAAAATATCTATCAACGGAATATATTGCAAACCACAAGAAGACGCATGTGTACAGTTTAGTGAGGTACCTTCTAATCTTCTCCACACGATGGAGCAATTAACAGAGACTTCTACAAAACAAGCTCAACACAATTTAATTGGCACCATAACATAATTAGAAAATATGTGTATGTATAGGAGGATATGCATGGCTCCTCATACGCCATCCACGGAGGTCATCGATACTCGATGAGCTATGTGTATGGCATACAGGGAGCCAGGCATATATGTAGTACATGTGCATATGATATCTGTCTATATGAGCCATGATGTGTATAGATGCTATGTATGGAAACTATTAACTAAAACAAATGTCCTAATTCTATTTTTAAGTAATGCTCTCTAGCTCCACCTGGACATGCATGAACAGATATAAGCAATAAATAAGGAGGAATAGAAACAATCTAATGTGTGGATTGTGATTTGCATGTACGAAAATAGAATTGAAGAGATCTTTTGTATTCTCTCTCTTCTGGAAAAATTGAGGTTACTGTTCTTGAATCCCTCTAGATGACGATTTGTTGAAAAGACAAAAGAGAAAGATGAGAATCAACAATCAAAATATGGGTGGTGAGATTGGGGATCCAGAGAGAGATCGAGAGAGAGAGAGAGAGAAAGAGAGATATTGAAGGTGATTGTGAGAGGTGGAGAAATGGTTTATATAAAACAATTAAGAGTGGGGGTGAGAGAGATACAGATGGGTATATATATATATGTGCGTATATATACATATATGTAGACAAGAGGCAATCAAATTAAAGGAGAGGTGTTTGGGTCAAAAAGATAAAAATAACACATGAAAATGAAAAATGAAAAAAAAAAAAGGAGCAAAGGGAAAAAGAAAGACCCACAAGAAACCCTAAGGAAAGGGCAAAAAAGAAGGGGTAAAGGCAAATGCTAAAGTTAGGGCATAAATATTTATTTTTGGTTAATTTGTTTAGTCTTTTGAGAGTGAAACAAGGATTGCTTGTGGGGTTGCTTTTGCATCTCATCCTCTCACCCCTCACTAAGTATAGACATCCATGACATCAATACACATCACCATCCTTATCACACATGCATGAGCATGAGAGATACATCATGGTGGTGGTGGGTATGATTAAGTGAGAAGGAAGGAAATTTCGCAGGACATAATTAAAGGAATAGGAGAGAGAAAAATATAAGAACCCTAAAAGAGAAGAGAGTGTGTTTGAAATCTCCTTTTCTGAGTCTGGTGGTCATCAAAAAGCTAAAGGTTGCTTTTCTCTTCTCTGAAGCTCATTTTGTCTGCAAGTGCTTGGATACACATGGATTCCTCTATCTCCTCCACCTTTTTCCACACTCCAATTTTTATTATTATCATTTCAATTCCGAATATACTATATAGATATTCATTTTATATTTAGTTATTTCTTCCTCTATTTGCATTTCTTTCATATATTGGGTATATGCATATATATTTTTTTCACATATAAAGCTATTATTAAGCGGGAAATATGGTACACCTCATATCTGTTGTCTACTGTAATAATGTAACAACAAACCATGAAAAGAAAGGTCACGACCCATAATCTTGCGACTAATTAATAATTTACATGCACTACTATTTAGTGAGAGGACATTGCCTTTAAGAAAGTATATAGAGAAGTGAAGTAATTGTTTAAACTTTAAACTAAGATTCTCTCTTTGACGCTTCTGTTTAGACTAAGGAACAATCCATAGTGTTTACTACCTAATCCTTGCTGTACTTTTGTCTACCCACCAATTATCACATGTCTTTATAAAATATATGCATGCGCAAGCACCCTTATATAACATATTTTCATATTTTGCTGTGTGTTTCTATGTGTGTGAGTTGTACGTAGATTTATTCGCTCACACGTATCTATAGAATGAATAATGGTAAGTTTGTGGACCATCTGCATCGGGCGTATCCTGTGAATCTATTTTCTCAAATATTTGGTTCTAGTAAATAAGTTGCATTCAAACAAAAAAAGGTAAAAAAAAGTTGCATTCATGTTAGAAGTCAAGTAGTAGTGTGTACATCATTGATCACTCTAAAGACTTGGGAGCTATATTAGATTTTTTATACGAACCACAAAGGTTCTTAATTGTTTTCAGTTACGGTTCGAATTTTTTTAAGTATTAGTGTTGTTAAGGTTTGCATAATTGAATATGTTGATCTTATGATGTAAATGGTGGCCGCATTTAGTATGCTGGTTATATAGTAAACAAAATAATCGTCTTTACAATGTTAGATCACGATTCACCAAAAAATTACAAGTATTAGATCACGATCACAAACAAAAGCATTTTCCCGTTATAGCTCCACGGTCTTTGTTCCACGGTAATTAGATATATATGTCATAGTGACATTGTGAAAGTAGTGTTTGGTGGTGTAGACTTGATTATTCTCACCAAACATACGATGGAATTATTTTTGTTACCCAAGATAAACAATCACTCCAAGCAGAATAACTAGGTGGCAACTAATCAATCCACACACCCTATTTCTTTTATATAATCTTTATAATCCAAAAGACATAGTATTGATGAGATTATATTGAAAACTATATTTAATTGTTCAGCTTATATTATTTCTACCAAAATGGTGACCTTTTCTAGCCTCTACTTGGTTGATTTTACCCAAACTATAAACATCTGATATACTTGGTCGATTTTGCCCAATTTCGCAAGCATCTCTTCTTAATAAGTCGAGTATAGGCCATATAATTCGTATCCATGTTTTATCAATTCAATGTCTCTCATCATAAAATTCATCTATAACAAATAAAAAGTTGAAAAGAGAGAAACTGAAAAACTTCTATCATTCCCTCCACTTGTTTATACTTGTATATCTAACAAACTTTAATTATATTGCACTTTAAATTATAAAGAAATATTCTTAACATATTTAATCAGGCTTTTGGATGCCAAGAAAACTTGATTTAGCCTAAGCAAATGTTTACTGAATATAAGTTTGTCTGCTGCACAATCTGGAGGACTAGTGTAAACAAATTATTCAAAGAAGTTTTGGTATTCAAAACTATATATGTTGGAATCAGTTTTAAAACTTGTTTATTAGTTTGAACAGTGAAGCTAGCCAATAGATATAAGCGTAGGAGATTGGTCTAATGGTCAGATCACTTCAATATCTTAATATAAATGATTCATCTCATAAATTGAAAACAAGAGCAGATACAATGGTTGAAAACTTGAAATTCGTTGTTATGACCCTACTAGCTCAGGCTTTATAATTTTGACCCCTTTGACCTTTTATTGGCCCATGAGGCCATGACACTTTTCTTTGGGTCGACATGATTATTATTTTAAATATTCCCTTGTGTTTAAACCTCGATTCAACATAGCCTAACATCTTTAATTATATGAGTGAATTAAATAATATTCTCTAAAGGTGAAGGATGAATCTTGTAAAAAGAAATTACAAACGATTTCTGATTTCTGACCGAATGGTTTACCATCCAAACGTGCGAGGTAAGAGACAAGCACGTGCGAACGATGACGTGGGCACAAAACGAAGACCTTACTTTTTTGGGGATTAAATTATTGTCTTCTTCCTTGTGCCAAATTTTGTCTGCACTTTACCGTGAGCTCAAAAAATTTTGTTTTTTTTTTGTTATCCCTTTGATCAGAATCAGATGATAGGAGGAACACATCAGGAGACACACGACGATTCCAATTCCTCATTGACAGATAAATTAATCATCCAAGAAGCCGATTACAACCGATTCCCCTCATTTTTCTCTGCTCCGTCGTCATCTAGGGTTTCCTGTAAGCTCCTCTTTCTTTTCTTATGTCGCAGTCTCGATTTTAGTATTGTGATGAACCTTTCTCTATCTGGGTGAATTTGATTCTTATCGAGACCAGCTTATAAAATTGGGGGTTTTCATGTCGCTTCTAATTGGATATAATTTGAACATTGAGCTTTAAATAGACCGTTTGATTCATTGAGCTTTGATGATTCTTATGGAGCAAAATTGAATCTTTTTGTAATTCAATCCGTTGGTAAAATATAAGACGTTGTCTGAATGGTACCAGATGGTTCGTGTAGTAGTCAAAGTGACAGGACATGGTTCTGTTTCTACATTAGTCCGCAACACAAAATGATTGATTAGAGGTTCTCTTTAGTCTTTTGTTAACCTCATCTTCTCTTGAATCGCTTGTGAATCTTTTAGTTTGCATCAGATTCCTTGTAAACATCTCAAAGACCTCTCTTTGAGCAATAGTGATATCTCATTCCAATCGGTTCTCGTTAACACTTACTGCTTTGATGCATCATCTAGGCTCAAAAAGAAAGAACGTGTAGCTGAAAACTTGATCTTGTTCTATTTGTTTCGATTGGACCACTTGTGCGCTAGTGTTTTTCTTTGTTACTGTCGGTTTCAGAGACCCTAAAATGTTGGAAATTCTTGGTCTTTCTTTGACAGAATGCATGAGTTCTCTACCGTTGATGGTTTTGCGGAGATAAACGAGAGTTTAGCAGAGATGATAAAGTACATTGCAAACGAACCTTCGGTGGGTCTTTACTACATCCAGCAGCACGTCCGAAACGCAGCACCGAACGTCCTTAACCTCAACCGCAGCGTTTTGGAAAAGTCACGTGAAACGCTTCTGCATACTGAAGACTTGGAAGATTCTATATCCATGGTGAGATCAATGAAAGACTGTGGTTCCTCTATTGCTGATGAGATGATAGGAGACATCAAGAAATCTTTAGCGACAATGTCTTCGAAACAACCGAGGAGAGGGCTAATCCTCAACTCCACCAGCCCTTGGAGCAGTATGACGACAATCACAACCGCAGCACGTGGCTCTGATTACAGCAGCCAGGATAATAGCGAGAGCAGCAGCTATTTCACGTCGGTGTTTAAGACGGCTAAGGAGAGAGCGAGCAACATCAAATGGCCACAACTTGACTTCAAAGAAGAGAAGGTAGAGTCCAGCCCCAATGTGGAAAGCAATGAGCTAGTAGAAGAAGAAGGAGAAGAAGAAGAAGTGTTGAGGAAAGGTGAACATATGGTGGAGACAGCAAAGTTCGAGGAGTTTAAGGCGGGTAAAGAAGCAAGTCTCAAGGCATGGCTTGGAGATATGGATGGGAATGCAGATGTTGGTGGACGTGCTGCCGAGAGGATTTAGGGTTTTGTGTAATAGTGTTTGTGGGTGGTTTTACAATACTGAACTTTTTTGTTGGTCAATACAGAGTTTTGCAAATGTTATATATATACTGCCCTTAGACCATCTCCAATTTAAGCCAATAAAACTTAAATTACAAAAAAGATTAAATAATATAAACTAATGTGATTTTTTTAGCTTATTCAGAGCTTTGTTCTGCATAAAGAGAATTATGAAGAGAATCAGGCGAATTGTATCTTGCACTTGGAAGAAGCTGGAGGGAGGAGCTTCATTACTTCATTGGTGAGCTGCAAGTACTTGTCTTGCTCATCCACTTGAACCCCAAGTTTCAACACTTCAAGACACCTCAAATTCTCCATGAAATGCCGCATCTGTTTCACTTCTCTACAGCTTCCTCCATACTCATATATCTTCAGCACCTTCACTTGACACGACAGTAAACAACAACTACTCTTCATCTTCATGCTCATCTTCTCATGAATGCAGACGCATGCGTCCCCACATTCATTAGTGATCTCGTGCACAAGACCCTGAAAGGAATACACAACCCAAACAATTAAAAAAAAGAGAATGATTTAACATATCCAAGTATTTTTAAGATGTAGTTTTTTTTTAATACCTTGATGACTAATGTTTCTAGTTTGGGAGATTTCTTGAGCAGAAGTGGCAACACTTGCCAACCCCGTTCCTTGTGGCTCTCAAAAGATAAGTTAACGAGGTTGTTGAACTCGGGCATAGAACTACAGCAGAAATAAAACACCTGATGAACAACCAAACAAGTGAGTAGACTAAGTCGTGACTCTGTAAAACGAAACAAAGTAGAGAGAGAGAGAGAGAGAGAGAGGGAGGGAGGAGGAAACTGACCTCAAGAGAATCAGCAGACAAGTGAAGGGTCACAACATTCCTTACGGCTGCAATGAGTTTGGTTGCATCACCCCAGACACGAGGACCATACACGCGCATCTCTGGATATGGAGGGACGTAATACTTCCATAATCGAAGATCCAGCCTAGCTTCGACAAGGGAATCATCGAATTCAAGGATATAATCTTTTGCGACAAAACTAGAGTAGTCAAGGAACACAAGATTGGGTGTCCTGATGGTAAAGAGGGAGTGGTAATCTCGATCACCACCGCGGTAAAAAATCGTCATTCTCTTGATGGATGAACCCCAAACCACCCCTAACCAACCTGGCCTAAGAGGATCGTCATCGCGTATGTTAAACTCTTCAAGAGAGGGGCTACTTAAGAGCCATTCATACATCTCATAGGATCCAAAGGCAACCGAAGAGAGGGAGAGAGTTTTGAGCGCTGGGAAAAACACACCCCCAGGAGGACGGCTTCCTTGGGGATAACATCCATTGGAGAGTGCGAGGCTCACCAGGGTCTTGCTCAAGAAGAACTCCGTCTCTATGCATTGGCTGAACCGTGATGTCAAGTGTAGCTCCAAGACTCCACGTTCCAGAAGTTTGTAAACCAAGCGGTTGACACGAGACTCGTCGATCCCAGATTCCCACTTCAAAGAGAACTTTTTGATGGGAGAGTCGCGTTCGCAGAGCAGAGCAACCGTTTTCTCCACGAAATCAATGAAGCCGCTTGGACCAGTTGATGATGCTTTTCTGTTGGGGTACAGGACCATGGACTCGTCGAAATCAAGGTTGTGAACCAGAGGAACCACATGTCTCCATCGCTTTGAGAGAACTGATGTGGAAGCAGCAGTTTTGGTAGGGAGCAAAGACAGAATCTGGCCAAGAACCTCATCCGGTAGGCTGTTGATTGAGTTTCCAGAAGCAGTTGCCACCTTTTTGGCTGCCATGTCCGTACAACTGTACCTGCAAACCAGAGTCAGTTGTCTGAATATCAAAATATTGACAAATTGCAAAAGAAAAAAACACTAGCGAATTACACAGTTAGTGATTTTATCATACGAGCACAACTCAAATCACCGACCAGCGGCATAAAACAATCGTAGATCCATCAGATCAAAAGAGACGCATACAAATAATCAGGGAGCCAGACTGAACACAAAAGCAAGAAGATTTAGATCCAGAGAGAAGGGAAGTAGATACCTTGTAAGGAAAGAAACCGAGACACACGAACAAGACCGAAACTTGTTGACTTGATCCAGACGAAAGAGATCGAAAGTTGTGTTTTTCTTCTCTATCTATTTGTGTACATATATTATCCGCACGGGAGATTTGTTAACAAACAAGAAATAGGAATATGTATATCTAATAAGGTATATCAAAATTTTTATATATATATTTCAATAAAAAAGGAAAATAAAGAAGAATGAAGAAGAATGAAAGGCTTTAACTGATAAAATAAAAGGAATAGATTTATTTGGAATAAAAAAAATATAAAATGAAATGAAAATTGTATTCCATTAATTTTTTAGCATTTTTAAAGTGGAATAATTTTTCAAAGAGATATGTTTTTTCTTTTGTGGAATGATTTTGATTTTTATTCTTTATAACTAATAACAATTTTATAGAATTTCATGCAATTCTTCATTTCACATAATTTTTATTCCTAAAATTTATAATCTAATTACAGCCGAAGAAAACTGAAAAAGAATCAAAGAAGAATCCAACGAAAACTAAAATAGAATCCAACAGGTTGACATAAAAAAGTTGTTAAACACTTAATAGTTAACAATTTAAGTGATTGGCAATTAAAATAGTGTTGAGAGTTTAATTACTTAATTCTTTTTATATGCCTCTTGTAGATGAGGCAGTGCAACTGTTCAGCTGGTTCAACTAGTTTTGAGTATACATATATACTTCAGCCTCAGGCATCTTCGAGCCTTCTGATTATGAATAGCATGAGAGTATCCACAATCACAATAGCTTGAGAGTATGCACTATCGCAATCCACATCAAATTCGTTGACCTCATAATGATGATAAAACTTTTTTATGTAAAAAGTTTCATGGTTCAAAACTAAGTAGTAGTATTGATTTAGTTGCCATTGATATTAAAAGTTCATTCTAATGTATAAAATGGGTGGATAACCATAACTGAACATTCAGTCTCGAAATTTCTTATTTAGGAGATAGTTCGAGATTTCTCATTTAGGAGATAGTTTCAGTTGATAAATCCTAAAAAAATATAGATCAAAAGTAGTACAATTATTATAACAAAAACATAGAAAAGTGAAAATAGACAACTTTTGAAACTTTATCATCTATCTTCACACCTCTATATTTTGAGCTGAATAAAAATTTCCACAAAATAAAAAATTATTAAAAAATATTGATATAAATTGGTGAAATAAAATAAATTGATATAATTTTATCATTTATTGAAGAAAAAGTAATATAATCTAAATAATTGTGATACAAACTCAGAATTAGCGATCTCAATTTGCCAAAATAATTGATTTTAATAATCCTCACCTTATTTCTGTGTTTTTATCATAATAATAGTGCTAATCCTCATCTAATCTAAATAATTGTAAAATTTTATTTAATAAATTCAAACAATCCTTTTTAAGATCGTTATATGCATAAAAAATGGATATGTGAATCCGACTTTTAAAATATAGATCATGTTTTTGATTATCTAACTGGATAAGAAAAAATTATGTTGTAAATAGAAATGCTTGTTACGTTTGAAAACTAAAATTTATAGTAAAGTAATTGTGAAAAATACAAATATTAACCGATAATAGCAATTAAATGTCAAAATTTATGATTAATAAAAGGATTGTTTGGTTTAAAAGAGTTGATTGGCATAAAAAAGTTATATGCAATTAATAAAGTAGAATGCGATAGAAATTAGTTAATTGGCAATTAGATAGTGTTATGATTAAAAAAAAACACATTAGCAAAATATTTCCAGGTTAGATATCATTTTTTAATAATTAGTTTTGTTATTCTCTTGTTCTTAAATATATTGCATCATCTTCTTAGGGAAAAAAAAATATATAGTTTAAGATAAAGTTTCTTATTTCACACCTATAAGAACATCAACAATCTCTAATGTCTCTTCTCAATCTGAAAACTAACAATTAGAATCCATAAATTAAACTATGAGCCGTAAAAATTCTCCTAATCATATTAGAAAACAAAGAAGAAGAATTCTCCCTACTACGACTAAGTTCTTATTGAAGAACATAAAATAGAAGAGTAAAATCCAAAGGCACGCAGAAATAAATGTACATATTCAATTCTTCCAGCCCATTGCCTTTAGCTCGCTCTGCTTCAAATCCACATGCTTCCCTAGCCTGTGGCGATAATCAACATACGATCACATAATGAAAATACTTGTGCAACTTTCACTTAAACAACCAACAAAATCATCTAATCTCCTCCACACATTCCTATCAAATACTTAGCAACTTTCACTCAAACAGCCAAACAGTATTGATGGGAAACTGAAAAGGAAAACATAAACAAAAGATAAAGCCGTTAAGCACAGAACATTACCCAAGATCCGAAGGAAGCCTGAATCCACCTATACGGACACGCTTCAATGAGTAAACCTGAACCAAGTCAAGGCAACAACAATTTAGCCATTTGAAAGGAAACATTAGAGTGAGACAACCCTTGGAAACAGATCATGCATAAGAATGAAAGCTGACCTCAAGCCCAGCATTTTTCACTATTTCTCTGACTTCATGGTTCCTCCCTTCGTGAACCTGCACAAAAGAAGTTAAATTCTGCTGAAATAACCATGCAACCAACATCATTTAAGTTAGATAATGTAACGTGTTTGATTTACCAAATCACAAGATATCAGATCAAAAGATTACAACACTATTTTTAGTGAGGCTTAAACAAGGCATATGTATCAATAAAATTTTACGAACCTAGTTTTAAGCTCGGTCAAAACTCTCACAGACAGAAACAAACATAATCCTAGAGTCTAAATAATGTGCGTGGAGATACTTTGTCGTGCCTAGGCTTTTGCTAATTCCCAATGCAATCAAGACATAGGTAATCTAATTTTCAGACATCTGAGAAAGCTTTTGGGAATAATACCACAATACGTAGCCGTGCTCTTGGTATATCATGCTGCTTTGGCATCAACTCAACTGAATCTGGGACACAGTGGACTCCTTCCACAACTGTTCCTTCGCTGATGGCCATCAAGTGCCGTTTGTGGACTTCACCGACAACCGTAGTAATATACCTGCCGTTTCACACAAAAAAAAAGACAGAGAATTAGAACATGATCAACACACAAAACCTTTGAACTATTGAGATGAAACATATATGTTCAAGGAAAGAATCAGTGCTTGAGTGAAAAACAACAAAGTGGAGGCAGCTAAAGCTCACAAAATAACTCCTGTATTTTCACTAAGAAGCATATAAAACGAACTTAGCCCTTCTCTTTAATCTTTTATTCAACTAAAACTTCAGTATACTAATGATGATCACCTAACTATGAGTAGCAATGGTATGTAAAAAAGGTATATGAGAGCGAGCTCACTCTTTTGGTAAACTAGATGAAGGATGTGAAAGCTTCTGTGCAAAATCTCCTGCATAACGAGAAGTTGAAATCCATTTTAGAAGAGTGGAAGAGAAACGTAGTTCCCTGAAGCAAATGCACATGGTGTTAAGTGAGTACAGTTACCATCATTTGTAACTATTATTAACCCTGTTGTGGCAACATCAAGACGACCAACAGTGAAAAGCCGAGGTTTGGGAGTCCCTGGATTCCTTTTGTCCTACATTGCACAGACAAGATTCAAAAAAACCAACTTTCTAATCCAACACTTTGAAAAGGACATATGATTGTGGTGAAACTCGCAATGTAACATATATTACCCAACTGGCCAAGAAATCGTCAAACAAGCTAATAACAGATTTGATCTCTTTCTCTCCGGAAGAACATATGTATCTGCAATGGTGTTGATCCCAAATAACAAACAAAGGTTATAACTTTAAGTCTGTGAAACAAAAAAAACCATAAAAGAGTGAAGAAGCTATAAAGGTGAGAACTGAGAAGAGGTTATGACGAACCCTTTTGGCTTGTTCAGAGCAAGATAAACCTTTGGAGGAAGTTTCTTGGGGATACGATTCCCATTAACATAGATAATGTCTCTCGATGGATCGACTCGAGTCTGCATAAACGAAACTGCTATGGCTTTATCAAAGTATGAATTTATCAAATATTATCCCAACAAAGGAGAGATTTTTACCTGTGGAGTGGTACAGAGAGAACCATTGACAGTAACTTTTCCATCAAAAATAAGCTCTTCAGAGGTTCTTCTCGATGCCACTATCATTACATTACAAAATTTCCATCATTTGGAGAAAATTTTCAAAGTTGAAACAGAGGAGATGGATTATCGGCGATGTTTTACCTCCAGCGGCAGCGAGAACCTTGCTCAAACGCTGAGGTGGGTCTTTGAAATTCTCGTTGTAATACCTACGCGCCGCTTTGGAGAGCTTTGGCTCTGAGTGTGAAGCCAGAGAGGCGGAGGCGGATGCAGCGGCGGAGGCGGAGGCGGGTTGTGGCTTCTTCTTCTTGGGCTTCTCTTTCTTCTTTGGGTTCTGAGTGGTGGCATCTTGGGCGAGAGCGTGGATTAGCTGGGCGGGAGGCTGAGACTGGACTTTGAGCTTGCCGTCTTCACCACGGACGATCCAAGGGATGAAGAGCTGCTGGAATACGCCGCCGTCGCCACCGCCGCGAGTGGAGGAAGGTGTGGGTTTAGGAGGAGCGAAGGAGATGTCGAACTCGATGGGCTCAGAGGATGATGAGGAAGAGAGAGCGCAACGGATTGTTCGGATGGGTAAGAAGCGAGGAGAGAGAGGGAATGATTTGATTCGGAGGAAAGAGGCGGCGAATGAAATCGGCGATGATGCCACCGACGCCATTTTCGCCGATGAAGAGATAGATAGAGAGAAATACACGGTGTGGGCTTTTTCCGTAGGGGTTTGGGTTTTATCCTTATTAAAAATTAAATTATTAGTTTTAAGGTAGAGTTAGTGTTAATTGTAAACTGTTAAGAATAAGCTGTTCGAAAACAAAAGTATGAAACTAAAATCAAACCGTATAATCTATTAATCTTCTATGTCGTATTGTCTGTACGTGTTGTTGTTTGCTTTTGGTAGAAATCTATACGGCTCAAAATTAGAGTGAGGAATGCCTTAAGACAAATTTAGGGAGCTAATTAGAATTTCAAACGCTGTAAATTATATATTTTTTGAATAATCAGATTGGCTAATTAGATATATAAGGTTTTAGAATCACTGAGGAGCTAGTCGCCTAGTCGGTTGCACAATGGATTTTAAGCTAATCAATTTGGTAGTTTTGGTTTTGCGAACTACTAACGAAGCAATCACAGAACATTAAACCAAACATGAAAGCACTAAAGCAAATGAAAAGTAAGAACAATACAGGCACGAAGAGGTGAGTTATTTTGTTAAAAAAGTCTAAGCATTGGGTCAAAAAGATTAATTGTAAGGTATTGAGGATAAAGGAAACACAAGTAAATCTACACAACTTCGCACCATAGACACGCATAACATTTTATGGTTACAGGCAATTTCTTTCAAGAACAAGAATCATCACTAGAATACAAAAATGTAGGGCACTATGTTGATGATTGCGAGTGGTAAACAGATAACTCATCCCAAAATAAAAGAGGGAGATAATAATTTATAATAGTACATCGAATCAATGATTAATATGTATGCGAAATGTTTGTGAGCATGATCTTCTCCTTTTTTATATACTCAAGAACAAAACAACAACGAACCATGTGGGGATGAAGATATATGTCGATGGAAGCGGAGAATCAACAAAGGGAGATCAAATGTGCACATGTTTTTGAGTTATCGTTTCAAAAGATAAGTCCAATTGAACAGATAATGAGATCTGCGACATCATGTGATTCTGTTCTTACGATTGAGAGATTTTTTTTATCTTCGTATACTATACGCATGTTATAGCTCAACGTCAAATCAACTACTGTACCAAATATTGTTTCTCATGCTAATCTTAGCTCTTCTTACGTTTTAATTACGACCGTAACAAGATATAATCTTATTTCTATTGCTATATTTTCTTAAATCATTTTTGTAGTTTTTTTTATGACGCTTAGGTCCATAATTCTTTGTTGAATCAGAGACTTAAGCAAATTAATTAGTCTTTCTCCACTGTTAGCATTAATAATTTAAATTATCTGCCGACCAAGATATGGTTGCCTTAAAATAAAGAACGTCTTAAACCCTTTATTAAAAAATAAAAATAAAGAAAGTCATAGTCAAATTATATTTGGAAATGACATAAACGACCCTTCGATCCTGCTAATGTGTCATCTTTTTTATATTTGTGTAGATTAATGACATTTTCTTGTCTAAAGCGAAGAGCCGTAGACAAAAAGAAACAAAAAAAATTGACGTCGACACAAAAATAAAAGATATAATCTCTAAGTGAAGCTGCTAAAACCTCAAACAATCTCACTTTCACGGCTGACCACTTGTGTTTACAAGTGACAACTCGTCGTTATCCAGTCACCTCCTTGTTTGTTCTAACGAGGGTGTTCTTGTCTTTTTGATTTACTGCTCATCGGCGCGTGTACACACACGCCTGATATTGTAAGAGCGCTTTTTTTAACTGGTTTTTCAAGAAATCAATAATTTGTATTTTGTTTTTGGTTTTCTTATTATTCGTCTTCGTTATTTCATTCAATTAATAATAATATCAACAAAGAGCTAAATAGCTAAGGCATCCGGAAACGAATATTAGTTTTTTGTTTGGTTGTTAGTGACATACAAATTTGAATGTAGATATTTGTTGTTGTATGATATATATATAATATATCATACTTCATAAAAAATTACATTTAATATATGCATATAAAGTTTTCATTAATATAGTTCTGTATAAATATGTTTAATTTATTATAATGACTAATTTGCACAAAATATTAATTTGTTATTTATCGTATGCAACTCACACATGTACACTTCCGTTTCTAGAATCCAAATTATGATACCACAACAATACTAGTAATCATTTCCCAAAACTAATTCTTTGGGAATGTATAGAATCAAATCTTTGAAAGTATTTTGGTTTTGATGAGTAGTATTAAGAGAATTTTGGGTTATTTAGGAAAGTTTGAATGGGTTGTTATTAAAATTCAATGGAATCTTTCATAAACTATAATATTTGAATCTTTGTATTGCTGACTAAGAAATTCCAAAAATACTTTAAAGTTACTACAACTTTCATAAAATCTTGGTCATAATATTTTTATTTGAAAATATATTTCCAAATTAATAGTTCAAAAAACACTATATTTAGAATTTTTTTTTGTAATTTTTGATGTTTTGAATAACATATAGTTTACCATTTTAATAAAAATCGTTCCTAATTTTAGTAGTCCATGATTTGTCATTTTTCTAAATTTAAAATGATTTTTGTTAATAGTTAATACATGAATTAATTTGAAAAGACGAGTACACTATCACACTCCGTAGTTAATAAATGAAATGTGAATAAGAATAACTAAAAAAGAGTTACCTTCTAAAATATTTTCATTTTTTAAATTAAAATGCCACTTTGTAAATTGTAGGTCTACAGAGAAAAAGCCGCTCTCTCTCCCTCCTTCCCTCGTTCGTTCTCTTCCACTCTCCTCTCTATATCCTACACACAGCTCTCTCTCTCTCTCTCTCTCTCTCTCTCTCTCTCTCTCTAGCAATTCTGATCCGAAGCTCCAATATTGATTGTATCCCAGGAAAAATCTCCAGGTAACACCGAAGTCTACAACAAAAGTTCTCATTTCTGATTTTTTTTTTTTCTGTTTCTGCGAATCAATTTTAACTACGCAGAGGCAGAGCACATCTTCTTCGATCCTCCTACGATAAATGATTTTTTTTTCTTAATTTTTGTCCCCTAATGTGTATGTTTGATGTTGAACGAATTCTTTCCGCAGCCGATGCAATCTTAAATTCTCTCAAAATTCCGACAATCTTACTAATGTTATTCTTGTTTGGTCTGTTTTGATCTGGGACTCAATATTTAAAGCTCGATTCTTTTTTTTAGGTGAAGAATCCTGTTTTCAGAACAGAACAGAGTCTGTTGACTTTAGAGGTTAGATCTCTAGCTGATAATCTGCATTCGGATTCGATTGTTCTCATTTCTGAATTTAATTTTTTTTTTCAACGAATCAATCAGATTTCACTAGGAGAAGGATAAGGATTTCGAAAAAAAAAAATGAATCACGTACCTTCTGATCAGAGTTTTTACATTGAGAGCGAGGATGAAGATGAAAGGAAAGATTACGAAGAGGAAGAAGATGGTGGAAGCCATTCTGATTCCTCTGATGCTTATGATGAAAACCAGATGCAGAATAAGCCAAACTCATACACCACGGCTTGGCCACAGAGTTACAGGTCCATATCATCATCTTTCTCTCTATCTATCCATATTTTCAATTATTTGTGATTCGGCCACAAAGTTTATGTTTTTGCACAAATTGGTCCAGAGGAATAGGCAATTCTTGGTTGATTTTGGAACAAAATTCTATCTCTTTCAGTGTCATTATGCATTATCATTCATACTGATCTCTTGTGTGTCCTTTTGGTAATATTGTTTGTAGGCAGTCGATTGATCTTTACAGTAGTGTACCGTCTCCAAGTATTGGCTTTCTTGGTAATAACTCCATGACGAGATTCGGAAGCTCTTTCTTGTCATCTTCACTGATAAGAAGACATACTCCGGAATCGTTACCTGCTGTTACAAAACCTCTGCTCTCACCACAAGCCGATGAACAACCACCACCACCACCACCAAAACACAGACTTAGCTCTCATGGCTTGCTCTCTCCTGCTCCTTCGAGGAGGGGTTCAATGCGAAAGGACGAGAAAGGAACCATGGTCTCTCATGAAATCCCAATGTCCCGCAATAGCTCATACGGACAAGCTGTTCTAAATGGTGAGTTTCATCATCATAATGCTTTTGTTCTCTCTCTTCGTAAACAAAAATAGATTAAGAGATGCTTGGCTTGGCTTGATGTGAGTAGTTAACCATAACATAGCAAAATGAGCTAAATCATAATGAAAAAAGTTGTCAACCTTTGTGTGTGTGTGTGTGTGTTATTAGAATATGAAATATTCGGATACTCTTTGTTTAGATTCTCTGATATTCTAATATGTGACCTATCGGCCTAGAACCGTCTTCTACGGCATTGAAGATGTTTGTCTTTAATAAATGAGAGAAAAAGTACAAAACAGCATTCAACTCTACTGTCTCATAGCACATGGAGCACATGGACACGTCTAGGTTCAACGAACATGATTGTACAATATTTTGCTCTTTGTAAATTTTATGATCATCTTCTTCTTGAATAAAAAAAACATGTGGGGCATGTGCAGGATTGAACGTACTATGTGGAGTTGGGATACTTTCAACGCCTTATGCTGCAAAAGAAGGAGGATGGTTAGGGCTAATGATACTGTTTCTATATGGTCTTCTTTCTTTCTACACTGGAATCCTCTTGCGTTACTGTCTCGACAGTGAGTCTGACCTCGAGACCTATCCTGACATTGGCCAAGCTGCGTTTGGTACCACCGGACGTATCTTTGTCTCGGTAACTTCTCTTTTTCAAAATCATCCTCTTTATAGTAAAGGTGATAAAGTTAAGGATCGTAATAGAGAAAAGTAAAGAAAAATAAATGAAAAAATTACTATCAGAAGTCAATAGTAGAATCCTGTGAATTATTATTAAATTTCATCAAATTTAGCAATAAATTACAACTCTGCTGCTTACCAGTTACCCCCACCTTTGATAGTGCAGTTTGGTATCAATTATTGGCCATTTTATATTAACTTTTTCCTTTTTCTTTTTAATGAATTGCAGATAGTACTCTATTTGGAGCTATACGTAAGTACTTCTTATCATTCGTTCAGCTTTTGATTTATATTTTTATAAGTATAAAAGCACATTACTCTTTTTGTCAAAAAAAAAGTACATAAGTAAAGAGATTCCGAGTTGTGTTTAAAAACACAACCGAAGTAGAAATCTCAAGTCTGTAAGAGAATCCATGACCCCATGTCGTGAAACACGTTAGAAGTGGGGCCCATAGATTCTCCAACTAGCTCATTCTAGATTTGGCACTTACCTGAAACTCTTTTTAAACTTTTTTCTCTTTTGTTTCAATTTGTTCCCTTCTTAAAAGCTGCTTTTGACGTCACTAAAGCTAACGATAATATAGTTTTAGATGAAATAATTAGTTGAATACTGATTCTCTGACAGTATAGTTTAGATGTGACTTGTTTTGTATTTTTATAGTTTGCTTACAAAGGGTCTTTGTTTCTTTCACATTTTCTTTCTTGCACCATAGAGAGAAAAAGGTGTATATCATAAAAATCGGATGTTACGTAATGAGACATGATTTGTAATTTTGTTGCAGGCGTGCTGTGTGGAATATATAATATTGGAGAGTGATAATTTGTCTTCATTATATCCAAATGCTGCCGTAAGCATTGGAGGATTTGAGTTAGATGCACGTCATCTATTTGCATTGCTCACCACTCTCGCTGTTCTCCCCACCGTTTGGCTCAGAGATCTCAGTGTACTGAGTTATATCTCAGGTGTGATTTTGTTTTCTTATCCTTTAACTTGTATAGTCTAGAAAATGTTCCTGACATAGCTATTTTTTGTTTATATTTTCAGCTGGAGGGGTGATTGCATCGGTGCTAGTGGTTTTGTGTTTGTTCTGGATTGGTTTGGTAGATGAAGTTGGGATTCACAGCAGAGGAACCACACTGAATCTTTCAACTTTACCTGTAGCTATAGGTCTCTATGGTTACTGCTACTCAGGACATGCTGTTTTCCCCAATATCTATACTTCTATGGCCAAACCAACTCAATACCCTGCTGTTCTCTTGACATGGTAAGCTTATGACAAAGCTTTCTCAACTTCTTCAACACATATGTACAGAACAATGTATGTCACATATGCTAGCGTCTTGATAGCACAAATGATTGATGTAATATTTTTGCAGCTTTGGTATTTGTACTCTGATGTATGCTGGCGTCGCTGTAATGGGATATACGATGTTTGGAGAATCAACAGAATCGCAGTTTACTCTCAACTTGCCTCAAGATTTGGTTGCAACTAAAATTGCTGTGTGGACTACGGTAAGTAGATCATATATGTTTTTCTTTCCATTACTTAATTGCATTTTAATTTTTAACATGGAAACTAAAACCCTTTTTTTTGTTTTAATCGTTTCTCAGGTGGTCAATCCATTTACCAAATATCCTTTTGCAAGAAAATACTCAGGAATTGTTTTCTTTTACTGTTAATTCCATAAAGATGTCTAAAGTTCATCATATTTGTGTGTATACCTTAACAAAAGAAAGCACATATGCTTTGACAATATCTCCAGTAGCACTGAGTCTTGAGGAACTGATACCATCAAGGCATAACAAGTCACATTGGTACGCCATTGGCATTAGAACCGCATTGGTCTTCTCTACGCTTCTTGTCGGTCTTTCAATTCCCTTCTTTGGTAAAGATCCTCTCTACCATTTTTGATGATGTCAACTTAAGCTCAAGTTCTCCAGAATCATACTTTCTGCTATTAATGAAAAACACTAAAAAAATCTTGCAGGTCTTGTCATGTCATTGATTGGATCATTGTTGACAATGCTTGTCGTAAGCTGTCTTTTCCCTTCTCTACAATAACCTGACATTGATTTTCTGGTTTAGTTGCAAATGAAGATCTTAAGTTTTGGATATTTTGTTTTGTGCAGACGCTAATACTTCCACCAGCTTGCTTCTTGTGCATTGTAGGGAGAAAAGTTACCAGGATACAGGTAAGGTTCTTAGCAATTCTTCTGTATTTGTATCAGTTTGTCATAAAAAAAACATTACTGCTTTAAGATTCATGGACAATGTTTTGGTTGGTTTTGTAGATGTTGCTGTGTGTCTTAATCATCGTAGTAGGAGCAATATCTTCCGTCATTGGCTCATATTCAGCTCTCTCCAAGATCGTTGAGAAATTGAGCAGCTGAACATAAATCTCTTATATTTTTTTTTTTTTTTTTACAAAAATGTTATATACCCATTTTGTCTTCTGGGGAATACTTGTTCTTTTTCTTCCTTTTTTGGTCTAATAACTTCATATAGCAATTGATTCTTGCATTTACAGGTTTTGTTGTAATATTCTGAGTGGTGATTTACATCTTCAGACTGGTGTGAAACACATACATCTACGATGTCTTTGATTAATAAAGATTATGCCTCAATGTACAAAAACTGTGTGTTGTGTGTATATAATCTTTTGCCTTATCCTTCAAAATCCAAATCCAAATCTCTCTCTACAATACCTTCGTTAGAAAACCCGTAACTACTACTTCTTCTACTCTTGAGAATCAACTCAGAGCTCTTCATCAGTTGAATGTATTTCTTCCTTACTGCTAACACAGGATGTGTCTCTACACTGGCTTTGTCTCTGTAAGGCTCTCTGAGAATAGCCGTACAGGTCTTGTTCTTCATGGACAAGTAAAAGATCTGTGGATGTCTCTCAAAGGCCTTGTGAACCTTTTGAGGCAATCCGAAGTGTTTCTTGAGGCATAAGAGCTTCTTCCTCTCCGCTGAGTGATCGACAAAGAGGCAGAGCAGCTCGTGAAGAAACCCAACGACTCTCTTCTCTGCTACATCACTGCATGGATCCAAACGAGAATAATCATCGTACGGTGAAACATAAGGAAGCTGTTGAAACTCTTTTAACCAATCTTCAATCTTTACTCTCAATCTACAACCTTTCGATGGAAACAGAGGAAACCCAATTTCTGAATCGTCTCCTTGATTCTTCTGCAACACAGACAGAATCTTTTCTCCATTATAGTTTACAGCTAAACCTTTAACTCCATCTCCCATATCCACAAACCTAAACGAAGAGTCGAGATTCATCTCTGGGAACTGAAGGTAATCATCTGGCAAACCCAGGTACCATTTCATGCCTTGAACAATACTCAGCGGCAAGACGTTGTCTTTGCTCATCAGAATCAGTTTCCTCAACCTCTGACGCAAATCCTCGGCGGAGTTTTGGTAAACGAGCTTCTCTTCCCTGTGGAGCTCTGCAGCTTCTGGTGTCAATCTAAACCAGGGGAGATTGTGCTCTGGACCAACGAACTCCTCGAAGATGGATGGAAACTGCCTTAAGAACTTGGCGATTTTAACCGAGACATCGAACTGGAGCATCTTCTTGGAGACGGAGGAGATCGGGATGCAGCGATCGGGATCCTGGGCGATACAGTTCTTGAGAGCGAGGACGGATTTGAGCTGAGAAGAGCGGAGAATGTGTTCGATGTTGTCGAAGTAAGCATCTTTCTTCCATTTCATGTAAACGCCAACGTAAGTCCGGTTCTGGGTAAAGGAGGAAGCTAGGGTTTTAAGGGTTTGGGCATGGCGGCTGATGGAGAACATTGTGGAAGACAGAAGATTCAGTTTTGCAAAATCCCGAGACAGGAAAGAGAGTGGCAAAGTCGAAATTAAATGAAATGTAATTATGATTTTAAATAGTTTTTTTATTTCTGCTTAAATATATTCTTTTTCCTCGCTATTTCTCCCGAGATTATCTCTCTTTTCTCTCTCGAGTGTAAACACTAATAGTGACAAGTTTAGAAGACCAAATAGGTGTTATGGTGTGTATTCACAAAACTGTCCTGATGAAAAATTTATAATGGCAATAATATTTGCATAAAACAAGAGCTGAGTTTTTCTTCTTCTCTCAAAAAAATGAAAAATCAAATCGAAGTGACAAGTTTAGGAGACCAAGTAGGCAAATTGGGACAACCATTTACACCAATTAAAAGTTCAACAAATCTTCTCTTAACTCTTTCTCTCCTTGACGCCTCAAACGCATCTTTAGGCGTCAAGCTTTTCATCAATGGCAGTGCGGGAGAAACCTCGTTAGATGTCTCCATTATCCTTTCTAACATCTCAGAAACCTGACTCATCGTTGGCCTCGACTTTGCCTTCACCATCAGACACCGGTTCGCAACCGCCGCTAGCTTCAAGGCTGATTTGAGGTAGTAGTTTCCTTCAAGCCTTGGGTCGATAATCATCTTGAACTTCTTTATGTCAGTCAAGTGCGGTCTGATCCACTCCAAGATGTTCTGCTCGTTTCTTGGACGGTTTCTGTCGAACGGCCGCCTCCCTGTGATGAGCTCGTACAGGAAGATTCCGTAGCTCCACACGTCGCTCTTAGCCGTGAGGTGTCCGGTTTGGATGTACTCCGGCGCTGCATAACCAATGGTTCCTACAACCTGTGGATCCACATGGTTTAATTAGAACCGAACCAAACCAAAACGAAGTGAGACATGATCAGTCAGGCTGTCCTTACCGCAGTGGAGACATGTGTGATCCCGTCGGAAGGGCCCATTCGAGCCAGTCCGAAATCAGAGAGCTTTGCATTCCAATTCTCATCAAGAAGAATGTTGGAAGATTTGAAATCCCTAAAGATGATCTGCGTATAGTTAAGATGAATATATTTTCAAGAACACATACTATCTAACAAAAGAAAATGTTTTAAAGGCATTTGTGAATTAACATGGATGGAGAAGAGACCTGAAACTCCATGCCTTGATGAAGATAAGCGAGTCCTCGAGCAGTGTCTTGAGCAATCTTCATCCTTGTGGACCAAGGCAGAGGAGTGACTATAAAACGATTGGACAAATGGTCTTGAACGCTTCGGTTTGGTACGTACTCGTAAACAAGTAGCCGTTGGATCCCTCTCTCGTCATCCTCAGCGCAATAACCAATCAGCTTCACCAGATTCGGATGCTCCACTACTCCCAATACATTTACCTCTGTCACCCATTCTTTATGCCCCTGTGTGTGATTATGCGGTTACTTATTGAAGACGCTACAAATCAGAACCGAACCAAACCGAAACGAATTGAAAACATTTCTATGCCTAATAAGCTGAACCGAAAATGAATCTAAGTGTAACCTAACCAACCGAACCGAACAAACTGGATAAACCGAGTCAAACGGATTTTTATCAAAGTTTTCTGTTCTGGTTCTGAACAAATTTGCTCTAAACCGAACGAAAACCGAATTGCCACTTCTTGTGCAAAATGATGTAATTAAGCAAGAAAGAAAAGTATAGGAGAGAGAGTTGCTTGCCTGTAGACCTCTTCTACTGAGTTGTTTAACAGCGATATCAATCTTTTTACGAGAATCTTCGGGGTTCTGAATGACGCCACGAAACACACCACCGAAGCCACCTTCACCGATCATCAAGGACCGGCTGAAATTCTTGGTGGCGGTTTTGAGGTCATCGAGGTCAAAGACTTTGAGATTGTTACTGTGTGTCTCAGAGAGGACGTGTAAGGAGGAAGTGATGGAAGTTGTAGTACTTGTCTCTGAGTTAAACTCAGATCCTGATCCTCCTCTTGCCATCGAAGTGGAAGAAGATGTTTGCATTGAATCAAACTTCCTCGTCTTAGCTCCATGATCCTGAGACTTTTCTTTGCTGAAGTAGAAACATTTCATTGTCCTTGACGAAACCAATCGCCTCACTGTAACAACAAAAACACAACTAAGTCCAACATTCCAAATCAACAAACCGAAACACAATCAGAGATTGTTTAACAGAGAGGAAATTGTGAATCATTCCTCTTTCTCACACAAATCCAAATCACTAATTATTCGATCAAAACAATCAAACAGAATCACCATCAGAATATCTTGGCATTACTTGAAAGACTTTAGTGTTGAGAATGAGAGGGGAAAGAGAAAGAAACCTGAAGTAGAATCATTCATGAGTAGGAATGGAATGTTGTGAATCCTGTGATTGGGGTCTTCTTGTTCTTGAGTGAGAGAGCTTTAAAGCAAAACATTAGGGGAGAGAGAGATAGAGAGAAGAGGAAAAAGAAGAAGAAGAAGAAGGAAGAAGACGAGCTCACCATGATCGAATGGGGAAGTCAAATAGGCTTGGCAGCTGGATCTGCCGCTTACCAACCCATAGACGTTATTTAATTTTTAATTTTATTTTGTGAAACAGCCGCTTGCTTAAGTAATTAACTTCGATAACACGTTGTTTCCTTTATTAAATTTTATTTATTATTCACCGCGTAGCTCTCTTTAGCCTTACCCATTAAGGGAGAGGGTTTATATGAGAAATTTATGAGATCTCTTTCAAAACTTCAAAGAAGCTTCCTATACCGTTTGTCTAAACCGTTTCATATACACGAATAAATTGAAATGTTTTTATGTAAAAGTATGTATAGTTTTAAACTTGTAATAAACAATTTATGATAGTTGTCGACTCAGTAAATATATAAAATTTCAGGTGGTCCTTTGTAACCTAAGAGGAAAATTGATGAGGTGAAGAAAAGCGTTGGATTTTAAGAACTTTGGGAGTGAGAGAAGATAGCAAAGTAGAGAGAGACGTACATTTCACTTTTCATTCGAGTAGAGAAACCAAGTGTCCCACTAAGAAGACGCAACAACTCACACGTAACCGCACCTAAAACTTGCGTCATCTCTTACATCTTTCTCCTACCTACTCTGTAACTCTTGAAAGACTCTTATGTTTTGTCTTGTTGCCTGGTCCACTATTTGCTTGGGAATTCAACTTCCTAAGCATTTTCTTTACCCTTTTGAACTGCCATTTACTCCACCTCATTGTATTCAACCACTGCATCATACGTCTCCATCGTGAGACTACTCTCAGCGAAACATCTGAAATATTATGCAAACTTTCTCATCAGTAACAGTTATCAAACCATATGATCAAATATACTGCTGGTCCAAGCTTTACAAAGCCACTTGATATCAGATTGCTCTACCTTAATCTTCAGACATATGTGTTTCGTTTACTACAACCTAATCCGTAATTACCTGAAACTCTACCAAATTTTTACCTTAGTTCATGCCAAAATACATCCTCCTTATCATACAAGAATTTTCTGAGAGAAGAACCTTCGTCTTCCGCCAACATCCCCGTCTGCACAGATTGTTGATTACTCTCTCTCGCAAGCCTTTTGATGAAAAGAGCTGACGCAACATGAACAATGATTGAAGGATCAGGATCTCCAAGTACTGCCTGAAGCTCTCTTCTAATCCATGGCTCAATTCTTTCAATCAGATTTGCTTTGGCGTGATCGTTCACCTGAAAAAATCCACAATTTCTTTACATACATTTCAAATATGACAACACGAAGCAGGTATCTATATAAACTTAAGAGTGAAAACTCTGATACTACAGCCACACGAAACAGAACTGCTTAGATCTACAAGAAGCTCATCTTAATGGACTGCAAAAACACAGCACATAGATTGAAGCAGCGTGTTATTTAAAACTTACTAGTTCCAAGCTTGGCCTCGAATGTGAACGAACAGCTCGTGATTGCCTATCGTATATGCTGCATTAGAGCCAACACTAATAAGAAACAAAGGCTGAAACTTTGACAAAAGGAGATTTTGCAAGTGACTGTTTCAGAGATAGATAAAGAGAATGCAATAAACCAACCTAGCTCGCCACCGAAGCTTTCGCTCGAAGATGATATGATCGGGAACTGAACCTGGTCGTCCAAATGATCTCCGCCATGGCAATGGCCTTGATCTTGAGCTAGAGTTTTCAAAATCATCCCTTGTCCTTCGAATTATCCTATTAAACAAGTGAAACAGTACTTTAAAAGATGCAATTTTTTGTTTTTAAAGTAATTGAATTTCGCAGAAACTTAAAAGAGACGATCTTAGAGAGATAGAGAGAGCTAACCTCCGGCGACCGGAAGGATTACTCCGGCGATGATAAGTTAATGTCTCACGATCACGAAGAACCGGCAATTGCTCCTTGGAATATTTTCTAGAAGCTGGATCACTGACGATAAACCAGGAATCAAAACGAGTGTTGCAGAGAGGGCAGGTCCTCTTGAAGCCGCTCCACTTCCGGATACAAGCAAGGCAGTATCCGTGCTTGCACGCCGTGATTACGGCGGCTCGTCGGTCTTTTAGATTTTCCAGACATATCGGACATGATTTCCCCAGTAAGGCCGAAAATATTGCTCTCTCCGCAAACTTCTCACCGGTTTTTAGCAGACGATACTTTTCGCCGATCGTAAATGATGCCGAGGAAGTGGTCGGAGTCGAAGACGGAGATGGACGCAGATCCCGCATGGTCGGAGAGTTTCTCTTTGCTCCGGTGATTGGAATTGTTCGGTGAAGACGGGCCTCTAAATGAAAAGCGGGTACTTTTTTAACCGGACCCGATTGGATTCTAATGAACCGAGTTGGATATGAGCTAGATAACCGGATAATTTCGGTTCGGTTCGGTAACAGGATTGCTTGTTTCAAAATGAAAGAGCGAGCGTGAAGGAGATCCCTTCTTCATCGTTGTTGCTCCGAAGAAAAGCCCTCACTAAAGTCACCATTGTCACTAACCCACGAGCTCTCCTTCTCTCTCAAATGGAGGTTCCAAAGGATCAGATCGCGACTCTAATGGAGCATGGGCTCTACGATTCCGCCGAAATGCTCGTAACTCTTCTAAGCTTTTAACTCTCATTTTGATTCACTCTTCTAAATCCCTAATTTTCCATTAAGGACTGATGAAATTCTCAATTCATACGTTCTAAATCCAGGGCTGCTTTCTCGTTTCATCCTCTACTGTTAGCGCCGAAACTAGTCCTCATCTCAAGGCGGAGAATTTGGTTAAGCTTCTTTCTCCGTCAGTTTTTTTTCTTTTGGGTTATGCTCGATTTTTTTTCTTACTAATTGAAGTTAGATTCTTTATGTGTTGTTCTTCAGATTCTACTTGGCGATGCTTTATTTCATCAGAGAGAATACAGAAGAGCTATTGTAAGATCAATTTAGCTCTTTCTTTGATCTTTTATGTTTCTCTTTTGCTGAGAAAAGAAATGTTAATCGGTTCTCGGAAGTTTTATTCTGTCTCCAATTCAAAATTTATAAAGAATGCTTGGATATTTGACTATATAAAAAATCCAAAATATTCTGATTATATAAATTTATATACTGAGCATGAGGTAAATTTACAGAGTTGCGTTGCTTATTCTGAATATGTATTCCTTCTTTTCGTCAGCATACTTACAAGCAAGCGTTACATCATTATACAAGGATCCCGAAGCAAAGCTCCAGTATTTCGAGGAGTTCTTTATCTTTATCTACAAGATCATCTGTGAATGCCTCTGTTAATTCTGCTATAAATGAGAACGAGGTAACTTTGTGTGTTGTTTCATTTTGATCCCTTTTGGTTTTTGCATGTGCTTTGGGCTTAACTTAATAGGAGGTTCATGTGTGTTTTCTTTTTCTAACTTTCCTCTTAGGTGAGATTCAAGATTGCTTCATCTCACTTTGCTCTTAATGAAACGAAAGCTGCGATTGCTGAGGTATGTCTCCTGTCTTCTTCATCTGGAGTGTCATCTGTTTTAGTATTCCTGAATGTGAGATGAGTTCCGCTGCGTTGCGTTGACCTCTTCTCGCCACACATTGCAAAACAAATTAAACTAAACGGATTCTTTGTTTCCAACACTGCATTTAGGCATTTAACGGATGATAAACCATGGTTTACTTAATTATAATCTATTATTGAACTTATACTTTCTTTGCCAGATGGAATCTGTCAAGACCAGGAGCTTGGAGATGAATATACTGATGGCAAAGCTTCATCGAAATTCTGGATACAACCGTGGTGCTATTGCATTTTATAAAGAGTGTTTAAGGTCTGATTCTCATTTTCTATCCTAACATTTCGTAGCATATAAACACTGGCATAAAGTCTCAGATTTTCGCAGTAAATACCAATTCAACACATATTGCATATTATCTATATGTATATAATTGTATAGAATCTTTAATCTCTGCAGACAGTGTCCTTATGTACTCGAAGCCGTCATAGGTTTAGCTGAACTGGGAGTCACTGCAAAGGATATCATATCAGCTTTTGCGCAGGTCTCCCTTTCAACGAGATTTCTTATATTTTTCACCATTAATTTCATGTTTTTTGCATCTCTTTCTCCTATCTTGCAATTAAATTTCCGTGTAGAATCCATGCCACTGTGTAATTTGTTATGTTATTGTTCATTTCAGAATTCAAATAGAAGTGCAAAGGTTTCGCTCGATCAGATAGATCCTACCCGTTGGTTGCAAGTAAGCATACTCTTTAACAGTATTTACAACGTTGAAATTTTTTTGAAAGTGAACTCATTAATCATGTGGCCAAGATAATTATTCTGACTGAGTTAGTGTCTTACTTTATCTGTAATGTTCTCCGGAATACGACATTACATATAATGGTTCTAGCTTTCTCGTCAAAGACTGAGTGAATTCCAATCTAATGAACTATACATCTTGTTTCTTGGGAAAAGCTGTTCATTAGTGGAAAATGAATATAATCTTCTTGATAGAATTTCCTCGAATAAACTAGTGCTTTTATGCTCTTGTGTTAGCATTAGCTCGACTATTCAACCAGAGAACTATATTTTATATACCTTTTCTTGGACGGCTATTTCATTCGTTTTATGTTGTAGCTTATTTGGCAAGAATTGATTTTCTTTGTCTTTTTTGGTGATTTTTCTTCGTTTTCACAGCGCTATGTCGAAGCTCAGTGTTGTGTTGCTTCACATGCTTACAAAGGTAGCTATCTTTTTCTTTGTGGGATGCACATTGCCCACTTTGTAGATTTCAGTTCTTACATTTAATTTGTGAGAAATTTTGCAATGATTAATCCGATGATTTGTGTCTCACTGGATAGTGTGTAATGCTTTGGTGTTTACTCAGGGGCGCTGGAACTCTTTGCTGAACTTTTACAACGATTTCCAAATAATGTACACTTGTTGACTGAGACAGCAAAGGTTAGTGATGGCATTAACAAACAGAATTGCACCTGAGTTTTTGTTCTTATTATTATGGCTGACGTTTGACCTATAAAAGCTGTTTGACATAATTTTGATTGTTGATGAACTCTTCCACCATTTTTTTCCATTTGTATAGATCGAAGCCATTATTGGGAAAAATGATGAGGCCATAATGAGATTTGAGAAGGTAGTCACACTAACCGATAGTGTTGTCTCAACTTCTTAAATTCATGAATGTACATAATAATATGAAACATTTTGTAGGTTCGATCAATTGATCCTCACACACTAACCTGTATGGATGAGTATGCGATGCTGCTACAGATAAAGTGCGATTATTCGAGGCTAAACAAGCTAGTCCACGATTTATTAAATATTGATCATACCAGAGCAGAAGTATTTGTTGCTTTGTCTGTACTATGGGAAAGGAAAGATCCAAGGACGGCACTATCTTATGCTGAGAAGGTTAGCTTGCTGATACTGAACTTTCGGCTGAATCTTTGTGTGATAACTGATGAGATTCACTATGCAATCAGAGTATCAGGGTGGACGAGAGGCACATACCTGGCTACATAATGAAGGTAGTTTAACTGAGGAATTTATTTGTTAAATAGTTTCGTACATATGTATCCACTGTTTTTGTTATATGTATATCAGGGAAACCTTCTTTTACTAGCAAAACGTCCAGAAGCTGCAGCGATTGCCTTCAGGGCTGCCCAGAATTTGAGGTCTGATCTTCGTTCATATCAAGGTCTGGTTCATGAGGGAAACAAAAAAATTGATAAAAACTTCCATTGTTGTACTGTTTTGGTGGTATAAACCATTAACAAGCATGAAAAGGTCGGAGTGTGAAATTAACTTGCACTATTGAGGTCATTTTCAGGCTTAGTCCATTCTTATCTGGCATTTGGTAAAACCAAAGAAGCATTGTATACCGCTAGAGAAGCAATGAATGCAATGCCTCAGTCCGCAAAGGCTCTGAAGTTAGTTGGCGATGTTCATGCCAATACATCAAGTGGCAGGGAAAAGGTAAAAACACTCAGCTTTAAGAATCTCCTTAAGAATTTAGCTGTCGAAATCTCAATCTTTTGAGAAGCATAGTGTATAACAAATCTGAGAACTATTCAAAGCTCGTGAGCATCTTCTTATGGTCGTTTCGTTATGGATTGAAAGTTTTGGGTGTAACAGAAGAATGATATGCTTTTATAACAGGCAAAAAAGTTCTACGAGTCAGCTCTGAGGCTTGAATCTGGGTACCTTGGAGCTGCCATAGCTCTTGCAGAGCTTCATCTAATGGAAGGGAGGAATGGAGATGCCGTATCACTACTTGAACGGTATCTCAAAGACTGGGCTGATGATTCTCTCCACGTCAAGCTAGCTCAAGTGTTTGCTGCAACGAATATGCTACAAGATGCTTTATCACACTATCAAGCTGCACTAAGGTTTATAAGATTCATAGTGCTTAGATATCTTTTGTTTCTTTGCGAATAAACTATAATGAGTGTTAAAATGTAATTGCAGGATAAATCCACAGAATGAGGCAGCCAAAAAGGGACTAGATCGCTTGGAGAAACAAATGAAGGTTGGTCAAATTACATTTCAATTTCTTTTGTTTGTTGATGCTTCGATTGTAACTCCGAAAGAATCATAATCAAATCCAGAATATCTTTATGAAGCTCAAAGCATTACAACTTTTGGGGGTATTGATTGCAGGGGATAGATCCAGATGCAGCTGATGAGAATGACGAGAACGATGTTGAAGATGTTGATGGAGATACCGAAGAAGCCGAGCTCATGTGAAGAGATTCTTAGTAGGCAGAAGAATGTGTACACTATCGAATTCATAACATCAATATTAATAGCATATGTGTCATTCCTTTTTGAATCCTATAAACTTAGAAAAGGAAAGAGAAAAAATTGACAAGAATTTGCCGACGAATACCTTTTACAATGAAAAAATGAAGAAGATAATTTCACAATTTAGCAACGGTACACAATGATCAAAGTAATAATACAATTTACTCATAAAAGGAAACTGTGATTGAAATAAAAGTTTACATTTTGTCTTGATAACCCCTTTTAGCGTGACACTCACTAATGGGACAATATTATGATCATTTGTTAAGTCTCTTGATCAAAACCACAAAGCAGAGTAACCAAGTAACAAATCACAGATTTTACCAGGGTCAATTTTGTCATTTTCTAGTATGTCTCTCAACAAAAACAAAAAAATATTAGTAATCTATAATTTTGGATTTTAATGACCCGTAAAACGCCACTTCATAAATCTCTTCATGTACATAGCCAAATCTGTTATTTGGAGCTTCAATGGTGTTGTTTCCATAAAAAAATTTCCATGAACGTTTTAATGGAAAATAGTACATAAGACACCACAATCATATTGATTAGGTTGCAAAGGAACATTTATTTCACATGTGTTTACGGTGATATTATGTGTTTGTTTTTTAGAGATTTCCATTTATCATTTACAAATCTGCAACATTATAAAAGATCTAGTGGATTCCATATTCATAACCATTATATTCATAGTTACTGAAAAACATTATGTAATAGAATTTCACCTGCTAATATTTTGGAAGAATAAATCATTTTCATGATATCCACTACCTGAATTCATATGGAACATATTCAATATTATATTGGTTCACTACTTGAATTCATATGAAACATATTCAATATTATATTGGTCCATTATCTGAATTGAATTCCATGTGTATGCATACTATGACTACATTTCAGTTATGTTGTATTGTTCATTGCTTGTACAAAACTGATACTTTTAAACTATTTTTTGGTTCTCATTAAACTTTATCAAATAAATTTGATTTGAATTTATAAATTTATCATGTTTGTCATTAAGTTCATTGAACCTTATGTTTTCACCTTTTATTTTTTTTTCAAAATGCTATCATAGTTTTCATCATAATATTAATTACTTAGTTTTTTCTTCAATTGCTGTATATGTAAATATAAAAAAAAATTCAAGGTCCACTATAACTTTCTTGCATATGCATAAACTCGAATGATTGCTTAAACACAACTAAAATATTTATATCCATACATGAGTGTAATAATATGATTTGTCGAAAAATAAAGTATCATTCCACCATTTCACAAAAAAATGAAAATTTTATAAAAGTTTAGCAAATATAAGAGTATCGTGGAAGAAGTTAATTACGCCACTTGCAAAATCTGAAACCCTTAATTAAATATTGTTATGCTGTGTTTTCACAGAATTGCCCTAATGAAAAAATTGTAATGACAATAATTTGCATAAAACAAAGAGCTGAGTTTTTGTTGTTCTCTCAAAAATCAAAATAGAAGTGACTATTAGCACCCTATTGTCATTTATCATGTGGCCAAGCAGATTATTGTCCAATGGCCCAATGGCCCAACGAACCATAGCATAGTGTAAATACATGATAGTTATATGGCCCAACGAAGCCCATTCTTGAGATGTTGGATCGTATCAGTGTCTAACACTCTCTATACTAGTGGGAAATTTCGTCACAGGTTTTACCAAGGATAATTTCGGCATTTACATGTCTCACGACAAAAAAAAGAAAACAATTACTAGTAATCTACAATTTTGGATTTAGTGACGTGAAAAAACGCCATTGGTACATTCCAAGAGCACCCATCACCAAATTCTCAACTCAATCTTCTTCGTCAAAAGCGAAGCTTTTTTTTTTCTTTATCTTTTCCTTGATGGGTTTCATCTCTTGCATCTCATTTCCCACCATCAATTCAGTAATTCCATCGACCCATTTCTCCAAGCAATCGACTTTAGCATCTTCATATTCATTTAACTTTGCTTTGAGACGCGAGGATAAACCCAACTTCTCACTGTCACTATCAACGTCTTCGATAATGGCGACTCCTATTCAAGCCTCTTCCACCTCCTCCATCATTGGTATACCCTTGCTCTCTGCTTCTTTGATCTATTTTTGTTTTTGTTTTGTTACTTTCGATTCCACGGCTATATGAATTAAGTCAATCTCCGCTGGCTTTTAAGATATTAATCCGATGTTCATTTTGGATGCTTAGTGCATAATTGGTTGACCTCTTGAGTATCGTACAACGATTCATATTTTGGTGATTACACGGACGAGAAGCTAAGAGTTTTGGTACATTAAGATTTTGTGATTCTGCGTCTACTCCAAGTAGTAACCTTTTTTATATGTTTTTATTTCTGTATGAAGGTGAGACCAGTGATGGCTTGAAGGTCCAGTCTCATGTTTCGATTGGGGCAAACGATTTGCTTATTGTTGGACCAGGTGTTCTTGGACGCTTAGTTGCAGAAAAGTGGAGAGAGGTATTGTTTCTGTGTTAATTTACCACATTAGCAACATCATATGTCCCATACATCATTGTCTTCTACAGGAAATGAGCTGAATTTGAATAGTTCCACATAGATTTCTCTTATAGAACATCCTGTGTATATAGTGTTTCTGTACCAATAAAACAGATATCTTTATGTCCTCTATGTAGGTCCCTGTTTTATGTGTCTAGAGTGTTTATCAATTATATTGTGGGTTGATTTTACACAATCCATTATGGATGTTTTCGGAAGCTCTTGTGGATATTGTCACATACATTAACTCGTTTTCTTCTTAACGTTTATATATTCACAATATGAAAGTTAGAGTTGGAGCTTTATATGTGGAGCAGGAACATCCAGATTGTCAAATCTTTGGGCAGACAGCAACAACAACCCATCACGCTGAGTTGGAGAAGTTGGGTATCAAACCATCACTTAAAGGAACTGAATTTGAGGGAAAGTTCTCCTATGTGATCTTTTGTGCTCCTCCATCACAAAGCCCGGACTACGCCGGTGAGGTCAGGTAAATTACAAGACATCACTTGTCTCAATAACTAGAGAGTCTACGAATTGTGTATAATGGCTCCTCTTATGAGACCTAACATCTATTTGTGTATAATGGCTCCTCTTATGAGAGTCTATGAATTGTGTACCACCGTGCGTTAGTTGAATGCCAGAACAGAGGTCTCTCGTACTGTTAAATTTATTAGCTATGAAAGAAGATGAAACCTAACGTTTATTTGTGTATAATGGCTCCTCTTATGAGACAGAAAAGTAAATTTCTTTTGCCTTGATTCAACAATGTTTAATATGGGTTTGTGCTTGTGTTTACAAACGGATCAGGACGGCAGCATCAAAATGGAACGGCGAAGGATCATTCTTATTCACATCTAGTTCTGCGCCTTATGACTGCTTTGATAATGGAGAATGCAACGAGGTTTATCTCAGTACCTTAATATACATGTTCCTTCCAATTTTCTCCATGGACAAATTTCGTAGCTTCACGTTTTGTTAAACTTAATACCATCTGAAGGATTGGGTTTGCTGACGTAATTTGGGGGCAGAAAGTGTCTGAGTCATTTGAAATCTATGAAAATCAAGTGTACTATTGAACAAACATTTGATATTAGAGATCATCCTGCAAATTCTTGTTCATTTTGAATATTCAGTAAGACTTTCTGAAGTTTGTTACCCTTCACTGCAGGATTCTCCAGTAGTGCCACTGGGAAAAAGCCCAAGGACCGATGTGCTTTTGAGAGCTGAAAAAGTAGTGTTGGAATGTGGAGGGACTGTCCTTAGACTGGCAGGGCTTTACATATCCTTTTGGATTTCGATATGTAGAAACTGAATGAGCAAACATTCGAAAGGCTTCTTTGTTGGTCTCTAGCAGATTTGAGCATTATGTTTCTCCTGAACTAGTTATACACAGAGACTAGAGGTGCACATACTTACTGGTTGAGTAAGGAGACAGTTGATGCTCGTCCTGATCATATCTTGAATCTCATACACTATGAGGTATATTTGTGATTTTGGTCAATCCTTTCTTACTGTTCAAAGACCATCAACTTCAGTATGATTGGTCTGCAGATGTAATGTAATATGTTTCTGAACAGGATGCAGCATCGCTGGCAGTTGCAATCATGAAGAAGAAAGCTGGTGGTCGGATTTTCTTGGGTTGTGACAACCATCCTTTGTCAAGGTAACGCTGCTTTTCTTTCTAACTTTGAGATATATCAAACATTCGACATTTTTTTTGACATGTTTAAAACTCACGCATTCTTCTCAGGCAAGAGGTGATGGACCTGATGGCTCAAAGCGGGAAATATGATAAGAAATTCAAAGGTTTCACGAGTGAGTTTCTTCACACATTGACATGAGTCTGTGTTTATAAACCTTAAGCTTTGTCGAGTGTGACAACTTTGCTTATTTTTTTGTAGGCACCACTGGTCCTTTAGGGAAGAAGCTGAACAACTCACGGACACGACAGGAAATAGGATGGGAGCCCAAGTATCCAAGCTTTGCTCAGTTTCTTGGAGTATCAAAGTAATTACTATTGGATCCAGATGACTAAGGAGTGCCCCCTAAGAGAAGAAACCAAGAAAGCTAGATAATTGCTTTAGAGATGTCATTTGTTTACGTTTGGTTCAAACAAATGAAATGTTCAGAATTCTTCATAAAGCTCCATGATACCAATTTCACCTCAAAGTATAGACAAATGTTTATACAGAAACATCTCTTTGAATCAGGAAAAAAAACTGAAAAGGTTTGATTCTTCCATTTCCACAAACATCTAATGCAAATTCATTAAGCAGTAAATCAAAACGACTATAGTTTCTTTGTACTATTTCATGCATCACTATTCACTATCATCACTATTCATCTTGATTTAATTTACTTTAATTATCTTAGATCATCTTTTTTTTTTTTTTTTTGTTCACAAGATCATCTAATTAAAAGGTTTAATTCTGTGTCGAAATGTTAAAGCTTGTGTCTTGTTCATTACCAAATTAAAAAAGTCTAACAAAGAAATAGCCCAAACAAGCAAAGGCCTCAAGGCATGTGCCTAACAAACACATCCATGCCTCCATCTCACTCACATAATTTGATGCTAATAATTTTCATTTTACTTAATTTTCTTAATTATAAAACTTGATGGAGTTTTGTATAAACAGAGATATTCACTAATATGTTAACAAATCCTCTCTCATGGTGATTGTGCTCGTGCAACCAAAAAAATCTTATCAAATTTAGTTCCTTACACCAGTTGATATGTGTTTAATTAATTGATAGTAATTGTTCGACTTCGAAATATCTTGAGCCTAATACAAAATTATTTGTCGGATTCGTTTAAGGCCTAACAATTAGGAACAACAACCAATGACAAGACGTTGCCACAGTCTTATGTATTTAAGTATTTATTAAGTTCAGTGTCGTTCTCACTAAACTTCACCACAAATCTTAGGGTTCCACACACAATTAATACTTTTGGCATTATATGAGGTTTGGCTCAATTGACTTTGTTTTGTCTTCTTTTTAATTAACAAGATTACCAAATAATAACAGTCTTCTTTTAACCTTTCACTTACAAAAAAAAACAAAAAAAACAACAACTGAACAACTTCCACAGTAATATAAAAAATATCAATATATATTGATCACTGATTCATTAAAAATGTAATTATTTATGGACTCGATTGTTTGGCTTTTCTTACAGTAATTAAATGCATGTCTAATTGTAATAAGTAGAGAGTTTGTGTTTGTAATTCATTGAGAGTTTGTGTTTGGTGTATAATTCAGTATGGGCATAGGCGAATAATTAAAATGAAATGGGAGAATTGGTCTCTTGAGTAATTAATTAGTAGGTCTCCGTTGAGGAGTAATTAAGTCTCATGAGTATTTTTTTAGTTGGTCTACATTTGAAGAGTAAGCTATGTAGCCGACATCTTTCAATCCATATGCATCTCAATTTGAAGAGTATTCGTTTGTATTTGTATTTGGCTACCATTGGAGATGGCCAATTAGCCTGAGATTACGATAAACTCCGCCACATTACTAATAATTTTCTTGACTATAACCAAAAAATGTCATATATATATACGTTACAAAAAAAATAGTAATGGAAGCTTGTTGTCTTAACATTTTGTGGCAAAATTGAAATATGTCTATACAAAAATTCAAAACTAAGTTATACTACTATTATGTTATTCCATTAATGTTTCAGACAAGTTACAATGATCAAGTTGTAGTAGGATATTGGAACGGACATTCTATTATTAATTTATCAAAAAATTCCAAGTTTATATTAATCTTGAGTTTGATTTCAAATAAAAGGAACTTATCAGTGTGACCTTAACAAAAAATATATGTACAAAATAGTTATGATTTCCTTGATCAAAACGATTATTAAATATGGTTTTAGTAAAACGAAAAATTTACAAAAGTGCTGGTTGGCAAGAATTTCAAAAGTCACCAACAATTAAGAGCCATGCGAGATTTGTATGCGCTACTTAATGAAACATTTGGTTAAAAAAAACAAAACCAAGAAAACTTGAACCAAACTTTTGTTTCTAGTTTAAAAAGAGAAAGAATTTTTTTTTTATGAAAAAGCAAGAATGACTCACTCTCTCCTGCAAGACCAATATAAAAATGGGGGTTTGCATGAAGAAACCAAAATCAAAGCAAATCTCAAACTAGCAAGAGAGAGAGAGAGAGAGAGAGAGAGAGAGAGAGAGAGAAAAAGAGAGAAAAGTGAAGAATGGTGTTCATCAAGGTTCATCAACTTGCTTTTCTCTTCGGTCTCTTGGGTAATTAATTCCCTTTATTCTTCTATGCTTATTGAATTTTGGTATTTGGAAACCGGAATCAAATTTAACGATAGAAGTGAGACATTATATATTCTTACTAGACTATACACAAACACATGCATATAAATATATTACCCTTTTTGCTTGCATGAACATATATCTACACAAACTCGTACGTAATATTACTTAATTAACATCTAAAACGAAGATAAAGAAGCTCAATAGCTCATAATACTAATCGCGAGTCGTGTTTTTGTTTTCAGGTAACATTGTGTCTTTTGGGGTATTCTTGTCACCAGTGTAAGACACGTACATACGAAGTGTCTAATTTATAGACTATGATAATCTAATTTAATAAATATCTTTATCTGATTTGATTATATATATATGATAGGCCAACTTTCTATGGGATATACAAGAAGAAAACATCAAAAGGGTTTCAGTCGATACCATACATATGTGCACTCGCAAGTGCAACTCTTCTTCTCTACTACGGAATAATGAAGAAACATGCTTATCTCATCATTAGCATTAACACCTTTGGATGTTTCATCGAAATCTCCTACTTGTTTCTCTATATCATCTACGCACCAAGAGAGGCCAAGGTTTCTATTTCTTTTTTCTTTTTTAGTAGAAATGAGCATCTAATTTTTCTATATATATATCCGGTTTTACAAATTCATAACTAAATAGAAAAGACAAGGCGTTTTTCGTTTAAACTGTAGGCACATTTTTATTTGGTTTGAATCTATAAATATAATGATTCAGTTTAGTTCACTTCAGTTTGGTTTATCTCTCCACACCTACTTCCTTTAAACTTGATTGTGATCTCTGTCTCCCTATGATTGATGTGGACGTACACGTGGCAGATTGCCACGTTGAAGTTGATAGTGATATGCAACATAGGTGGTCTTGGTCTCTTGATTCTTCTCGTTGATCTTTTGGTTCCAAAACCACACCGCGTCTCAACCGTTGGATGGGTTTGTGCTGCTTACAGTCTCGCCGTCTTTGCTTCTCCCTTGAGCGTCATGGTGATCCATCACCTTTCTTCTTCAAACATCTTATCGTTTTTTCTTTTCTTTTCTTGAACTGAGAAAAAAACTACGTGTAACGTGTTGTTGTTTATTGCAGAGGAAAGTTATAAAGACAAAGAGTGTGGAATACATGCCGTTTCTTCTCTCCTTGTCTCTCACGCTTAACGCCGTCATGTGGTTCTTTTATGGACTTCTTATCAAAGACAAGTTCATTGCGGTAAACAGATATATTAATTCATTAAATTAACTATTTTCACATTATTCATCTTTCTTCATTATTTTAATCACACTTCTTAATTATTAATCTCTAACGTTTTAGTACTCGTTATGTCTTCAGATGCCAAACATTCTAGGTTTTCTATTCGGCATAGCTCAGATGATACTATACATGATGTATCACGACTCGAGGAAAACGGATTTGCCAAAGCTCACCACATCTACAGAGAACGAACCAACAAACCAAACCAATCTGAATCAAGTTGCGATCGTGGCCGTTGAACTGCCTGATGCGAAATCAGACAACGTTGAAGGATCGGCGAGGCCTGTGAAGACTCCAAACTCAAGCACGACTTGAAAGGCAAACATGGGGGGAAAATGCATGGGAGACATTTTTATCGTATGTTGGAATAATAAACTTTCGTTTCTATGTTTTGATTGGGTTTGAATTGGTCTAACCAAATTAACCCCAAGTGTTCTATCGTTGTGATGATCATAACTAAACCTTGATAAATGACAATCTTGGTCCAATCAGTTTCAGTTTGTCTCGGTCATTAGCCAAAAGTGCGAAACTAAGCTTCATTAAACTAATAACACTTTAGGATTTGAACCATATATAAAAATCAGAACTAGTATTAATAATACTGTATTATACAGCTCGGCTGTAATTAAAAGAATAAACGTGCGCACAAGTCTGCTGAAATAAAATATCAACATAATAATTCAATAAAAAAAATCTGTGATTACTATAGAAAAAAGAAGAGAAGACAAATGCCGTACGTTTCTGATATCTACACATTCAATATTTCAATCATTGAAGAATTTGTTCTTAAGCAGAGTTTGTTTTCTTTTCACTGGAAATTTAAAGATTCTCTTTTAAGCAGAAGAATTATTTTAAAGATTTCGAAACAGATTAGAATAACATAAAGTAAGCCACATATAAAGTGTATCTGTAAAAATGCATACTTGGGATACAAGCAAAAATAGATTACAGAAGCCAACGGCACAAACTCAAAGTCTTACAAGACACAACAATTAACAAAATACGAGTTTTTGTTTCTTCTTATTCATAATACACACAACATTCTTTTTACCACTTTACCCGCCAATTTTCCTGCATTTACAATATTTCAGTTAAAAATAGGATCATACACACAACCACTTTTTTTTAACCATGGCTGTAAAAGTCATGTCATAACTTGATCGAAGACATTATTAGTTCATAAGAGTTCTAGTTCTGCTTTTGACCAGTGCCATTTCATATTTTACCTCATGGGTCTCTAGTTTGATCCAAGAGATAAGCAATATCTAAACCAATCAGAAAAAGGTTAATAATGAGAAAGCTTACAGAAAGGATAGATCTTCCAACGCTGGTTGTCGCCTTTGTTCCAGTCCCAGAGGACGATAGTCGTGCCATCACGGACACCACCAGATTTGCTGTCACCGTGAAACGCATCAACGTTTAGCCTCACATTGTTTACCATCCTTATTTTGCGGTATCCGTCGCCAAGATCCTTGCTCTCTGTCCATAGCACCGACTCGTCGAGCTTATCCGGATCATATCGGGTCAGATGCACCTGCAATACCCATATATATATATTAACATATATAGCTCAAACACGTGACACCAAGAAAGAAGATGAACAAAAAGTTTAGCTGCTGGAACTGTATCTATAGGTCTACTAAAACTAGCCTAAGGACTTATAATCAAAATTATAGCTGTTGTGAGAGAAGATTGTTTGAGTGCATTTGGTTGAGAAATGAGAGTCTCCCACTAATTAAGCCTGTTTGGTTTGGTGAACTGAAATCAGTATAGTTAAGCACCATTATAGTTGAGGAATGTACTACAGGATCATATCAGTATTTAGTCAAGATGAAAAATGGAAAATGGAGGATAGAAGAAACGCTTACGGGATGAGTAGCTCCCACAGAATGCTTCATAGCTTCACCAGTGGCCTTGTTTACAAGAGCAAAACAAGGATGTCCCTCTTCGTCTTTCACTCGAGTGCTGTACTTCTCGTCTTTGTACCAGTGCTGCGCATTGTAAATACCATTTCTTCAAGAAATTTTCACAAACGAATATAACAAGAGAACATGATATAAGTGAAACCTGTTTCTGCATTCTAAATCACAACCAACAAGATTCAATCTTCCAAGTGTATACAATTGATAAAAGCTATACATAATTCTAAATCACTCAGATTCTCAAATGAGAGAAACAATTTGAGATGCATATGAATCAAACACATCAAAGCTAATGGTTTTTCTTATTAGCAGGATCAACAAATCAGCATGAATTGCAACTGATTCAAAGAAGGAAGCAAAAAAGGAAAAGACTTTGGATGGTGGTAATACCTGAGCTTCATCAGATGGATCAGATGGGGCCAAAATGACCTTACCGTCTCTGATGGTCAGATAATAGTCAGGCTCCGCCTTGGAATACACCTTCACGGTTTGCCTTCCGGCGAGTCCGGCAAGATTATCAGGCAGACGGTTCTCATCAGGACGCTGGTGGAAACCAGAAGGCGTGTCCGTCTGATGTGAACTCTGGTGAGACACGTGCATGACGGGCTGATGTGAGCCATGGTGAGACACGTGCGTGACGCCGCCAGTGTACTCTCCGTGGCTTTCCAGGGCCGAATTAGGCGGCGGGTAACCTCCGTAACGGTTTTGCTCCGGTGGGTAGGACTCGTTGGAAGTGTGGTGGCCGACATGGCTCACATGGCCGAATTGAGGCGGCGGAGGCGGAGCTTCGAAATAAGGCTCTGATCGGTAAGGCGCCGGCGGTGACGGAGCTTCGAAATAAGGTTCTGATCGGTATGAGCCAGCTGGCGGAGGAGGCGCGTAGGGATCGAACTGAGGTTCCGATCGGTAAGGAGGCACCGATGCTGCCGGAGACGGCGCGTAGGGATCGAAATGAGGCTGTGGCTGGTAAAGGCCAGGGGGTGTTGGAGCATCGACGAAATTGTTGCGCGGTGGTTGTGGAGCGAAGGATCGACGATCATCTTCTTCGCCGTCGTCGCGTCGTTGGTGGTGTTGATGGTGGTGATGACCAAATGGAGGATCCATTAGCTTTTTTCTCGATTGATCCAAGTTTCCGAGATGATGATGAGAGAAGGATGAGAAGAGAAATGATAAAACTTTAAAACCTTGTGAGAGAAAGAACAGATGGCAGATGGTTTTTGGCAAGACACTATTTAGTCACGTCTTCTATATTGATTAGTCCACTCTTAATTATTTTTCCCATTAAAAAAGATTTGATTTTCAAATTAATTACATAAAATAATTAATTATTAATTATAAAATTTAGGTTTGATTAAGTGTATATGATAATGTAAAGAACTGCAAAATTTGACAAAGTGACAACTGAATCCCGGTTTTGTATAAGAAAGAAACGGTATATCTTTAATGTAACAACAAATTATTATTTTTACATCTTTGTTAAACTGTATATTTTACCGTAATTTTTTCAGATTATTGAGTGTATCTAATTATAATTAACATGAGATATTTTTAAAAACAAAGCTTACTATATAATATACAGTTTATAATATTGGGCCCTTTAGAAATAAAAGTAGAAATTGTGAGTCGTTCCGGTGCGCTTCTTCAGAGCGACGACGCCATTTCGCACACACGGCTTCACTTCTTAGCTCAACGTTTTCCCCCTGAGATTCCCTTCTGCTTTGTCTCCTACAACCAGATCTCTTACTGGGTAAAGCACTTTCTTCTTCCTCTTTGCTGCTGGATTAGGGTTTTGTTTGTGACTCTAGTTTGATTTGGGTTCCATCAAGTCTCGTTTAATTTGATTGCATTTACCGGAGAAATTCGTCCACTTTTCTCCCTTTTTCTCATGGGGGAATTCCGCTCACTTAGCTTAATTTCGAAGAAAAGATGTAAACACAGCTTTGCTTAAGGCCGTTTCGAGCTCAATTTCGTCAATTTTTTTTTTTGTTCTCTCCGTCACTATCAGAAAGATATGCTTTTTCTGTAAAAACCTTTACTTTCCCTGGTTTTTTTTTCCTTTCTCGAGGTTCAAATTTAAACTTGATCGGATGTCATGTCTTTTTTTGTTGTTTCCTTTTCACGAATCATTTGATTGGAAATACCCTTGTTTGTGTCTTCACGTGTATATAGCTTTCGTTTTTACTTGGATCCTCTCACTATCTTTGAATCAGCTGTTTTATCATTCCTTACTGATACTTATTGATGCAGGGGGTTTCTTAAATGATGTACATGCTGGTGTAATACAATTAAGATGACGTCTTCGCATAATATCGAGTTGGAGGCAGCTAAGTTTCTGCACAAGCTCATTCAAGATTCGAAAGATGAACCGGCGAAGCTAGCAACAAAGCTTTATGTGGTGATGTGGCTTAGCCTTGTGCATGCTTCATATTGTGCTTTAAGATTTTAATAATCCTTTTGCTTTAATTTCATTTTTTTTGTCTTTTGATTACTTCAGATACTGCAGCATATGAAAACCAGCGGAAAGGAGCACTCAATGCCGTATCAAGTCATATCGAGGTATTGCTTTCCACTAGCCATTCGGTGATAAAATACTGATCATGGTGATTACATTCGTAATATCAAGAAGCTGGGTGTATCTTACTAAAAATGCTATGGTGTCACCGAATCGCATGTTGTATAGCCTTTGTCTAACTTGAAACTTTGGCGGTTTTCTCATTTCCATAACCTGCCTCGATTTGATTGCAAAGATTAGGCCATGAAAGTCGCAATTCACTTGAAATGTGGCATATAGTTATTATAATTATCACTCTTTTTGAGAATTATCACTCTTGTTCATGTTTTCACTTTAGTTCTGATATTTTCTTTCCAAAACTTCAAGAGCCATGGAGACTGTCGTCAATCAACATGGTCTTGACATTGAAGCTTTGAAGTCATCGCGTCTTCCTCATGCTGGTGGTACCCAAATGGAAGATTCTGGATCTGCACATTTGGCTGGTATTATGCATTTCTTCTCTTGCTTCAGTGTAGAATTTTGTTTATTATATGGAAATTTCTTCTGCTGGTCTTATCTTGCTCTTGAATTTTCGTACAGGGTCTTCTCAAGTTGGCCAAATCGTTGGAGTTAGCAGTGAGTCCAAAGCGAGTCTAGTTGAAAATGAGATGTCGAAATATGATGCATTCACTTCTGGTAGGCAGCTTGGTGGATCAAACAATGCATCACAATCCGTTTACCAAGGGTCTGGCACTCGAAGTAATAGATCCTTTGATCATGAGAGTCCATCCAGCTTGGATTCTAAGTCGGGAAATTCTCAATCTCACGATAGGAGTGAGACAATGAATCAAAGAGATGTCAAGTCAAGTGCAAAGAGAAAGAGGGGTGAATCGTCATTTCAATGGGAGCAAAATATGGATAATAATTCTCAACTATTTGATACTCAGGGAACAGTTGATGAACAGTCTAGGAAAGTGAGCAAAGTCGAAGTGCCTGGTAGTTCAGGTTAGGGAAGATTTATTGTGGAATTTAGAATCTTTTTAAATCAAGAATATAAACACAGCGCAACCTACTATTCTGTTATGTATGTATGCATGTTAACTGATTAGATTACTTGTGTACCTTTTTTGCTATTAAAATCCAGGTGACATTGAGAATTTGCATGTCGGGTTGTCATCAGATGCATTCACGACTCCTCAGGTACGAACATTTACACTATAATCTTTTTGAAATCCTCCAGTTTGCATTACACAATTCGCGCTTTCCCGACTGAAGTTTCTTACATGTTCGACTTTACCTTAGTCTTATTTGATGCACAAAACATTTTTTTAAAGTTTAAATAAGGAGATGCAGTTGTGTCACCTGATGACCTATTTGCGGAATCATTTGATTTGTTTTTAATATCTACTTGAATTTCCCAAGGGAACTTTTATCAAAAAGCGCTACTTTGTCAATACTTGAATTTTATGTGAGGTTTTGAATCTTACATGATATAGTCTAATCATGTCTTTGGTTCTACAATATGTATGTTCTCTACGTCCTGCCGAAGTAGCTTAGTTGGAAATGATGTCCTCTTAATGCGTCATGTTCATTTCTATGGCAGGGTGGCTGGCAAAACAGTGAAGTCACAGCAGGAAGGCCTCCAGCTCATAGAGATACTGGAAAATCTGTCGCAGCAGAGGATTTACTGCCTTCAGGTCCACTTTTCAAAGAGCAACAGTTGAAGCAGCTCAGAGCCCAGTGCCTTGTGTTCCTAGCGCTCAGGTAATTTTACGGTCTCTTAACCTCCTATTTACTTAAGTTGGTGTGATTGTTACTCTGAAAACCTCTGACTGATTTCCTTCTCTTAGAAATGGGTTGATGCCAAAAAAACTGCACATCGATATCGCCCTTGGAAATATTTTCCCCAAAGATGGTATTTATTTGCTTTCCCTTGGGTTATTTTCTTAGCCATTCCGACATGCTTTCCCTTAAACTGTAATTGCCCTGCAATACAGATGGTTTCCGCAGAGAACTGTTTGATCAGAAAGGACGAACACATTCTCTGAGTGAACCGGGTAACATTCACGAAGTCGCAGCTCCATCGGCAAGAACGGATAATCCCACTGGAAGATTGGCTGAAATGGACTTCCCGTCAAAAGAAACAGAGATGCCACGATTAGATGACAAAATCTCGAATGCTGTATTTTCTGATGGACAAAAGCTGCTTCTGGCATCTAAAATTCCGGAGACTCCGGCGCAAAATCAGGTTTCTGGTAGTCATTCGGAGCTGGCTTCTTCAGGTAGTCTTGCCAAACACGCGCCATCAGAGATTGGGGGGTGGGCCGGAATGATTAACCGTAATGACATCTCAACTTCCGCTTTCCTGCTCGATGAATTATATGCTCCAGGTCAGTGGACTACCTTAGATGAGCTAATTGTTAATGATAGGCTTCTCTCTTTTGAGTGGAAAACTTTGAATTAATGTGGTTGATAACTTTTGTAACATGGATGTATGGTACCTTGCAGATCAAGAGGAAGGTAACATGCAACAGCCGCCTAAGTACACCATGTCACAGAAATGGATTATGGATCGACAGAATAAGAGACTTTTGGTTGATCGTAGTTGGGGTATTAAACAGCAGAAAGCAGACCAGGCAATTGGTGCACGGTTCAATGAGTTGAAGGTTTTTCTCTTGCCCTTACTTTCATCTTACTTTTTCTTTTAATAGTTCATGACTCCTTTTATTTCGTTTTAGTGATTAATGTTTTCATTGTTCAACTTTATGCATTATACTTGCTGTTTCTGGTGGGTTCTGTATCCTTTTCTTGTGATTGGAAGATCAATAGTCATATTGAAATATCTATATCTGGATATAGACATGCCTGATATTGTGATCGAGTAAATTCTGGATCCAGTGGGGCTTTTGGACTGACCCCAGGATGTACTTTTCATCGAGTTATTGTGTTAATTTTTTAAGAATGAACCTCAACTGTTTTCGTACCTCCATGAAGGGGTATTAATCTATTTCAGCTTACAGAACATGTAAAATTTTGTTTGTCATGAGCTTTTGCTTTTTGCTTTCATATTTGAAGTAATTGCTAGGATTTTTGTTTTGCCTTGGGTCATTTTGTCGAAACAGCCTTCACATATGAAGTAAACTAGTTGTACTTGTGTCCATACTTAACTCGGGTCTCTCTAATATTTTTTTTTGGATATATGTTGTTCTAATTTAAGTCTCTTAATCTGCAGGAATCTGCAAATTCGTCGGAGGATATATCTACAAAGACCAAACGTGTCATAGAACTGAAAAAGCTTCAGCTGTTAAATCTTCAACGACGTTTGAGGAGGTAACTGTATGTAATTCGGTTAAAAAAAATATTTAGACTGTATTTCTCATTCGATATATTCAGAATCTTTTTATGCTACTGTCCCAATAAGTCGAGTTTACAAGACATACAACTAGCTATTCAGTTATTGCTATACTAGAATGCAAACTTTTTTGGTCTTTTATCTGTATATTTGTGTATATGTTCAACCTGTCACATCTTCTCAGCTGCTAGTGCTTTTTGTTGATTTGTTGAAGCAGTGAGTTTCTTTACAACTTCTTCAAACCTATTGCAACTGATGTTGAGAATCTAAAGTCATATAAGAAACACAAGCATGGCCGGAGAATTAAGCAGCTTGAGAAGTATGAGCAGAAGATGAAGGAAGAGCGACAGAGGAGAATTCGTGAGAGGCAGAAGGAGTTCTTTGGAGAGATAGAAGTTCACAAGTATGTGCAATATGTTGTCTATCTTAATCAATTTTTCTCTTCGACCTCTTTTGTGATCCTATTAGAACACTTGTATATTTGATTTTAACTGTTTTTAACTTAAATTTTTGCCGAACCTTGCTTTAGGGAAAGGCTAGAGGACTCATTCAAATCTAGGAGAGAAAGGTGGAAGGGTTTCAATAGATATGTAAAGGAGTTCCACAAAAGAAAGGAACGCTTTCATCGCGAGAAGATTGACAAAATTCAACGGGAGAAGATTAATTTGTTAAAGATTAATGATGTGGAGGGTTATCTACGTATGGTGCAGGTTCGGTCTCTGAACTAATTTTGGAAGTTTTATGGTTATAAGTTCTTCTTCTATGTTGTGTAATTGGGAGATGCGTGAATTTGCAGGATGCCAAGTCAGATCGAGTAAAGCAACTACTCAAAGAGACAGAGAAGTACCTTCAAAAACTTGGATCAAAGTTAAAGGAGGCAAAATCTTTGACCAGTCGATTTGAGAATGAGGCAGATGAGACGTCGACTGCTGTTGAGGATGAAACTTCGGTTGAAAATGAAGATGAGAGTGACCAGGCAAAGGCAAGTCATCTTTCCCAAGATTTCATTTTCTTTTTGCGTTCCTCCATTTGCTTCTGATGTCGTTACCATCTGTATTTTACACAGCACTACTTGGAAAGCAATGAAAAATACTACTTGATGGCTCACAGGTAACATTGCTTCTTCTTCTTATAATTACTGCCAAATATCATCAAAATGAACTCTGGTTTCATAATTTTCTGATTTATATCTGAATAACCATTTTCGCCTTCACTTTTTATCCAAAATTTTGGTTATGCTGTTTGTAAAATATGGTAATATTGGAGCATCTTTTTCATTCCTCTACTTACGAGAAATTGTTTTTGCAGTATAAAAGAAAATATTAACGAGCAGCCAGCTACCCTAAAGGGTGGAAAATTAAGAGAGTAAGTGGATCGTACCCGCCTTTTTAGTTCCTGGAACTATACAATTGAGCCCTTCCTAGTTTTTGGTAAGAATATGTCGTGGGATGCTTACAACTACAAAATCTGACTTCTTAGGTACCAAATGAATGGCCTGAGATGGCTTCTTTCCCTGTACAACAATCATTTGAATGGCATTCTAGCTGATGAGATGGGTCTCGGTAAAACTGTTCAGGTATTAAATGGCAGTCCTGTTGGTACATATGCGCACATGGTATATTTGTTTGAATCGATTATTAGGTTATATTTTTTTTTTCTTTTTTTTTTCAGGTTATTTCGTTGATTTGCTATCTGATGGAGACAAAAAATGATAGAGGTCCCTTCTTGGTTGTTGTACCATCCTCTGTACTGCCTGGCTGGGTGTCCGAAATTAACTTCTGGGCCCCGGCAATTCAGAAAATTGTTTATTGCGGCCCTCCGGAGGAGCGGCGCAAGCTATTCAAGTACTGTAAAGAAAAGTTCTTATGTTGTTCTTTATGTCTCAGATTTGAATGTTGTTCTTTATGTGTCAGATATTAAGGTTCACTGTTTTCTTTCTTAATTGCAGGGAGCAAATTGTTCATCAGAAGTTCAATGTCCTTCTGACAACATATGAATACCTAATGAACAAGCACGATAGGCCTAAACTAAGCAAGATTCTTTGGCATTACATTATTATTGACGAAGGACATCGCATAAAGAATGCATCTTGCAAGTTAAATGCGGACCTGAAACACTACAACAGCTCTCACCGACTACTGTTAACTGGGACGCCATTGCAGGTACTTTTTTTCGTTCATTCTCCTTCTCATAATTATTTTGACACATACTCTTGATTTTACTATCTCTTTGTTGCTATTTTCTGCTGTTGACATCGCTCATCATCTCAGTATTTTATCTCTCTTATAGAACAACCTGGAAGAATTGTGGGCTCTGCTTAATTTCCTGTTGCCTAATATATTCAATTCGTCAGAAGACTTTTCACAATGGTTCAACAAACCATTTCAAAGTAATGGAGATAATTCTGCGGAAGAGGTAGCACTGACTGTCTAATTATTCAGATAATAACGGGTATACTAATCTTAAGAGATCGTGGTTTTAACTACAAGCTTATGATTGCCATCTGACTAGGCGTTGCTATCAGAAGAGGAGAATTTGCTGATCATCAATCGTCTTCATCAAGTTCTTCGACCATTCGTGTTGCGGCGGCTTAAACATAAGGTTGATAACATGATATCGTCCTTGCAACATTGTTCCTTTTTCCTTCCTTTTTGCAGACTCCAACATTGTCGTTAAAATAGGATATTGCCATGAAAAATGTATGCATTTGTGTTTTTTTTTGTGAATTTTAAATTTAATTGTATCAGCTAATTTATTTTGGTAGGTTGAGAATGAACTTCCTGAAAAGATAGAGAGACTCATACGGTGCGAGGCTTCTGCATATCAGAAGCTGTTGATGAAGAGGGTTGAGGATAATCTGGGCTCGATTGGAAACGTGAAGGTGCTGTTTTGTGCTCTGCGTATTGTCAGATTTGTGATAGTGTTGAGTTATTTCTTAGTTAGTTTTCTTCTTACAGTCTCGTGCAGTGCACAACTCAGTGATGGAGCTTCGGAATATTTGCAATCATCCATATCTCAGCCAACTTCACACAGAAGAGGTACTATTTTTCATCTATGCAAAGAATTTCTGGTTAGTGCACTACGGAAAGTTCTGACGAAAGGCCTGCGTAAATCACTTTCTCTAGGTCAATAGCTTAATTCCTGAGCATTATCTGCCTCCAGTAATAAGACTGTGTGGGAAGCTTGAGATGTTGGACCGGCTCTTACCCAAACTTAAAGCAACAGACCATCGGGTAATGATTTTTTTTTCGTCACTACTATGTCAATGGAATAGTTCTGATGATTCAATGCTTAAAAAAGAAACAGCTGATTATTCGAGCTGTATCACGAGATATCAAGCAATGTCCTAAAGTACCTTTCAGTGCCCTCGCCTCTGAAAGATTGAAATGCTAGCTAAAACATACCCAGCTCACTCTTAAAACTAGTAATGCTTCATGCAAACAGAGCAAGTATCACTTGAATCTAATTTATACTTGCTCTCTTTGCATGAAGCATTACTAGTTTTAGGAGGGAGCTGGGTATGTTTTAGCTAGCATTTCTCCTTTACTTTGTTGCTTCAACTATACCGAATTCTATTACTTGTGAAATGCACAATGATGCCATGATTTGTTACTCTGCGGCATTTTGACCCTAATTTTACTGCAGATGCATATAAGTGTCTGATAGTTTTTTGGCATGAATACCTGCAGGTTCTCTTCTTTTCAACAATGACTAGGCTTCTTGATGTTATGGAAGATTATCTCACCTTCAAGGGATACAAATATCTTAGGTTAGATGGGCACACATCTGGGGGTGATCGTGGCGCTCTTATCGACGGTTTCAACAAGTCTGATTCACCATTTTTCATATTTTTGTTGAGGTAATACATGATATTTCATATTTGCTTTCTTTTTCTAAGCTTCATCAGAATGATTCATGTTACTCAAACTTACATTCGGGAATTACAGGTTGTAATGCTATCATTAAACTTTCTGCCGTTTATAGTAACGTAGCTGTAATACTTATAAGTATCTGAATGTGATTACTGAATCTTTCATGGGAATTCAGCATACGGGCTGGTGGAGTTGGAGTTAATCTTCAAGCTGCCGATACTGTAATAATATTTGACACCGACTGGAATCCTCAGGTTAAACATAACAGTCCTTCATGTCAAGTTATAGTATGCTGTGGACATCAGTTCAGACTTTGAGGAGTTTATTATATATTTCAGGTTGATCTACAAGCTCAAGCAAGGGCTCACAGGATTGGCCAGAAAAGAGATGTTCTAGTTCTTCGTTTTGAAACGGTTAGTTTATTATTGTCTGCAAGGTTCAAATTTCTGTAAAGAAATGTGCTTTTTATTTTCTTTCATTTAAACTTTGTGGCTTCTTAATGTAGTGCAGTTCTCTTAAATCTATTGGTCTCATGACTTAATATGTAGCCTTGGGACATTCTAATTTGTACTCTATGTGTTTCCTTTCCACTGATACTTAATTCTTCAATTGACCGTCTGAAATGGTTGTCTTTCGTTCTTCCTTGTATCCTAAGGTCAATACTGTTGAGGAGCAAGTTAGAGCTTCAGCCGAACATAAACTTGGAGTTGCTAACCAGAGTATCACTGCTGGCTTTTTCGACAATAACACAAGGTGAATCCCAGAGACATCTATTTTTTTTGCTTCAAAATTACTAGCTACCAACTTTCTAATATAATTAGTATTGTTGTTTTTGTAACAGCGCTGAAGATCGTAAGGAATATTTGGAGTCCTTATTGCGTGAGTCAAAGAAAGAGGAGGCTGCTCCAGTGTTGGACGATGATGCCTTAAATGATCTTATAGCCCGAAGGTGGCTACTGGTTTATCATTTTCTTTCAGAATATTATTTTTGCTTATATTTCGATTTAATTTGGTTCCTTGAAATTGTGCACTATGATTACTGCAATCAGGTTTGTACAAAGTATTTTTACTTTCTAACTGTAAAGTAGTTATCCATCAAATAATTTTATCCGCCTATCATCTACTAGGTAGTTCCATGTGTTCTCTGTTAAGTATTTGGCTGAGTTTCTTCTGTCTTACTCTTAGATGAAACTCTTTTTTACATTTTCTCGAATTTTCTCGAATTTTCTTTTTGCTTTCTTGTAGATCTGACATTTTTGTTGTTTTTCCTAGGGAGGAAGAGATCGACATCTTTGAATCCATCGACAAACAAAGAAAAGAAGATGAGATGGTAAGTTTGTTCTTAATAACTTTATTTTTGGTCTATTTTATTAAAGTCTTATGATGTTTATCTGATGCCATGGCCCTGCAGGAAACATGGAAGAGCTTGGTACAGGGACCAGGGTCAAAAAGTTTTGCACCTATACCACCTATCCCCTCTCGTCTTGTTACTGAGGATGACTTAAAACTGCTATATGAAGCAATGAAAATAAATAATGTCCCGATGGTTGCAGTAGAACCAAATGTTGGCATGAAGCGGAAGGGTGGTTCGGTAGGAGGCTTCGATACTCAGCAATATGGAAGAGGCAAACGAGCAAGAGAGGTTGGTTGAGTAAACTTCTTTTAATATTCAATTGTCTACCTTACTATGATACTGCTGATAGCACCTTAAATTGACAAAAAAAATGCAATTTCATAAGGTTCGATCTTACGAAGAGCAACTGACAGAGGAGGAGTTTGAAAAGATGTGTCAGACCGAGTCAACCGATTCTCCCAGAGGCAAGGAAGAAGGAATTGAGAAGTGTTTGGCAAATGATACATCAAATATTCTGGGTGGAAACACTGGTGAAACGAGCTTGGCAAATGCTACATCAAATATTCTGCCTGGAAACACTGGTGAAAAGAGCTTGGAAAATGATAACGTAGACATTTTGGCTGGAAACACTGGTGACACAGTGCTCCCCACATCTCTGGCACTGGCACTAACTTCACAATCCGTGGAATCTCTACATAAATTACAGCAGCCACCGAAAGAAGTAACAGAACCTGTAAAACGGGGACGTGGTAGGCCAAAAAGAGCTGATAAAACGTTGAGTCCTTCACCTGTATCAGTTCCCGGGAGGAAAAATGCAACAGGGGATGTTAGATCATTGGCAGTTATTGGTTCTGATGTTGCTGTCCCTAGAGGAAAGGATGAAACGTCTACTTCGGCTCGTCCTCTTACTTCGCCAAATTTATCCGTTCCTCCTGGTTTTCAACCACTTCCTGACTCTGTTTCTGCTCCAGTGCCAACAAGGGGTCGGGGCAGGGGAAGAGGCAGGGGGCGTGGCACAGGAAGGGGAAGGAAAACGGAAAATATGCTGCATGGTACTGAAAGTTCCATAGGTACTCAGAGAGCTAATGCCCTTGCATCTCTTTCTGGTGATCCCGCAGCGTCAAATTCAGCAATTGTTCCTGTCTCTTCAGCTGAGATTAAAGCAAAAGTCCCTAAACTTATTGAAGGAAGTACTTCAAATCTTGGGCCAGCGCCTTCTGTGCATTCTGATACTTCTGCTGTGCAGCCCTCTCATGCTGTCTCTCTACAGGATAGCAGTCTGCAGTGCATTAAAAACAAACCAGACGTAGCAGCAGACCTAGATGCACCGCCTGGTTTTGGTTCTGGATCACATGTTCAGTCGCTAAATTTCTCGGAGGATTCCTTGAGAAATAAAACAGATGCTGTACAGAACCAGGGGTCAGGAGTTCTAAAACAGCCAGTTAACTTACCAAGCTCTACTACTTTAGGTATATAATTCGCACATTGGCTTTATAATTTTCACAAGACATTGTTCACTAGAATCTCAAAATCAATTTTTTTGGCATTTCGTCCCTCAGGTCAAAATCAGAGAGCTGTCTCTTCTTCTGCTACCATGACAAATACACCTTTAGATGCTAATCAGCCATTGAGTCCCCACCTTGTTTGTTCTACGGTTGAAGGTACAGATATTTGAAGCATCGAAATTTTCTTAACCTGCTTTGGATTCTCAATTTTTATCGTTGTGCACTATCGTCTTTGCAGCTCAAGGCGCCGGTGTTCTTACTCCTCCTGCATCTTTGCCTGTCAAGAGGCAAGGTCGGAAGATGCCAAGCAGAGGAGAAACTCCTAGACGCCGAGGAAGGAGACATGTTCAAGCTTTATCTGTTGCTGATGGCACTTCTGCACGGAGCACAAGATCAACACCACAAATTGAGGCCAAGGTTGGTGATTCACCAGGCTCCAAAATTATATCAGTTGGAAATAAGTGTGATGTTGTCCAAGAACAACCCCTCTTGAACCAGTCAGTTGCACACTCTTTTGCCAGTCCAAGTCAGGAAAAAAGAATAGAAACCTCAGGTATTGGTGGTTCTGGAAGGAAACAAATTACTGATGTGACTGATGTTGCTCGCGTCATGAAAGAGATATTTTCAGAGACTTCCCTGTTAAAACAGAAAGTTGGGGAGCCTTCTGAAACAGTGAGAACAAATGAGCCTGATGGGAAATCCCCGGGAAAGATGAATATGCACATAGTTACCACCAGCAAGCCAGAGAATATAAACCAACCTGCCGTTCAAAACTTGGGAGTGGAAACATGTGTTTCCAAACTTTCAGTCGAAAAGCAAAAGTCTGGGTCTTCAGTGATGATTGATGAGATTATTAAATCTTCACCTGACATTGAGGCTTCTGTTTCTCAGCCTGATGTTATAACACCTCAAGGTACAATGCTCATTGACTCAAAAAATCCTGTGGGTGGAGAGTTGGTTGAGTCGAAACTGAAAGTAGCACCATCAACCGATCCAAACTTGGGAATAGCAACATCTGTTTCCAATGTTTCAGAAGAAACTAAATTTTCTGATTCTTCTTTGATGGTCCATGATATTGTAAAACCTTCACCTGGATTCGAGGCTCCTGTTAATCAGTCTGATGATTCTTCAGCTCGAGGTACTGTCCCCATTGATTCAAAAAGCCCTGTGGACAAAGATTTGCTTGAGATAAACAAAGAAAGTCAACCACTAGAGTCTCAGGATGATGGTTCTGGGCAAAGTTTACTAGCTCCGGATGCTGATTTCGCTGAGGCTTCTAACAAACGGGCCGGGCAATCTATATCACCTTCAGTTTCGCCTGCAGCAATGAAGATGACTGAAAATATGGTTGGACTGAATTCAAAGGAATCCTTGGAAACTGTTCCACTTATTTCTGTTAATGTTGTTGAAGATTCGGAATTGCCTTCAGTATCTAATGAACAGGGTTCTCCAAAGAAAACTGAGTCGCCTGAAATCCATAAATCTAGCGGTGTTGATTCGGATTGTCGCATTAGTCCTACTAATTCTGCTGAAGTTGAGGGTGGTAGCAACTTTTCCGGAAGTAGTTCAGAGGTACCAGAAATGTTGAATGATTCTGTGGCTAAAAGCACTTTGGAGATGAGTGTTTCCGTATCTGAGAAAGTTCTAGAAAAAGGGTGTCAGACATCTAGTTCTGATGATCTGAAGTGTGTCCTTGACCCTGAGAAAACGGATGCCGAAGGTGATACTGCCAGAATAACAAACGTCCATTTAGATCCTGCGGGCTCCAGTGATGCTGCTACTTCCCAAAAGGCGGATATACTTCCTGTAGGCCATACTTTGTATTGTCCACCTAATATTTCGACTGAGGGAGCTCTTGCAGACCAGATTGTAACTGAAGAGGCTTCTTCTGGTCCTAAGAATCCCGGATCTTTATATAACCCGATCAACGAGAAAAATCTGGTCTCAAATATTCCTCACCTTGGGTCTGGTGATCCGATTGGATTGGTTGCAAACAAGGATGGTGGCACTGAGTTGTCTGTGATTGTTGGGGGAGCCGAAAATTACCTTCTCCAGATTCCTGGTGTTGAAGCGGATTCTTTTGTGATACAACAATCTTCAGGTGGTGTTTTTCCTGTTCATTCTTTGGAAAGTTCGCAAGAAGGTAAAACCACACATAACAGTCCTGGTGATACACCCCATGTTAATGCACCACTTGCAGAAGAAATATCATCTTCATCAAGATGTGTTTCACCTAAGTCTATTGCATCTGAGACGACAACTACAGAACCTTTACCAAAAGAACAGCAGGAAACAAATCTTTCTTTCGAAGTTGCTGGTGAAAAAATCGATGGTGATAAAAGAGGAGCTATCCCCTTGATTCCAGTAGAACAGATGAACGTGCACCCCACGGTTGAGTCTCATGAGCTTGAGACAAGGTCTGAGGAATTTCAAGGATCTCCAAGGAGAACTGATGAAATTTCCCATGTGGATGGCAAATCTTTCAATACGAAAAATCAGACTGCTAAAGAGGTCAAGGCAGAAAGTATAAAAGGTGAAAGTCCGAAGGATCAGATTTGCAATTTGGGACCAAGTTCGGTTGCAGTTCAATCGTCTATGCTGTACACTGATGGACAAAAGACACACACTAGCAATGAGAACTCTATATCACTTGTTCATAAAGATTATGGTAGTCCTCTATCTGATTCTGCTAACACAGAACAAGATTCTGAAGAGAAAGTTTCGAGTCAAGATGTTGACAGTTGTAAAGTTGGTGGAGAAGCTAGTACTGCTGACACAGAGATGGAGGATGCCGATGATGCCAAGCTTCCGGTGGTTTATCCAGTTGAAAGGGAGGAGAAAGACAAAACTCTTCAACCCAGTATGACCAACGATGATACCGTTATCCCTGCCCCTTTTGAAAAGGTAATAGACGGTGAAGGATGTAGTTTACCTGGAAAACGTGATCTCTCTTGTCCAATGGATGTGATGGGACATGAAGGATTCGAATCAGAGACACATGCTCATACAGATACAAGTGATGTTGATATGTCAGAAAGTATGTCTGATGGCGGAAACATGAATGTCTCATCCGGGCAGGTCCTAGATGTATCATATGATTTGAAAGTGTCTCACTCTTTGTCACAGGATCAAACAGGTTTTCCCCTGGTTGGTCTAATACCTGAAAATTTGCAAAAAGACGAGGATGAGCCTGCATCACCTCAGGAAGCAAAAAAGAACATCGTGGGTTTCCAGTCAGAGGAAAATCAGTCTCCGAGTATTTTGCCAGACGCTACATCAGGAAAATCAGAGGATGAAAATTGTGAGCAAATGGATATCTCTGGTGGCAGCATTTCAGGGAAGACGTGTCAGCCTTTATCTTCTATCCAGTCTGAGGGTGAGAATGACAATAACTTGTCACAGCCTGAACTGCGTTCAAACTCAGAAATAGTTGAACCAATGGCTTTAGGAGCTCAGTTGTGCGAAGGATCTGGGGTAGAGATAGCCTCTGATATGCCTGTAAATAAATCAGCTAATCTCCAGCACTTGTCCACCAGTTTGGATGAGCAAAAGAATATTGATGATGTAACTATTGGACTGGAAGAAGACAAAGTTCTCGAATCTGTTGAAGTCGATCGTATTTGCAACACTGATGTCCAACCGTCTCCCTCTGTTTCAGCTGAAGAAAAGAAAACTGGAAATGGTTTGCAGCAAGGGGAATGCAAAGATTATACATGCGACAGTGAGACAAGTGCTGCAATGGCCGTAGTAGATACACTAGTTGATGTTCAGCCCTCATCGTTTCTTACAGTTGAGCAAAAAAACATTGAGGATGAAGAACAAGTTGAAACTGCTGGATGTGAGATAGCTGATGTCGAGGATAAAGAACAAGTTGAAACTGCTGGATGTGAGATGGCTGATGTCGAGGATAAAGAACAAGTTGAAACTGTTACATGTGAGATAGCTGATGTCGAGGATACAGAACAAGTTAAAACTGCTGAATGTGAGATGGCTGATGTCGAGGATAAAGAAGTTGAAACTGATGAATGTGAGATGGCTGATGTCGAGGATAAAGAACAAGTTGAAACTGCTGAGTGTGAGATAGCTGATGTCGAGGATAAAGAACAAGTTGAAACTGCTGGATGTGAGATAGCTGATGTCTCCACTGTATGTTTGTCAGAACCTCAAGTTCAATTACCTTCCTCTGCAGAGGAAGTGGGAGGTCCAGCTGATGTCCAGCCTTCAGCTTCTCTTACAGTTGAACAAAAGAACATCGAGGATACAGAACAAGTTGAAGTTTCTGGATGTGAGATGGCTGATGCCTCGACTGGATGTTTGTCAGAGCCCCATGAGCAACTCGGAGGTACGCACGTTCATTAATTCAAGGACACATCTTGTAGCATGATTACACGTTAAGGGCAACAAAGAAATCTAAATATGAATTTATTTTTATTAGTAAATAGATCTTTCAATTTTTTTTGAAGGTACAGACTTCCCTTCGTCTGTCCCAGTGATTGAGGGAGAGAAGGCCGAGAGCCCATCCAGCGGTACAATCGTTTCGGTTCAGCCAGAGGATTTATGCACGAATGTAGGTGAAACTGAGGAGCCTACACAAATGGAGGAAGTTGGTGATGCAAGTGACCATTCTGGAGATAATGTGGCTTCTAGTGTCTTGGGGGAAAAGGAAAAATCAAAGGACGAACGAGAGCATGTGTCTCCAGCATTAAGGTCTGAGGAAGAGACCAAGGCCGAGGGCCCATCAGATGGGAAAGACATGATTGATGGTGAAGCCAGTGGTATAACCGTCTCGGTTCAGCCAGAGGATTTGCAGAGGAATCTAGCTGACACTGAGGAGCCCACACAGATGGGGGAAGCTGGTAATGCAAGCGACCATTCTGAAGATAATGTGGCAGAAGAATCAAAGGATCAACTAGAGCTTTTGTCTTCGGCATTAAGTTCAGAGGAAGAGTCCAAGGCCGAGAACCCATCGGACGAGAGAAACATGATTGATGGTGAACCCAGCGGTATAACTGTTTCTGTTCAGCCAGAGGATTTGTCGAAGAATCGAGTTGACACTGAGGAGCCCGCACAGATAGGCGAGGCCGAAAATGCAAGCGACCATTCTGAAGAAAAAGAAGAATCAAAGGATCAACCAGAGCATGTGTCTCCAGCATTAAGTTCAGAGGAAGAGTCCAAGGCCGAGAACCCATCGGACGAGAGAAACATGACTGATGGTGAACCTAGCGATATGACCATTCCGGTTCAGCCAGAGGATTCGTCGAGGAATTTAGTTGGAACTGAGGAGTCCACACAGGTGGGGGAAGTTGATAATGCAAACGACCATTCTGAAGATGAATCAAAGGATGAATGAGAGCATTTATCTTTATTGGATTAGAGTAGTGGTTTAGTTTAACCATGTAATCAGTCTCGGTATACTATGTTTGTCGGAACAGTATGCGAGTGTGAATGTACTCAGAATCAGATTACCATGGTCTCTACCGATGTCCTAGTAATACTTATAACAAACACGTCTAAATATATATTACGTGCTTATAAAAAACTGATTTTACTAATCAACAATGGTAATCTTCAATATATCAAAGTTAGACGTTGGGACCTTTGTAGAGAACATCTTCAAGTGCTTCCACCAAAATTCAGCCAGAGGACCAGCTTGCCGCCTGTTTTTTATGTTGAATATGTTAGAAGAAGAAGATAACTTTTTGTAAGCAACAAAATTGCAGAACACTCTGAATCGCTTACCTATACAAAGGAACTTTACGGAACCTAGCTACCAAATTCTCAATACATGTTGACTCTCCTCCATTGAAGTCTTAGCTTTGCTCATATGCAAACACAAGACACTCTTCAACCTTCTCTGCTACTTGCAGCCATCGAGCTCTCTCTTCTTCTTTTCTCGCTTCAGTTATCACATTTGTTGAATATAAACATATATAAAACCACACTGAGAAAGACAAAGTGTTGTTCGTTCGTTTTCTTTGTCAAAAGCACATAGCCAGAGCCCGAATTCTGTTCATCAGTACCAAAGTCACTGTTTACAGGTGGAGGAACCTCATCTTCGATTTCATTTGGACCAATAAGAAACCATTTTGAAATTAAATTTTCTGAAAATGTAATACGGTTGCATTGATCAATGCTACTCGAAGTCAATGTTTTTCTTGGATTTTGTGATAAGAGAATCCGGAACAGGGGAAGTCTATCCGGATCATTCGAATGTTGTAGGAATATTAAGACATGTCGTCAAAATTCACCAGATTCAACCAATATTTGAAGATTGACTTATTGAATTTGGCCTCTATAATTTTCATAAGATCCGGTTGGGTATTTATGATTTATTTTGTTCGATTTGTAAATATTTTACCGTAAAATTTTGAATAACTGAATTTCCAAAAATTATCGTAATATCGATTTGACCAATAATGCCTGTCCAGATCTTCATGATTCCAGAGAATGTGCTCTACTTGGCGCTGTGGTGTTTTTTGGTTCTCAGTTTTAGAGGGTTGTAGATATCTATCTTTATGCTCTTGTTGTAATGGTGTTCTTTAGGCATGATGAGAGGGCAACGAGGTTGTGATTTTCGTATCTTTGGTCTATATAACGCGGTCATCAGAAGACATGTCTAGTCTGCTTCATCATATTGCTGTAAACATTTAAGAAAAGGTACATGTTGAGGTAGACAAAAATAGAGACATTGTCACAGGTTACATAATTCTGTAATCATTTTAATTATTTTAGTCCAAAAGTAAAAAAAAAAAGTTGTTGACCAAACTGATACCCATTGTTAGTTATAGTTGATTAATGTTGAACAAAAATAGGTGAGTCAATAAAAGTTGAGAATTAAAAGGAGTTATCAACAAAATTTGTTAAAAAGTTGTGCCATTTTTGTCCAAAAATTGATGATTTATTTGTCATTTTTTCCATTTAAAAACTTTATTAGAGAAATTGATTTCTCTTGGATTCAGAGATTCTGTCAAAATCCTTGGAGTAGCTGCCAATTAGAAGAGATCAATCAGCCGAAAATTGAAGAACAGCTCCAAAAATCTGGTGTCAACTTTGAAACACTTGGAGTGTTTGAGAAAACAGGCTTTTGACACTAAGCTCATGAAGAGAATGCAGAAATGGGATGAATATAATCATGCATTATGGATGTTCACGTTATGGTTCAGCTAATGAAGCTAAATGATTTGTTGGAATTCCATATTTTTCTAATTCTGTTGACTTGTAGCTTAATAATTAATCCTTCATTCTCACATCACATACAGGGAACTTTGCTTGGCCACCCAGATATATAATTATTTCAATAATTATTCAATTCCCCCTATAAAAAATTCAACGAGCAATTGGAGCTACCATGGAGCCTCAGTTTCACTATAAAGCAACTCTGCCAAATGCTTCTTCAAGTACAACTAAAACAGATACTTTAAAGAAAACATAAAAATTTAGAGTCGAGTCATCATGGCTAAGAATCAGCAGATTGCAGCGATTCGGTTTCTATTTCCTCTTGTTTTGTTTTTGGCTGTCTTACTTTGTGTTGTTGATGGTAAGAGATTTAGTCATACTCATGACCATAAGATCAGAAGAGGAAAATGGGAGGGTAAGCTGAAGATGAAATTCTATCACAAAACCTGCCCTCAAGCCGAGGATATCGTGAGAGAGATTGTCTCTAAGAAAGTCGAAGCAAACCCTAGCTTGGCTCCCAAGTTACTGAGAGTTCATTACCATGATTGCTTTGTCAGGGTATATGATATGCATACTTATAATTCTAATATATATATAGCTTTTAAAACATTTCTTTTCAAATTTCCGGAAAGATCACAAGTCTAACTAATGTGGATTATTGATGATTGTTCAGGGGTGCGACGCATCACTGCTTTTAGATCCGGTTGCTGGAAAAGCCGCGTCAGAGAAGGAAGCGAGACCTAATCTCTCGCTTTCAGGGTTTGAAGTCATCGATGAGATCAAGTCCCTTCTCGAAAAGAAATGCCCCAAAACCGTCTCTTGCGCTGACATTCTCACCCTAGCCTCCCGTGATGCCGTCTCGTACCTAGTAATAACTAAAACAAACTCGTCCAAATATATATCAAAGACAGTTTAATTAAAATGATAAGAAAATTCGGCTTATCAAACAAACTAATCTAACTATATTACGTGCTTAGAAAATTTTGATTTTACTAATCAACCTTGGTAATCTAGTGTTTAGAATTATAGACAGTTTATTACAAGATTTATGATTATTTTAGAGTTTGGTCTATGGACGGTTTTGTAAAACAAAAACTTTATAAAGTCAAGATTTGTGAGTTTTTGGGAAATTAATGATAAATCCTGAAGTTTGATGTTATAGTATGGACGGCAGCTATGGAATGTCTTCACCGGACGTGTTGACGGAAGAGTTTCGTTGGCGACGGAGGCCGCCAGAGACTTACCTTCTGCTGGTGCAAACTTCACCTCTCTGCAGAAACTCTTTGCCGAGAGCGATTTGGACGTCGTTGACCTCGTGGCTTTATCAGGTTTAACCATATATATTCATTTTCTTTTCTTTCGTTATGTACACAATATTCATACGTTACTGATAAGAAACCAAGTAAACTAAAAACAAACTTATGAAATGAAATAAGAAAATCGCGGGAATATCAGACCACGTGCATGTCCATGTTAGGAAGTGTGTGAGAGATGCTAAAAATTTGATTCTTCCAATCGTGAAGAAATAGTATAATACTTTCGTATATACTAAACAAAAATATACATTTTCAACATCAAATATTTGAGGAGGATCTCGCACGTGATAATTATTCAACAATATTCAACTCATTTGCTTAGGAATCATCTGATATTTGATATTAATCATCTATTTTTTTCATTTGATCATTAAGTTTGAAAGCTAGCTTTATGTACTTTTAATATTTAATTACTGTTGAATGCAAGCAACTTTTTTGTACAAAATAAAAGTTTAGAATTTATCGATATTATATCATTCGCTGTGAACCTTTTTGATAGTCGATAAAGTTTGAAATAGAAAATAAATTGTATGAAACAGGAGCACACACAATAGGAACAGCACGTTGCGGTGTGTTTGGTCGGAGGCTCTTGAACTTCACCGGGAAAGGAGACACAGATCCTTCCCTCAACTCTACCTACGCCACTTTACTCAAATCCAAATGCTCCGACAAATCTCTAAGACTAAACTCTTCCGCAGTGGTCGGAATGGACCCCACCGGACCTCTCTCCTTTGACAGTGGCTACTTCATCTCTCTCCTCCAACACAAAGGACTCTTCACCTCCGACGCCGCCTTGTTGACTGATCCCTCCGCCGCTAACATTGCTAGTCTTTTCCAAAACTCGGGAAGTTTTCTTGCTCAGTTTGGTCGGTCTATGAACAAGATGAGTTCCATCAAAGTCCTTACACTTGGAGATAAAGGTGGTGAGATTCGCAGAAATTGTCGCTTCGTCAACTAATTATATCACTTTCCATCCAATATTCGTTACCGTAATTTTAATTTTCATGTAATCATCTTTTGATATTAATTTGTTTTGCTAAACGATCGTGTATAAGTCCATATCCAAGGTTATATACGGTACATGTTCTATTTTTTCATATTTAATCAGTACAATAAAATTCTTCATAATAAATTTTCTCGAACTCGATTGTAAAATCGAACCCCTTTGTCTTCAAACAGTTATCATTATCTTACCATCTACTACAAAGAAAGATCATAGTTTAACTTTAACTCAAGTCAAAAGAAGTCTAATTTAACACTTGACACACTTGACCTTTGTTGGCTTTCCCATCACAAGTATGTTTGTTTTCCTTAAAATAACATCTCGGTAGTTAAATAGTCTCTTGATGAAGTCGATTGTTTTCAAACAAGTTGATTAAAAATACAGAATCCACTAATTAATTAAAAGGTAATTTTTATTAGTGCCATTTATCTTTGACTATCATTTTAAAGAACTTTACCTTTCAGCTCTTCTCGGTGTGGAAAATGATACAAAGCCTTAGGCTGATTTCATTTACTTGCTCTTCAAGAACATCTGATATTCTGCATGTTTGGAAAAAATAATAAGTATGAATTTCAACTTGAAATTTTTTTTGAGTTATATATACCATGTGATATTTCCACGATATGATTGACTAAATAAAAATCGCGTAATCATTAGTTTACTTGACTCTGATGTCAAGAAGTAAATATTAGTACAGTAGTTTAACTTGAAATCATTTAGTCGCGTAAGTCCACACGATTTTGAAAAAGTCTTTGTGAGCCAATTTCTTCAACTTGAAATCATTTACACCACATGACAAAGACATTTGCATAATGCATTTGCGTCGTCATTTTATATTCTCACCTCCCTCCAGTATATGAGAAGTACCAGACACATTTAATACAGAAAGAAAGAAAAAAATAAAAACCATGAGACTGTTTCTTTTATTTGCTTTGAATGTTCTCATGGCATATGGGTTTACTTACAAAACAGATAGGGAAGCGTTGCTTGAGTTCAAGTCAAAAGTTTCAGACGGCAAAAGAGTTGTCTTGTCCTCATGGAATACCTCATTCCCTCTCTGCAATTGGGTTGGTGTTACATGCGGTGGCAAGCACAAGAGAGTTACTGGTTTGGATCTTGAAGGATCAAAACTTGACGGGGTGATATCGCCATCTATTGGTAACCTTTCGTTCCTCATCTCACTCAATCTCATGGATAACTCTTTTAGTGGCACCAACCCTCAAGAAGTGGGAAACCTGTTTAGGCTTAAACAATTGAATATGAGCTTTAATCTTCTCCAAGGAGGAATCCCACTCGGTCTTTTTAACTGCTCTAGATTGTTAACTCTTGATTTATCTTCAAATCATCTTGGACAAGACGTTCCGTTAGAACTAGGGTACTCTTTGACGAAGCTTGTTGTTTTAGAACTTGGTGAAAACAACTTTAGAGGAAAGCTCCCTGCATCTATGGGAAACTTGACGTCCCTTAGAAACATTGGCTTTGGAGATAACAATATAGATGGACCTATTCCAGATGAGATAGCTATTAACTCAAGTGAAGACTCTTTCATTATCAAAAAACAACTTGTCGGGTGTTTTTCCTCCAGTTATCTACAATCTGTCCTCGCTTGAGTACTTAGCTATATTTGGTGATGGCTTTTCGGGTAGCTTAAGACCTGACATTGGTGATCTCTTTCCAAACCTTCGAGGGATATACATGGGACGCAATGATTTCACAGGAGCCATTCCATCATCTTTCTCCAATATCTCAACTCTTCAAGAGTTGACTATTGAGTGTAACAATATGACAGGAAGTGTTCCTTTAGGCTTTGGGAGATTACGGAATTTTCAATATCTTGCACTTCACGGTAACTCTTTGGGAAGTCACTCTTCTAAAGATCTTGAGTTTCTTGGTGGTTTGACTAACTGCACCAAACTACAGTACATGGATGTTGGTGAGAATAGACTCGAAGGTGACTTGCCCACCGCTATTGCAAATCTATCCAAGAACCTCATGTATCTAAGCCTTGCCTCAAATCTCATCTCTGGAAGGATCCCTAATGATATGGGGAATCTCATAAGCCTACAAACACTTCGGTTGGACCAAAACTTGTTGACAGGACCACTCCCAACATTTTTTGGTAAGCTCAAAGGAATGGAGATACTGAGTGTGTTTTCAAATAAAATGTCAGGAGAGATACCTTCTTCTATAGGAAACATGACCCGTTTGGGAAAGCTCTATTTGTACAACAACAGTTTTGAAGGAATCGTTCCACCGAGTCTTGATAACTGTAACAAGCTGCTGTATCTTCACATCGGATCTAACAAGTTGAATGGGACTATACCGGAGGAGATTATGCAGATTCCAGCCCTTTTTTTCTTGAGCATGTCACATAATTCCTTGACGGGTACTCTACCTAAAGATATTGGACGACTTGGAAATCTTGTTACAGCATCTTTCGCGTTTAATAAGTTATCAGGCCAACTTCCACAATCCTTAGGGGATTGTCTCTCGATGGAAGAACTTTCTCTTCAAGGAAACTATTTTGATGGAGCCATTCCGGATTTAAGAAGGTTGATGGGTGTTTTAAGAGTTGACCTGTCCAACAATCATCTCTCTGGAAGTATACCTATGTATCTTGCCAACTTTTCCAAGTTGCAATATCTCAACCTATCCATTAACAATCTTGAAGGAAGTTTGCCAACGGAAGGAATATTTAAGAATGCAACAATAGTTTCAGTATTCGGAAACAAGAATCTGTGTGGAGGCGTCAAAGAACTGAAACTAAAGCCATGCATCGTACAAGCATCGACAAAGCATGCTTCTCGTTTTAAGAAAGTTGTGATCGGAGTTATCATTGGCATAGCTGTCCTTCTGATGTTGTTCATTGCTTTGATATCTCTACGCTGGCTCAGGAAAAGAAACAAGAGACAGACCAACAAATCCAACGTCTTCAACTTTAGGCGCATTTCATGAGAAGATAAGTTATGGAGAACTCCGAAACGCGACAAATGGCTTCTCTTCGAGCAATTTGATTGGAGCAGGCGGTTTTGGCACTGTGTTTAAAGCGTTGTTCCCAATGGAGAACAAGGTTGTTGCGGTGAAGGTTCTAAATCTCAAGAAACGTGGAGCAGTGAAAAGTTTTATGGCGGAATGTGAATCCTTAAAGAACATTAGACATCGCAATCTTGTGAAGCTATTAACAGCGTGTTCGAGTATTGATTTCAAAGGAGATGAGTTTAGAGCCCTAATCTATAAGTTCATGCCGAACGGAAGTTTAGATGAGTGGCTACACCCAGAGGAAGCCGAAGAGATTCATAGACCTTCGAAAAGATTATCCCTTCTTGAAAGGCTTAGTATTGCCATAGATGTAGCTTTAGGTTTATACTATCTTCATGTTCATTGTCATGAACCTATAGCTCATTGCGACCTTAAGCCGAGCAATGTCCTTTTAGACGATGATCTAACTGCATGTATAGGCGACTTTGGTCTAGCTCGGCTCCTACTCAAATTCGACCAAGAGTCATTCCTCAACCAACTCAGCTCAGCTGGCGTTAGAGGAACCGTCGGCTACACCGCATTAGGTAAATATTATTATTACACATCTATAAAATTAGTATAACTAAAAAAAAATAACATTTCTGTAAACTATGATGCAGAATATGGAATGGGAGGACAACCATCAATACATGGTGATGTGTATAGCTTCGGGGTTCTCATTTTAGAAATGTTCACTGGAAAACGACCAACGAATAAGCTATTTGAGGGAAACTTTACACTCCTCCGGGACTACACCAAGTCGGGGTTGCCGGAGAGAATATTGGACATCGCCGACACATCGATTCTTCCAAGCAATGGTGAAACTGGCTTTGATGTTGATGAGTGCTTGAAACTGGTTTTGGAGATGGGACTTAGGTGTTGTGAAGAATCTCCGACGAATAGGTTGAAGATGAGTGAAGTCGTAAGTGAATTACTATTAATCAAAGAGAGGTTCTTCAAGTAAGACAACAAACTAGCCGTTGAAGAAGTTGTTTTGTGGTTTCTTCAAAACAAATTTTGCAACTCACTTAATAATGTGTAGTCTTTTGTTATCGATCTGTGTTACACATTTGCTTTGAATGCTCTGTTTATTTCCACACAATACGATGATTTTTTCTCCTTTTACCAATAAATGAATAGATGAATGTTTGTGTTAAACTTTGTTTCTACTCAAGCTATGCCCAAGATTGCTATAAGTCGACATCATAGTTTCATAAACTGTGAGCATTTATTTAGTCCGAAGAAACAGAGCAGATACATATTTTAGTAAAGCAAACATGATGAGGAATCAAAATTACAGCTCTGTTTTTTTAAAAGGGTTTTCTCATTCAACAAAAGGGTTTCATCATCATCATCATCATCATCATCAATGCCAACACTTGCATTGATAACAAGAAGAACAAAGGAAAAAAAAAACAAACTTTTAAAAACTTAAGCAAGAAAAAAGGAAGTAATCCGAGAGCTCTCAGCAGCAAGCAGGCAAAAAACATCAGATCTTTAGATGTTTACCTTATCGAAAGCTTGAAGTGCATCACCAGTGAGCCTACAAACTCTCCACTCCTGCAAAATCTGAGCACCCATCTGCTCATAGAACTTCATAGCATTCACATTCCAATCAAGAACAACCCATTCCACTCTTCCGTAATCCATCTTCACCGCTTGCTTCGCCACAGCGGTCAACAGCATGCTCCCGAAGCCTTTCCTCCTGTAAGGCTCCCTCACGAAGATGTCCTCGATGTAGAAGCCAGGCTTCGCCAGAAAGCTCGAGTAGTTCGGGAAGAACAGGACGAACCCGGCCACCACGACGTCGTTTAGCATATCCGGCGTGAAATTGTAGCTCTCCGGATCCTCGATCGGGAGATCGAGGTTGTGCGTTTTAAGGAAAGGGGTGAAATCGGGAGAATCGACGGTGGGGATCGGGGAGCGGGAGACCTCGAGGAGGAAGACGGTGAAGGATTGGAAGGGACGGGAATTGAAGAGCGTGGAAGCGAGACCGGACTCGGTGGCGGAGAAGAGGTGGGTGAGGCGCTCGAAGACGGCCATCTGGTGGATTAGCTTGTGGATGAAAGGGACATCGGACGGCGTCGCGAGACGGATGCGGGAGAACACAGGGAAGCCGATCGGAGAAGTCTGTGGCACCATGTTTGGCTCTGGTGCTGCGGTTGGAGGCGGTGGAGGCGCGGCTGCTGCCATTTTTAGTTTACTGTACGGAGATGTGAAATTAGGGTTTTGGGGGGTGAGAGTGAAGAGGATAAAGAGGCGATGGAGAGGTTCTAGAGAAGACGGAGAGAAGAGTAGTTTTCTACTATTCTGCTTCTTCTTCACTTTTTTCAGTGTGCATAACACTTTCTTGGGCTATGTGAATTCACACTTACACGCATTAAAAATGTGTACTTTTCATCTTAAGAAAATGATAAAATTTGAAATGTAAATTAAGATCTTCTAATTTTAACTTAAATCTATTTTCAATGAACCAATTAAGATTTTAGAATTTAAAATTAAAAAAAACATAAACATTTAATTAGTTGGTTTAACATTTTATTTGCGTTTTTCAGATTAAAACATCAAAAAATATATATATATATAAAATGGTATCACCTCAAAATTTCCGTTTTTTTTTAATACCGAAATAGGCAAAAACATCATTTCGAAATATGGTATCCATTATCCAAGCATAACATCGCCGTTTTATTTTTTAAACAGATCCGATTTTAATCATTTTTACACGTTCATTACATTAGTTGCATCATGTCCAAGATTATAAAATGATAACTAAGTCAGAGTTAAATGATGGTTTGGTGGTAAACTTGATTGAAACTTCACTTTTCATGTTCAATGTATGTAGAATCTCTAGAAACACAAGTTTGGAGACATTGTCCAATGTGCTATGGCTATGATATGTTTGCTTCGGGCGAATAAAAACGAAAAACATATTGCTATGAATCTATGGTAGACAAATATATATGTTGCAAAAAAAAAAATATATATATATATATATATATATGTGTCTCTATGCATTTTGTTTGAATGACCGTTTACAAGTTTTTGTGTCAACGAGCTTTAATTATTTTGCGTGCTCTTTATTTATGTGATGGTATACTTTGTTCCAACAAAAAAAGCATGTTCTCTCACATGCTCTCTATGTTTTCTAATAAGTGTCATTTTAATATATTTTTTTCAAAAAAGATTATTGTTCTTCTAGGGATCGAATGAAATTTTCTTTTGACGTTGTATCTTTTTTTTTATCTTAATTTTGAAATAATGTTAAAACAGTGCTTGTATTAGAAAGGAAGAAAATCACACTAAATATAAAAGAATAAGAAGACAATTTGAAATAATGATGATAGACATATAACATTGATAAGTAGAGGATAAAAATACAATATACATCAAATAAAACACATACATTCAACAGGCTTGCATGTTACAGATTGGTTCATAAAACTAGTCACACTCAAACCTCCCCTCAAAGCCACAAATAGGACACTAAATGTCACTCACCGACCATTTTAATAAAATTCTTTTTGTTTTCTTTTTTATTATTTGGGTCTCTCTTATCCCTTTTTCCCCTCCTTTCCTGGCCCAAAGAATTCTCCACCTCTTCAATAGTCTGAAAAAACAATTTCAAGCGTGAAGTTCGTGAAGCTGGCTCCTGACTGACCCATATGCCTTCATAGCACCAGCTCTCAACACAAACTGATGGTAGAAAGCTGCAATGGCTGCACCCACAAACGGACCGACCCAGAAGATCCACTGTATAGTTAGAAGAAACAAAAACTCATCAATAAGTTCATATAGTGAGGCTCAAGAACGAGTATTAATTAGAATGGTCAAAATACGAACCTGATCATCCCAAGCCTTTTGACTGTTGTAGACCACGGCAGCTCCAAAACTCCTAGCCGGGTTAATTCCGGTTCCAGTAATTGGGATTGTGGCTAAATGAACCATGAACACGGAAAATCCAATTGGCAATGGGGCTAGTACCTTCATTTCATTAATTTTGAAACAAAATAAATCAATTGTTACATATATTAGCAGCTATATTATACAGAGAGTGAGTGTGTACAATGTTACATAACCGAAAGATTTGGTTTTTTGTGAATGAATCATACGTGAAAGGAGAGGGTAAGATCGTTCAAATTAATACTATCATGGAACATGCATGTATGAACATGTACACATGGGTCGTTGCGGGAACAGTGGACCATTTATACATACAGAGACATGTGATTGTGGTGGAAAGACGTGAATCACAAAGATGTTATGTCGTTATATCGTGAAAGGACATTTGGTACCAAAGAAAGATACAAGAAATGAATGAAAAATAATTGGACACCCTTTCGTCGTTTATCTCATAGAAGAAATTAGACGCTACACTTATTAATTGGTCAGTATGTATTATTTTTTTGGCTAGGCCAAAATGGCTAGACGACATCGTTTTCAGTATTAATAGTGCTTTATATAGCTGGCACTAGATTCTGTTACGTCCCATTGGTCCAAAATTATCGACAAAGAATCAAAAAAGTTTATCCTGATTTTTTCTTTCCAATTTTGATTTCTGTTAACATCAATAGAGAGTACTACATTTTGTTGAAAATATATGCAAAGAAAGTAAACCATCAATTCTAGTCAGCATCTTTATTTTTTTAGCTAGACTCTTTTTATAGTTTTAAATGTAAATTTATGTGTTTTGAGTTTATACCTTTTTATATATATCTTTGAAAATTTTACGTTCCCTTTATAAAGTCTTGTGTTTATAAAACTTGGAATTCTTGTTTATCAAAAAAAAAAAAAAAACTTGGGGATTATTTCAAACTAGGGACTTAATTAAGGAGAAAGCATAAGTAAAGAGAAAGTTGAATTGCTTACAGGAATGTGAGAGTCACGGGCATTACGCTTGGGGTCGGTAGCAGAGAAGACGGTGTAGACGAGGACAAAAGTTCCGATAATCTCAGCACCAACACCAACACCAACATTGTATCCGTCGGCGAGGACGTTGGCTCCACCGCCATAGCGGTTGTAATAAGTCGTCTGAAAGGCTTTCACCAAACCAACTCCGCAAGTGGCTCCAAGACACTGAGCCACTATGTATGATATAGCTCTCACCAAAGACACCTTGCTAGCCAGGAATAGCCCAAACGTCACGGCGGGGTTTATGTGTCCACCTATATATACACATGTATGATTAGTAGTTTCATAAAATATGATTAGTAGTTTCATAAAATCAACTGATCCAAGTGAGATAGTGTTTTTGTTTTTTTTAAAGTAAATTATACTATAGTATTTTGCTCTCCCAAATTTTGGTTTTGCTTGACGAAATATGCATCACTGAATCTTTTAGACTATAATATAAACTAATTACTTCTTCCGTTTTTCATTAAATTGTATGTTTTGTGTTTTTCACACACTTTAATAACATATTTGTAATGTTAAAACTAACCTGACGTTATTAACTAAATGAAAATTTACATTGAAAATAATTTATATTGTATGGATTAAATATGAAAATGAAACATTAACTGTACTTAGAAAATTGATGATAATATTTCATCAATTAATGAAAATATTAATCTTTGACAAACGAAAAAAATACAAATAATCTAAACCATATGTCTTGAAAAACCGGTGGGGAATATAAATATTGTTGAAAGCTAAGTTTTCTTACCACATGTGTATCATCAATCATTTGAGTACTATAGATGGTTCAGTACTTAGAAAATTTTGAAATATTTCTTCATTTTTACTAGTCCCTTAAGTACGGAGCATGTGCATTTAGATATGCAAATCAATTCAGGGAATGGATTTGATGAAAACTTATTAAACTGGTTTTTCCTTGTGTTATACGCTAAATATATGAAAACACACAGAACTTGAAATGAGCTATACAATGGATGTAAAACATATAAATAATGCAAAAGATTATTATAAGGAAAGAGATAAGGAGAGAGAGAGAGAGACCAGAGATGCCGGCAGTGCAGTAGACGAGGATGAAGATCATGCCACCGAAGGCCCAAGAGATGCCGAGGAGGCCTACGCTGGCGCAAGCTCCGCCACCGGCTTGGAGATCGGTCTGGCTCTTGAAGCCGATGACTGTCAAAACGGTGACGTATAGAAAGAGGAGAGTAGCTATGAACTCAGCGATGACTGCTCTGTAGAAAGACCACTTCTTAAGCTCCCTCGCCTCGAAAATCTTCACAGGCGGTGGTTCTTGGTAGTCCTTTCCGGAGAATGAGTCCTCCTCCGTCAAGTCCTCCGTCGTCATTGTTTGTTTATTTTGCGTAGATAATTAATTAGCCTCCACCGAGTGTGAGAGAGAGAGAAAGAGAGAGAGAGTGAGAGAGAGAGAGAGAGAAGGGATGTGGCTGATGTGCATATATGGTGAGTGGGTGTATTTAAAGAAAGATATGGCTTCAGGTTTTTTCCTCTTTTGCCCTGAGGTACTCTATTTTTGTCTAAAGAATCAGTTTTCAATTTATTATTATTTCGACTTTTCTGATACACAAGCTCACAATTCACACAAACCGCTCTTGCATACGGGAGAAATCGTTGAAAGAAAAGAAAAAAAAAAATTCAAAATTGGATATACATATATCATATATGCAAGGGCTCTGGTTGTCTTGTATGTACCGCTTCATGTGTATATTATTGTTTCACGAGTTATTTGATGTTCAATGCATATTTTACTTTCATTCGTGCCGGTATCAGAAGTATTTTTCTATTAAGCACGAACAAAAAATAAACTCGTTACTTGCTCAAAAAGAAAAAAAACTCGTTACACTTCCATCCTAGGGTTTAATTTCACGAGTGCCAGCATCTTTATAGATTACTTGACAACTAGACTTTGGTTTACAAAAACTTCTACATATCCGTGTTAAATCTTCTTAAAAAAGATCTCTAAAATGTTTGTTTTGGATTATTTGACCTAAATTTTACAAAACTAACTTTAAATTCTTTAATACATATACTTATACAGTACCAAAACATGTTTAGATTTAATTTATATAAACTGTCTAGAAAACAATTATACCCATGCTATTTTTCTTATATCCGTTTAATTAAGTTCAATAGTCTTATTTTGGATAGAAAAATGGTTTTGCTTACATATCCATAGGCATTCTAGGTCAGGTATGTCTACGTTTTGCAATTTTTGCTTTATATATTTATATTTCAAAACGAAACAATGAATCAGCAAAATAAACAAAAATAAATGGATTTCACAAAGACGGTGGTGTTAACTAAGCCATACTTAATAAAAATCATGTTCATATGATCTTGTCCAAATCTGACGCCGAGATGCACTGTAGTTATATTTTAACCGAAAATGAATCAGGTAAATTCAAAGTTGGAAAGATAAATGTTACAATTTCAATTTGGAATGAAAATTATTAGATTCCCGACGAGTAGCATCAGCTACAAATGGACATGACAGCAAAATGGGGCGAACATGAATGTGGTCGACAAGCCTCCTATTTAGTACCTTTTTTTTTTCCTTTTTCTTTGCTATAAAGCTTCCTAATAAGTGTTGTCTTAAAAGTTTTCTGTTTATTTTTTCTTCTCAAATTCTTTTTTTTTTTTGCTCGACCAAGGTTGGCCGAGAAACTAAGAACACCCTGAAATAATTTGTTCGAGCGGCTCCTAACCACAAGAAAATGGAGAGAACAGTGTAACGCTTGTGATGGATTTCAATTGTCATGTATGATAGTGATTGTATAGTTTGCTATTAAAAGTTTTGTTTTTGATCAAAGCTATTTAGATTAAAGTTTTTTTATATATATTGACAATGATTTATAGTATGGACTATAATGAAGTCGGTGTCTAGGAAGTTACGTTCGCTAAACTAGTTCTATAGCTTACCACATTCAATTTCTAGTTCCTTATGTATAAAAATTTCAGATAGTCTCGGATCAAGAGATGAAAAAGTAATACTGTTTGCCTACTAAACTGAAAAATTTACCTGAAGTTTTGTTTCGACGATAAATTTATACTATTTAAATGAGAAATATCGATGATTTTAAGATATTTAATAATTTGGATTAAGGATAATCTACTATACTATAATAATCTAGCAGGTCGGGACCAAATTCGTTTCAGAAAGTGGAACTCATGTCTAATACTAATTTACGAAGGAAAGGCCAAATTGCCAACTTATAATATGTAGATATATATATATATATATATAGCTTAGAAAATGAGAAATATAAAACAATGGAGAATGTGAAACCATGCTACTCAATAAATATCACCAAATCATAAAATGAGTCATTTTAGTTAGCGGTCGACGTCCATCAAAATAAAATCTTACATATCCACGTGGCGTCTGCAGAAGAAGACGCATCTAATACTCTATAGTCTATACGTAGACAGGTCAGTTCATGGCCGAGTAGGGTTGGCCAGAAAGATAAATACAATATGTAATTTTGACGCGATGCATTTGGCGAATTCTTAAGTTCCACAATTCGATGATGTATCACTCTTCTTAAAGATTGGTTTGTACTGCATAAATGCATTACGGATAATTTGACAGCACAACCATTATTTTCTTTGTAAACATTTTTTGTAATTGACGATTTCTCTAAGAGAAGTTACACTCTATATCAACAAGAAACGTTGTTATTAGGAATATGACAATAGAGAAACTGTTACTTGGTAGTGAGTCTTACTCAATGTCTATTTCCATCTCACCCTTATTGACAACTAAACTTCGACATAGACAAATCGTAAAGGGGGTGACTATATTCTGATACACTTAATAAATGCAACGATTTTATTTGGTAGAATTGGAGAAAAAAACATTCCCAAACATGATATCTCTCCTCTCTCCTCCGAATTTCTTTTGCCATAATGAGATCCAATTAAAAGATGCCCGTTGCTACTTTACCAACTTAAAAAAAAAACCCTTTATATTGTCAATCACATATTCACATGATTTTCTCTTTCACTAAACAGATTCAAATTCATCAAATAAGTTTTCTGCATCTTTTTCGAATAAAAAGGGCACAATTATTAATAGACAAACATGTTTAACATACGTGATTAACTTTGAATGTTTAAAACCAGCGGGACAATGTTCATTTATCGGAAATACAAAGCTGCGGTTGCCATGTAAGATATTCGGAAATGAGTCTGCATTAAAAGAAAAGAAAGATGAAGAAGAGGAAGCTTCATTCGCGGAAGCTTCTGAGAACTGTATACGTGGCATCTGGAAAAGACACACGGTTAGTACACTTCTATGATGTCGGCGAGACACGTGGCGAGATTTGTGGATCGAGATTGAGCTGGCAGTTCGGTCGGACTGTACATTATCTGTTTTGGGGTAATGGTTTCAGTGGCTTACAAAATATCATTGGGACAACTTTGAAATCTATAACTTGTCCACATCAACTTTATTTTTATTGAAATTTATTTCGTATATTTTCCTTTTTGTATGTTTCTCATAATTTAGATGTACGTATTGAAAAATTCAGCGACAACGATTTAATGTTTTTTGTTTGAGATTAAGGATGGTCTCTTACTATTTCAAAGCTGTGATAAGATTTAGTGTCGACTTTTAAGTGAATAGGTGAGATTCGTTTTTGAATTTTTATTTTTTCTTTTTCTTCTGAGTATCGACTTTTGTAAAGTTAAATACAAAACATATTTCCTCTATAGTCTCAGTCTTGCTATAAACTTAAATACAAAAGCACATACACACACATATATATATATATACTATTTTAAAGATATGTAGGAATTAGGAAAGCATAATCCTACAATCTGTTTATAACATCTTAATATAAATCAAGCTCTCGTGACTGTTGGCTTTATACTAAGCACATAATTTCCGGTAGTATATACTTTATTAAATTTAGATAACATATATTTCGCTTAAATCATAAGGATCATGCATATACTACGAGAATACTCTTCATCTAGAGTGAAATATATATAGGAGAAAATGTGAATAAATATGTTTCATGGCATGTACCTTCATCTCTTATCTACTCAAGTGTTCGTTTAAAGAACCTCAGTTACTATAGTTAGAATATGGTGTGCATGGAATAATTTTCACCTGAAATGCCACTACAATGATTAATATGAGGGGTAGATACTCGGACACTTTTACTGGTCTTCTAAACTATAAAGCAGACTTCCATTACGGTAGTTTGTTTTTTTTTTTGTATTTATAAGAGTCGTGAAATTTGAATGTAAGATAGATTTTTCTGGAATGATGTTGGGGGTGGTGCGATGATGATGGTATGATGATGATGAGATTATGATGATGATACAAAGTAATTATGATGGAGGTGTGGTATGATGATGATGATGATGATGATAATTGTGGTGGCCATGAAGATGATGATGGGACGATGGATTACTGTATATGGTGATGATGATTGTATGGTTTTTTTTGTTTAAATCTTAATTTTAAATTAAAATTGACCACTTTAGTGAAAGAAACGTGTGAATTGGTGGAAGAGAGAGAGTTTGTTATTTCAAAGCGAAGAATAAAATCTAGTGACGACTTGACCGGTTGAACCGTCCGGTCTAATGTTAGAATCGTTACCAGTCTCTGGGTTGGGGGAAGAGAGAGAGACTTGGCAGTAGCGGAATAGTGCGGCGGACGGAGAAATGCTGAGCACACCGTTGGGGACGACGGAGGTATCCCCAGCTTTAATCAATCACAACGGTTATGGCCGATTCCTCTCCTCTTCAGGAGTCTCTCACTTCTCTCTCCATCATCGGAGACGTCACTCGCCTAGATTTTCTATTTCTCATACTCCGTCTTCTAAATCAGGTTTGACCTCTGATTCCTAAAGTCATGATTTAGATCGAGTTCCGATTCCTAAACCCACTAATTAATCACTTAAATTAGAGGACTTTGTGGTGTAATTAGCGATTTGTTTGGAGATTGAATTTCTTAAACCCATCTTCCAACGAAACAGCTACAATCAAATTTCTTACAGGTTTTGGTGTTTGTATTTGCATATTTTGCTGGTTTTCAATTCAGAAAGCTTAAAACTTCAGTAGGTTTGAGCAAAATTAACAGTTTTGCTGTACTTCATAAACCTGAGACCTCTTGTCACAGTGAGTCTTCGAAGAATCTTACTAGAAAGTTTAGTGCTTTTCCATCGGGTTTGAGTTACTTATTTGATACATCAGTGGATTGTATAAAGTTTGTTCCTTTGATGAATATATTTCAATGTTTTGTGTACAGTAGGAGCATGCAATGCAAGTCAGATAGTTGATATTTTTCCAGCGGTTTCACCTGAAATCGTTGTTCGGGAAGCAAGACTGGAGGATTGCTGGGAAGTGGCGGAGACTCACTGCAGCTCCTTCTTCCCGGGATATTCGTTCCCTCTTGATGTTGTCCTGAGAGTAGATAGGTTAATGGCGATGGTGATGGGGTTCTCTGTTCCATCAGGGTGCCAGAGAACTTGTCTAGTCGCTGTGATAGGTAGCTCAGTGGACGAAACCATCTGCATCGGAAGTGAAGATTTCAAGATCGGAGCTTTCGATGCAAAGATCAGCCTCAACAAAGGTTATGTTGCTGGAATCTTGACCGTGGATACTGTGGCTGATTACCTCCCAAGGAAAGGACCTCTACGCCAGAGAAGGTTCGCTTTTCTTTTCCTTCTTAATCTTATAAGCCCTGTGTCTCTGTTCTTGAGACTAAGGAACAAGTCTCGGAATGTGAAACTAAGGAAAGTTATAGCGTTTAGATATCTTTAGCTGACTTGGTGTTGTTAAGACGATTCGTATTCTTGTGTTTGTTTGTCTTGCAATGATGTGATGTGGTGTGTTACTTGAATGAAAGCCAGGACGGGGATTGCTTACATATCAAACGTGGCGGTTCGAGAGAGTTTCAGGCGCAAGGGAATAGCAAAGAGACTCATCTGGAAAGCAGAGGCTTTAGCCAAGAACTGGGGATGTCGAGCCATCGGCCTTCACTGTGATCTCAACAACTTTGGAGCCACCAAACTCTACAAAGACCAAGGTTTCAGATGCATCAAGATCCCCGATGGAGCGAAATGGCCACAACCAAAGACATCTCCAGACACCAGGTTTAACTTTATGATGAAACTCGTGAACAACAACAACAATACACAAGCCCTTGAGCAGTTCATGTAATTTGGTGAAACAGCTCTGAATATGTAAATAGGTTACTGGTTGTTTGTTTGTTGTTTGTGGTCCACGTTTGTTCGTCTTGTGTAAATGCTATTGTCTATAATATTTCCACCAAATACGCTTTTTTATCTGAAGTCAAGTGACAATTTCGTAAAAAATCCTAAACGGGCCTAAACGGGCCGGTGTAAACCCAGCAGGGCTTAAATGGGCATACTGTAAACGGGCATAAAATTAAATGAGCGTAAATGGGCAAGGACTTAAACGGGCAGGGTCTCAATGGGCAGGACTTATATGGACAGGGTCCGCCCGTTTCAACATCACTAGAACTAAAGCGTGTGTGCTATCAAATTTGAATACGTATAATAATAACTAATACAACCCAATTTTGAGATCAAACCAAGCTCACATAGTGTGTACATTACTACATTTCTTTTCTTTTTTTTTTGTGAAAAAGGACATTATTACATTTCACCAGATTCTTGTATACATATTTGTCTTAAACCTCCATTTTGTGAAGCCCTTTCTCCACGACAGCAAGTTTGATGATATGGAGCGACTCTATCAAATCATCACATAGTAGATGAGGGTCTGGAATCACTGTTGTGTCGACAGATAGATTGATTATAAGCTTGTCTACGTAGCTTACAAAATGGATAATAAGAGCCTGGTCCAACAACAAAACATATATATTAAACACATGTCATAAATCATATCATACAAGTTTTTTTCTCAAAAAAGAGAAGAGAAAGATTCGATAATTACTTGTGGTCCAACCAATGCGCTTGCTCCGACGTAAGACATGGGATGGTTAAAAAAACTTATTTCTTCGTTTGGCCCCATAACATTTGAAAATGTCAATGTTGTATGCCCAAATACCCTCTTAGTAATAGTTTCTACTGCCTGTCATTAATAATTATATAATTTTTTTATATACATATAGTTTGCATATGGATTGAATAGTTGATACTCCTACTATATTATTTTACCTTTTCCCCCAATATTTTCAAGGTAAATTTGTTGAGACCATATAATATAAGTGCTTCCATGGAGATTTTCTTCTTATTCATAGTAGATTTGGCTCTTCGGACGTATTCCAATGGATCATCCTCAGATCTTATCCATAAAGGAAATATAACAATACCTATGAAGTTTCCCCATCTACATTTTGAACCTTTTGTCATCATATCAGCGAGATCCTACAATTTCATATTTTGTTAAGTGTTTGCATTCTAATTACAGTACCTTTAAAAATATGATGTTTTGTAAGATCAAGTTGAGATAAATGGTTACTTTGATTTTACCTCGATCTTTGTATCTGGCCTTAGATTTACAACTACTGTACCACGAAGACGGATTTTCTCTAAGTTTTTTTTCTTCTCGACCATTGGATCTTCATCTTCTTGTAGAAATATCATGTATTAAAATTACTATTAGTGAAGTAAACAATAATATTTCAATCAAAATAAAATATTACAATAACGATGTAGCATTTTGTGCCATGAGTGAATCAAATACTTTCTATGTATATCGGTTTTATTTTATTTTGTCAGAAAATGTATGTTGATAATATCAGTAAAGTTTATATTCATTCATTTTTTACATCTTTTTAAAGCATAAAAGATATTAAGCTTAATAAAAGGAAATTTTGTGTTGTTGTTTTTGAAATTACCATATTTTTTACTCAAATATCTTGAAAGACCTGCCTGTGTCATTCCAAGAAGAACATCATTCACTTTCTACCCAAAAAAAAAAAAAAAAAACATAAATATTAGGTAGAAAACGAAACAAACGATCAATATAAAGAAAAAAGATGATATAAACCAATCTACCAATTTCATGGCGTTCTTCACGAACTTGACATCATCAAAGCTTATTATCCGATGGATAACCTTTCTAGGTCGAACCCTATCTCCCGGTTTAGCCATGAGAGGAGTTTTAGTATCCCGCAGAAAACATAGTGTAAGGAGAGACTTGAACAACTCAGTAAAAGTTGTAAATATAACTCTTATAATAAACCAAAAACTGGAGATAAACCACCAATTATTATTGGACTCAACATGTTTTTTTGTAACCGCAGTAGTAGGAAAAGCCTCGGGGTCTGACATTTTTCTCGAACTAGCGTATAAAAGAGACATAAGCGACATCCCATCGCCCAGTGAATGATGGAATTTTCCTATACCTAATGATTCTGCATTTGATGTCTTAATATTCAGTACATGAAACTCCCATAAAGGTCTAGACATGTCCATTGGAGTATTAGCTATGTTTGACGTATAGTCTTCTACAAACTCATCAGGATTTTCAATGCTGGAATGATCAAGGTCGGGCACTACTACATGATCTTCTACTCGAACGCTAACAGGAACCCAAACCGTTTCTCCATTTTTCTTATCATTCACCTGAAACATTTATTTATGATCAAAACAAATATATGATTATATTTTATTAAATGGAACTTTTGAGCACCCAAGAGAGAATTAAATCCTTCACATTTGGTGACTAAAGAAGAAAAGTAAGGTGGCGATAAAGCATGTAAAAGAATATTGTATGATTACCACTTTGCTAGAGAAGCGGGGAAGCTTGATCCATGTGTTCTTGATACCTTCAACAATGGCGGATGGGTCGCATCTAGTTTTAAACCCTAAAGTAAAGACAATGACGCCGTAGAAACCCGGCGAAATGAACAGCCGGGACCCCGGGCTAAGCGGTTCCATTGTTGTTATCTCTTGTTTCTCTCTCTCTTTCGAAGTTATTTTGATTATTCCCTGACCTTGTCTTTAGACGCACATCGCTCTTATAGTTCTTCTTGATTAAATAGTGTTGGTACTTGGTAGGACGGCAGATTTTGTTATTTATGTGACTTGTCTACTTTCTTTTTAAATCTGTTATTTAATTTCCCAATTTTATCACATTACTTAAAATGCCGTATATTCTAGGGGAAAACAATTATTTTAATTTTAATTTATGAATATACAGCAAATTGCGCATCTTTCTGGCACGTCCCTTAACAACCGGAACAAGGTGTTTGGAAAAATAAAATCAAGTTACAATTATTAACAAAATGCGAAAATGAATATCTAAATTTTGAACAAATCATTGATTTTCATACCGAAAAAATATAATAATGAACAAACTAATTGAACCGGCAAAGAGTCGGAATCGTAGACCCCTGCTTGCTGGCTATCGATTCATCACTTAAAAATTGGCCTCGAAATTTTTGATGTTAAAACAGTCACGTATCTATTTGACATCAAAAACTTTTGTGGAAATTGACAATAAATATGTAATAGGAAAAATTTATTATAAAGTTAGTTGTGGATTCAGTTAGGTGTATCCACTACGCACCGTCCGTAGTGACTATAAAGTATATAATGTATGTTGATGCATAAGAATAAGATGATCGAGATTAGTAATCTCTATTTTTATAAGCATCATGCATATTGATTGTTTTTTTCTGTTAACAAATGCATATAAATGTGTGTCTAGTATATCAAGTTAATTAAGTTTAGTGTCCCTGTTAAGCCCGGTTATAACTACCAAATTGTTAAAAGAATTCGAAAGTTATGGTACAAACTCAAATAGACCACAGAGTGTCGTACTTTTTGGTGTTCAATCACTTATGTGGAATCTGTACATGTGTTCACAATCAATGTTCTAAAATGTTAGTTGTAAAAGAAGTTGGATGTGTCCGAAGCCCGGTCCAAAAGATAAATAAGATAATCCGACTTTTATTTTGAACTATTATAAAAGGTTTAGAACCACGAATCAAATCACATGATCTTACAATGTAAAAGCTATTAAATATCATATTTGTCGCAGACTAGTCAAGATCTACAGCTAGTCAAGATCTACAGTTTGAACATGTAGAGTTATATATTAAGAAGCTCAAGATTAGTATCATTTGAAGTTCGAACGAAAAAAAATCGACACAAAAATCAAATATATATCATAGATTGTTTTTATAGTGTCTTCCACCGAGAGAACCCTTTATTTGAATCAAACCAAGCTAAAATAATACATTACTATATTTCACCAAACTTTTTGTAACATACAACATTGATATGAGGCGATACATGTCTCAAACCTCCATTTTGTGAAGCCCTTTCTCCAATACTGCACTTTTGATGATATCGAGCGATTCTACCAAATCATCACATAGTAAATGAGGGTCTGGAATCACTGTTGTGTCGACAGCTAGATTGATGATAATCTTGTTTACGTAGCTTACAAAGTGGATAATCAAGGCCTAGTTCAACAACAAACATGCATAAACACTGGTTAATTAACTTCATCAAAATTTTGTATAATTTCTCAAAACATTAAAAAGGTTAACTGATATGCAAGTATATTTGGCATGATTGGGTATATACTTACTTGTGGTCCAGCTAATGCGGTTGCTGTGACGTAAGACATCGGATGGTCAAAAAAACTTATTTCTTCCTTCGGACCCATCACATTTGAAAATGACAATGTTGTGTGACCAAATATTCTCTTAACAATAGTTTCTGTTACCTGTAATTAACAATGATCTAGTTTGTTTATATACATATAAATACATTATGTGGATTAGTTAGTTGATAGTGGTTATAAGTTTTACCTTTTCGCCGAATATTTTCATGATACATTTGATGATTCCATAGATTATAAGTGGCTCCATGGAGAGTTTCTTCATATCCATAGTAGTTTTGGCTTTTCGGACGTATTCCAACGGATCATCCTCAGATCTTACCCTCAGAGGAAATATAACAATACCTAAGAAGTTTCCCCATCTACACTTTGAACCCTTTTCCATCATATTTGTAAGATCCTACATTTTCATATTTTACGAACCTCTTGCATTAACATTTATTAAAATTATTGTTATGCAAGAAGCTAAACGTGAAAATGATGGCTACACATTGGTATTACCTCGATCTTTGTGTCTGGTCTTAAATTTACAGTTACTGTACCACGGAGACGGATGTTTTCCTTCTCCACCATCATATTTTCATCTGTACTTTTAAATTTTTGATAAACTGTTAACGATATATTCCAATAATAACATATGTATAGGTTGTAATATATACAATTAAAGTAGTTCAAGTAAAAATCAATTAAAAATTAATTGGTAGAAGAAATATCATTTATATTTATTTTTTTGTCTTTTCTTTCTCAATCCCGTTGTAATTTCATTTCTTTTTCACATTGTATTTTCATCTATTTTAAAACGAAGGCTATTGCCAATAACAGTATAATGGAAAAGAGTTTGATATTACCAGATTTTTTGCTCAAATATCTTGAGAGGCCTGCCTGTGTCATTCCAAGAAGAACATCATTTACTTTCTACAAAAAAAAAAGAACACAAATTATAAATTAGTTCTTATTAAGAAAGCAAAAAAGAAAAGTGATATTAAGTATTAAAATGCTTACCATTTCCATTGCGTTCTTCACCAACTTGACATCATCAAAGCTAATTATCCGATGGATAACCTTTCTAGGTCGAATTGTATTCGTATCTCCCGGTTTAGCCATGAGAGGAGTTTTTGTATCCCGCATAAAACATAGTGTAAGCAAAGACTTGCACAATTCAATAATAGTTGTGAAAATGATTCTTATCATCAACCAAAATCTCCTAACCAACCACCAACCCTTATCATTGGACTCAACATGTTTTTTTGCAACAGTGGTAGTAGGAATAGCCTCGGGGTCTGATATTTTCCGTGAACTAGCAAGTAACAGAGACATAAGAGACATCCCATCGCCGAGTGAGTGATGTAGTTTCCCTATACACAAAGATTCTGCATTTGATGTTTTTATATTGAGTACATGAAATTCCCACAAAGGTCTAGACATGTCCAGTGGAGTATTAGCTATGTTTGACGTATAGTCTTCTATGAATTCATCAGGATTTTCAATGTTGGCATGATCTAGGTCGGGCACAATAACATGATCTTCTACTCGAACACTAACAGGAATCCAAACCGCTTTTTCATTTTTTTTCATCTCCTGAAACATTAATTTATGATTAAATAATATTAGTTAGCCTCCATAATGGGCTTGATTGGTAACAGTTGTAGCTTATGATTTTGCTGTAGAAACATAGCTGTAGGGTTTTTTGCTGTAGCTGTAGATTTTATTTCTTTAAAATTTTAGTTGTAGAATTGTAAAATTTGGAAAGCATAAATTTAAGTGTTTTAGAAAATAATGTTTTGTACATCCAAAAAAATAAAAAAGGAAATATTTTGGCTGTGAGCAAATAAAGGAAAGACAGAGTTTATAAAACATGATTGATATGATTTAGAGCTTTAAACATAAATATTGCTTTCTACAGGATCTACAGCAACAACCAATCAAGCCCATTATCATCGTAAAACTCCTTTATTCTTTTCTTTGTAACTGTCGACATAGACTTTATTTTAAAGTTAATAAATAAAAGATGTAATATATACCAATTTTTTGCGAGTTCAAATCCTCATAATTAGGGCTTGTTGTTTGCAAGAAAAGAAAGAATATATCTATAATTATAACTCTATTAAGTTAATCAAGCCTTTTTTATTGATTAAGATTGTGATATTTTTATAAATTTCTTTATACTTTCCTACGTGTTTGAACACGGTTGGTGTAGTGGGACTTATACAAAACACTAACTATATGTGCTTATCAAAAAATCTTATGTAAAAGTTGTCAACAACTTGTATTATACGTCTCATATGTAAAAAGTAAGGCATGTAAACTATGTTTACCACTTTGCTGGAGAAACGAGGGAGCTTGACCCACGTGTTCTTGATACCTTCAACAATGGTGGATGGGTTGCTTCTAGTTTTAAACCCTAAAGTTAAAACAATGACGCAGTAAAGACCCGGCGAAACGAACAGCTGTGAAATTGGGCTAAACGGCTCCATTGCTACTGGCTCTTGCTCCTCTCTCACCATGCCTTTTCCTTTTTTCATAGTTATTTTTATTTATTCTCCAACTTTGCCTTTAGCCACACTCGGCTCTTATACTACTGTTTTTCCCCATGTTATCTCTCTTGATTTAATGATGTTGGCAGTAGAATTTATTATGTTTTGTGACTTTGCGTATGTCTTTTTGAACTGTTTTATTTACTAGACAATACGAAGATATGCAAATTATTGGAGGCAAATTTATTGGAGCTTTTGAGTGTTCTCTGTCGTAAATGCAAAGCTGTTCGTCGTTATCTCTTAACAATTTAACATCGTAATTAAACATGATGAAGGAAGAACCGTCTACCATAGATCCTGGTTGTGTAGAGAGAGTTGTCGGTTGTCACATCGTCCATAAGAAAATTATAACCACTCATATTGATTTGAAATCATCATTTGTAGAATAAAAAATTCATATTATTATTTTCTAAAAAGTGTATTAGACAACAACAACAACAAAAATGAAGTTAGAAATAAATAAAATTTTGAAATGACCATATTTTTAAAAAAATTGAACTAGGCTTTTTGTAAACAAATAGGAGTAAATTTTTTTTTAAGAGACTCGTGTTAATAGGTACCAAACTTTTGAAAGAGTACGAAGTTATGGTGCGGGTCAAATAGACCATACAAACATGTTCAAAACAGTATATTGGAATGTATATGTGTTCACAACGAATGTTCTAAAAGGTTACAATGTTAGTAGCAAAAAAAGTTTGGTGTATTGCATCTACTACATACCGTCGATCTTGTATAAAGTAGAATAATCCGATGATTGGAATTTGTAGTTGGTTTTTAGCTAAAAAAATTGTAATTCGTTTTTAGCTAAAGAATTTGTAATTCTAAGTTAATTGTATTAGTATTGTCGTCATATTATAATCGAGTGTCAAATGTATAAAATAATATGCTTATTGATTAGTTCAATAGTAAATATTTTGCATTTCATTAATTAATGAGATTACAATTTTCCTTTTTCTATAAGTTTTATAACATATGGAACATGTTTACAAGCACTTCTATCTGTTTCAATAATAATTCCAACCAAAACTGAACAAATGTTGAACCAAATATATAGGTGAGTAACGTAGACCAAAAGAGACCTAACCAGTAACAATTGACTTGAGTAAATGAAATGTCAGGTGTCGTGGTTGAGTTTGAGTTAAAGTTTTGTAATCAAAGGTCTCCCAATGACGAGACTCTATAGTCTGAAACCTATCTTTATTATGCAATCAATTCGTGTCACATAATTTCAAATCATACAAAATGTTGTAGGCTCTGTATAATGAATGTTGATTCGAACATTATGTTATATAATAATAGCTAGAATGTTTCAACATCTTAGACCAAAACTACATAATTTCTCAAAAAGTTGCAAAAAAGTAATATGCTAACACATTTTCAAAAACATGTTGGCCAATGCATATTCAGTGGTTCCAGCGGTCCATTGGTGAATACACATGGCAAAGTGATAACCATTGTGTTCGGTTCTCTATCTCTGGCTAATCTCAATGCATATCATTTGGGATTTCGTATGAAGTGTTTTAAGTTTGAATTGGATGACGAAGCGTGATTAAAAGAAACTTGAATGATATATTTTGAAATTAATTTTTTCTGTTTTTTATGATTTGTTTTGGGAAATAACTTTACAGATTATATAATGTACGTAGAATAATAGAAATTTTCAAAAATCTCGTTTAAGTATATCTATTATTGGCTAAATAAAAAAACACTATGTCGGCTAAAAAGAAGAAGAATAAGATTATTTCAGTCCATCAGGCCTTGAAACACTTGCACTTGTTAAAATTTCAACTAAAGATTACTTTAGCCGATTCTTCCATTGTGCACTTTCTCAATTACAAAGAACTATTGGAATCTACAATTATATCATTGATTTGCCTCCCAAAACTGAAACTTTATATTCTAACTTGTGAACAAAGCTTATATACCCAAAATCATAAATATATGAGATATAAACACAATACATGAGAAGTTGAAACAAGACAAACGTACAAAACCAGGAAAATAGCAAAATCGTAAGACCCTCTAAACCCACTTATAGATTCACATTTTCTCCCCTTTGCCTGCTTTTTTTTTCTTATTTCTTTACAGAGAAACCCCCCCCAAAAAGAGACCAAAAAGTTTTGAGAGATCAAAACAAAAAGCTGAAACATTTTACAGCTATGACATTGCATTTTGAACTTTTTTTATAGTTTTCATCTTGGCTTCGGTTGAGATGCAAATGACAGCAAGGGCTGAATGAGTCTATGATGCGAAGTAGCTTGAGATCGGTGTAGCATCTCAACCATTGATGGAGTCTGGTAATAAGCTTGGACAAAGCTTGAACCATCTCCTGATTCTCCTCTCGATGTTGCTCTTTGCCATGAGTGTGAACTTAGTCCAGAGAGAATGTAAGCTCTTCCTGATACCTCGTAGACATGCCTACTCGCCATTCTTTCTTGCATTTCCTTCAGCTCTCTGTCTAAAGCCACACAAAACCCATCATTCGATCTTGCCGACACCGTCTCACCCAAAACCTGTCTAAAATTCTGTATAACGGTAACAGCTGCTGCTAAATCTTCTCCCTCCGCTAAACCTCTCGCCTTTACCATCGCCTCAGCAGCAAGAAACCTGTTTCTTTGCCTGTCCACTTCGATGGACACAACTGTTTCGTCACCAACGGTTTCAGGTCTTTGAATCTTCAGCACATGACTTTGAAGCGTCACGGTTTCTTTTGTCAACAGATCTTTGTAGACACATCTCATTTTCACAAGCGTTGTCTCGTCACCATCTCTCTGAGCTGGGATGTTGATAGAAATCAAGAAATCCCTCTCTTCATCAGCGTAAAGATCACCTATGTCCACACATCCTGACCGTCCATCACCAGCAACGATGCTCGGGTAGCTCCCGGCTTTTATCGAGCTAAGATGAACATCTGAACACATACCATCGATTTCTAACCGTAGCTCTTGTACCGCAACGCTAAGAAGCCCACCAATGCACTGTGCAAGAGCATCTTGGATCACAGACTCGCTCTCAATGAAAGAGAAAGTTCCTCCAGAGGTTTCAGAGACAGAGTGCATCAGTGAAGCATCATGATCTGATCCGAAACCAAAAGAATGAACCGGGATCTGAAACAAACCGTGCATAGACAATGGAAGCAGCAACTTGTAGTTTGGATCAGCCTGGTTCATGGTATATGTGTCTCGCCCATCAGACAAAAGGATAATGCTAGCGACAGGGTTTTTATCTCTTCGATCTTCCATCACTTTTACACCTTTCCTAAGACCTTCAGCGATGTTAGTCCCACCATTTGCAACCAATGAGTTCACAGCTTGAAGTGCTCTCTGCCTTCCAGCGTCAGACATCTTGGTCAAAGGGAATAGACGACGAGCAGTGGAAGAGAAAGCAATAACCGAGAGCCTATCATTCGAACCAAGGTTCTGAATCACAAACCCCATTGCTCGTTTCAGTAGAGCCAGTTTAGTTCCGGCCATGCTACCACTGATGTCAAGAACCGTGACAAGATCAACCGGAGCTCGAGGATACAAAGAAATCTGATTGTTGAGGGAGTTTGCACTTCCGGTAACCATAGCAGCAGCTCTTAGATGCACCAACACAGCAAACTTGTCACGGGACTCAGCTCGTGGCACAGCGGAAACCTCAGGGTATATCTTCAAGTCCATCATTCTTACAGGATGATGATTGTTCTCCAAAGCATCATCACCATAGCTCTTCCCGGAAAATCCAAGCTGCTGCTCTAGCCGTTCATCGTCATTGAACACAGACGGCTCAGGAGCAAGAACTCGTCCTTGATTGGTGACTCGACGAGGCATAGGTAAGCGGTGCGCGAGGCTAATAGCTGCGTCGTTGTTACAAGGTCGAGCAAACTGATAAGGAAGATCAAAACTTGGGTGCTGCATTGGGATCTCTTTCCATTTGGCACGGCACACTGGGCAGACTTGGTTCCCGTGTTTCACATTCGAAGCAATGCAGTGGAAATGAAACGAGTGAGAGCACTCTGCTGTGAAAATCGCATGGCCTCCTCCTTCTTTCATCTTAGTCAAGCATATAGAACAAGTCTGCTCATCGAAAAGATTTAAGGCAAAGACGCAAAAATATGTGAGTCCAATGTTCAAGAGGCTTCATTAGGAAAAACAAATAGATAAATAAACTAATCAGAGTACTCTTTTAAGACAGTCAATACATCAAGAAACAAACTATCTTAAGCTTGAAACCAAAATTAGCACTTTAGATTGTATAGAGAAATAACAAAGTTTCCCCTTTTATCTACAATGGAAACAAGAAGAAACCAAAAATCAGAGTATTGTATCACGAAACAAACTACAAACATAAGTGTTGGAAAGATCTAAAATGGTTTCTTTTTAAGGATTTCTGAAATTCAATGGAGCAAGATCTCTGAGCACCATAGCAACAGAGAAAACTAAAATCAAATTCCAAGATTCCATATTTCCGTTTGCACAAGAAACAATACTGGGAAAAATAAAACCTTTAATAACTAGAGCGAGTTTTAAATTAAGATAAGGAGAAGAAGCTAAAAACAAGAAGAAGACAAACTCATACCCAAAGTCAACTCATATACGCAGAAACAAAAAACAGGAAGCGGAAACAAGATTTGAGAGAGTGGGTCTTGTAAAAGAGCAAACCTTTGAAGATTTAGAGCTGTTTCTGGATAATTTGAGACCGTGAGAGGACGGTGTTGGGGTCATGGGCCAGTTAAGAGGAGAGAGCAGAGCAACATCGGATAATCTCTCCGAGGAATTCAAAGCAGAGGGTGGATCCTCTAGGGTTCGTGGTAGGTACGTGCAGAGATTGAGACCCAGAGCCAGTTTCATCTTCCTCCATTTAGTTCCCATTCTTGGGATTGAGCGAGCCTCGAAACAGTAAAAGAGTCCAAAGGAGAACAAACACACGAGAAAACGCAGAGAGGAATTAGAAAGTAATCGAATCAACGAGAGAAGTGTTTCTTCTGATGAGCAGAAGAAGATGAGTAAGTGGAAGTGTGTTTAGTGGTGGTGACGAGAGAGAGAGTGAGTGAAGAAGAGATTGAGGAGGCGAGCTTTGAGATTCGCGACTATTTTGACCTTTGTTTTGGGTCTTGTTAATAAATCCAGAAAATAAAAGTAGAAAAAAGAAAAGTGAAACTATAAAGTTAATTAATGCTTCTGCTTTATCCCATTTAAATCATTTTGACCTTTGCTTTGGGTCTTCTTAATAATGTTGTTTTTTTCTTCATTAATTATTGTTAACTATACAAGTATACAACAACTAAATCGTACAGTATAATACATATGGTTGACAAAACCAAAAGATTATCCTGCAAATGTATTTTTTTCAACAAACATTGAATATACATGTTCAAATTCGAATAGTAAACCAACTTGAGTTATGCCTTATGTTTTAACTGTAAATAAATGAGAGATCATAAATCGAGTTTTAATCATTTTGAGCATTGTATTGAAATCTCTGGAACGTTCATTACAAGCATGTTCGGTACTTATTATCAAGAATAGTTGGTATCATTTCTAAAACTCAAAAGTGATATGGATTGTAAAACAAAATCTAGTATATTAGATATGGAAAAGAGAAAAATAACTTCGGGAAGAAAACACAGAAGGTATGATGAGAGGAAGTGAAATGATGAGAGTAATAGAATGATGGAAACAAATTATTTACAATGGTTTTTAAATATTGTTGGTGCGATTAATAATGATAAGTGAGTGTTATTTTGATTTTTTGCACATGACACTGTGATGATGAGGTTTTGGGAGCACACGTGCACTACTACTTCACCTCCTTTTCCACCATAAGCCATAACCCTTAATTTATGCCTTCATCCTGGGAACATTTTATTATTTTGTTTATATTTTGTAAATTTAGAACTTATATTTCAAAGTAAAAACATTATACGTACAATTAGCAAAAGAAACACGACGTTAATAAAGCTAATAACCACCTATATCTACTACATCAATGACCCTTTTAAAATAGTAAAAACTAAAGTTTTTTCGTTTTAGTAAAAATATTTCGAAACCAACCACTAATTAATAGAAATGTGTGCAAGTCGCTCATTGGCAAAAACGTGATAAGGAAAACAAAGTTTCTACTTTATCTCGAACAAAGTAGTGAATTTGTAAAAGTCAATATTGTGGTGCGTCCGTTCGTAAGTGGACCAAAATATATTTTTAGTCGTCTCACTATTGTTATAAATTAAGATCATCGGCAAAATGAGACGACAACAATCATGAGCCACATTAAGTGACGACACACAATAATTTCCATTGATCGATACTCAGCTTTCGTTAGAAAGACTGTATGTCGCTTCTCTGTGTATTAGCTATCCGGGAAACACCAAACAATCGTGGAACTCTAGAGCAATCTCACCTAAAAAGCTCTACATTTTCTATGGCACTAACAAAAATGCTGAATACATAAGTTGGACCCAGGGTTGCTACTTGCTTTGCTTGTTCTTATCAAACTTATGATGAAAACGACTTATGATGCGTACACGGTTTTGATATAAACTATTAGACTACATTACTACATATATCTTGATCACATTCATCAAATGGCAAAGCATCGATCGACACATTCTTGCAACAATCTGTGTATTGGACTGAAATGTTCTATACAATTATTTATATATTTTTTTGCTTAAGTACGGTTATTGCGATGAATACTTGTAGGATTTTTCTAATACTGAGCGTTGTATATCGAAGTTGGAGCCTTGGAAACGTAGCTATCCACTTTTAGAAATTAGGTAGGTGATTGATTGGCGTTAAATATATGATTTTACTGTAACGAATGAAATTTTTAAGAAATGGAAAATCATTTGACAATAGGTATTTTGTTTAAGTCCTAAACGGATTAGACCCTCAACAAAATGATGTATCAAAAGAACTTATGCTCGTAAAATACTAAATTTTTAAAAAAACTAAATTTACAATATTTCTCCAATAAATCATAATTATACAACCATTATACCAGTTTATTCATATTTTATTCCGTATTCTTGCTGGTAGATTATAACCAGTTTGAAGAGAAGTCAGAAATTTACTACTTAACAATTGTTCTTTATATACTATACATTTTCTTTTCTTTTTTAAGAAAAGGGCTTATACTACGTACTATATACATTGATATCTAAATTTTATATAAAATTTTGAAAACCAAAAATATAAACGACTTCACAAAATATTCTCATCGGGGGAGTCGTCTTCTTTTGTCAAACTCGATTAATGAGAATATTTGTTTGTATTAAAGATTTAGAATTACTAACAACATATAAAACACGAATATATAGGTCAATTTTGTGTATCCAAGAAGTGTCGTGTGTGTCTCGGAGAGATTTTCGAAGTGTTTTGGTTTTTGTAAGCTTGTCGAATAATGCCACACAAAAAGCTTTGAAGGACGTAAGCCGAAGGGCTCGAGCGGTCAATGTTATTTGGTCAAACACACCTAACGTTAGCAAAATCCTCTCCCAACATTATTCTCGGATGGCTAATCTTTTGACGTTAACTTCAACTTTGCATTATTAAATAGAAACATATCTTTAAATTTCCAACTGCATATAAATGTATATTAGTATAAGATTGTATTGGTCCATTTATGTTTTATTGTACCTGAACCTAATGATTAACCATGGATATTACTTGCGTTAAAGGTCAAACGTGATGTGTATAGATCATTTATGGACGGAAACGATCATGACGACGTTAAAAAGTGGCATCATATAGGAAAATCGATATGATAGCATGTGGAGTATTATGGAGTCACACAGTCACGATTTATGAGAATACATGTATGTAATACTCCAAATTCTATAAATAATGCTTGTTCATGACATAATATGTATTATAAGATTTCATCAGAGTATTTTTATATAACAAATATGCAGTTTTCTTTTTCAGAGCCTATTCTTTAAAATTCGACTGTTTATTGTGTTTACTTTAACCCGTATAAAATATAAATATGGATGACTTACTAGAGAACACAAAAATTATCAGTACACTTTTCAAAAGTTTTGAAAAACAAACTCGATCTTAGTGATATGCATGGCTAATCGACAAGTCTTGTAAGTTTTCTAGAGATTATTTAGTAAACCAAAAAATACGAGAATATATAGTAAAAAACAGTCGAAATATTAGACGGGAAAATTCATCATATAGACCATTTGGAAATTTGGAATCGCCCAAGAAAAATGACATGACGTAGCTATGGTGTTGTATTTAATAGTTTGCAGTTACCAACTTGGATACATCAAATTTCAAAAAATTAAAGGCACCAAAAAGAAAAGTAGAGAAAAGAGAAAAGTTTGAGCGAAAAGCAAGAAATGAAATAAAATAGTTCATGAAGATGAATATTTGCTGATATCGGAGGAGGAGCATTTTGTTTATCAATGGCATTTGTCTGTTCCCACTACCTTTTTATTATCTTTTGTTCTTCAAAAACACTACTTTTTCTGAAACCTTTTTAAAAAAAAGGATGGCACAAAAACAAAAATGCTCAAATCTCTTTGCCAATTTCATTTATACCTTCATTAGAGATTGATGTTTATACGTCAAAGTTTGGAGGATATCAGTCTCTAGACCCAAAAAAAAAAAAAGACAGATCAATTTTCATCTACAAAACTAATCACCAACTTGTCAATTATTTCCGAATTATAATGTATTTAGTTAAAATTCAGGAAAGTAGATCAAATTAGGAGTTATAACGTAGCAAAGTGCCAAAGTATAGGCCATGCATGGATCCATTTTCGTTAGACATATATACTTTCTTTGGCCACATCATAATTTACATAGCAGTTGTAGTTGTAGATCTTGAGCTAAGTCTAAGCTATGGCTTAGAATAGTCCAATTATTAAAAAAAAAAATATTGGTAATAACTTGCATTATTTAACAAGAAAGAAAAGCTTTATGTGGTGAGCAATAATAAAGAAGAGATAATCAAAAGGTGTGTTCATTGAGGTGGAGGATAGGATTCCCTTTGTGTCTCTTTATGTCTCCGCACTATTTCTGGCCTAAGTCAACCGCAAAAGCTGAACTCTTTTTACTATCTTTATTATTGTTTTTCGTCTTCAACAACTAATCCACTTTGTTGGCAGCCTCCTTGCATTTACATGTGAGAGAACCAGTTCAAAATATTTGGTATCTTTGCATGATTACTATTATATATATATATATACTTACTTATATAGTTCTATTTGATATATGCATATGCAAAACCTATACTTCTAAAGTAGATATTAAGGAATTTGAAACTTCTACTATATCAGTCGTAAGTATTCATTATATACTAAATGGGAGCTTTGGTGTATAGACAGCTCTTATCATCAGCTTAAATTGATACATAAGACACAAAAATGATTTCGCTGTTCATTCACGTTTTTCACTCATTTTACGGTTTACTTCAGAAGAATTGTCATCAATAATCAAAATCCTTGATTACAATATTCTTTTTACGTTCATGTCAGATTCTCTAAAAGTCATATAAATCAGGGTTTTGTAAAACTGTTTCCTGAAAAATTAACCTCTTACTTTACAAATGAAGTATACTCTCACTTCACTATTAAGTTCTATAAATTCTTCTGTGCTTTCTTACCTTTTTGTTTGCGCTAAATATGTCACTACTCTTTGCCATAAGCTGTTCCCTGGAGACGCATGTCCTCCTGTCACTCCTGCGATTCTCTCGGCCACAGGACTCATGTCATGAACAAATTTCACTGATTCAGATAGTCGGTTGAGCAGATTCATCAGCGCAATCACTTCATTCGTTTGCAGTTCGAGCTGAAAAAGAAAACCATAGAGTCAATATACAGTGCATCAGATTTCAAAAACTGGACGGTGTCTCTCTCTCTCCAGGTGTGTTTTGTGAGTATAGGAACGCACATTATGACGCAGATTGTCTTCACCGTTGACAGTGAAAAGGATTTTCAACGCAGTGCCGAGGCCAAGAATCTGGAGTTTTCCCCATAGACGACATTTCTCACAGCCTACGCAGTCCATTATCGCACTGCAAGGACATCATCAAGAAAAATATAAAGATTCAACTTAGCTAGTCAGTAGACAACTTGATGAAAAAGATAAAAAGAAGAAAAGCTAGTTAAGGAATCAAGAAGGACCTTATGTTTCTGAACTGTTTTTGTGTTTGTTGTTTCAGCTCTGGTCCACGTTGGCCTTTCCATAGCTTAGCTTCATCAAATGGTAGTGGACAAGCTGCTTTGGTTTTGGGGTCACTAACTAGTTGTTTCACCAGAGATTTGGTCTTCAAGTCCTCGATGACATTACCAGTCTCATATTTAGCCTCTCCCAAGTAATCTTCTGCCTACAAACCATGAAGGTGAGGGAAGAAACTATTTGTGATTACTCTAGACCACTGAGCCCCATTCTCCTTGGACTCGGGTAAAGAAAAGTGATTAGTAACTGACCTTTGTTACTGCTCTGAGAACAAACAGAAATGTGAAGTATAGGTTCCGAACTCGATCAGGATATCTTAACACACGATCATACAACAAGGTCAGGTTTTGACCCCACTGAAACAACAACAACAAAAAAGAGATAGCTGGATCCTTTTGTAGTTCTGCTCAAGAAACATATATTGCGGGATGAGTCACATTCATGAGGTAGATCTTACCATGTTTGTAGCTTCATCAAGTAAATAGTCTGATGCTATATGAACTGAAATAGATGAATGGATACCAGAGATCAATTTGTACAACATCTTTTCTTCTTGGCACGACTGTTCAGATGTATCTACTCATCACATATAAGCCAGTATAATTGCAGGGGTTAGAAATCCATATGAATTGATCAGCCACTTGGAGAATAAAGGTACAAAGAAACAAATCGAGAAACACAAGAATGGTATAGTGAAGCTTACATTTGGGACAGTTCTCAGAGTATATAGCATCCCATATCCTTCTAGCTGACGGGCCAATATAGCCAGTGTACCGTTCAGGATTCAGCCGAAGATTAACATATGTCATTTCATCTGCAACCATGCATTAGTTCATCAAAAAGCCGCATCTAACACAATGTGATTCAATGCTAAAAACACCACTTGTTACACAGTCTCATGCCAGAATGTAAGTACTGGATGCATAGAACATACACAAGAATTAAACAGGAAAAAGATGAATGAGATTGTGAAGGAAGGTTAGGTAGACAGACCATTGTCAGTTTCATCATCACTTGTCCAGGGATTGTCTGTGACCGTCCAGCCCCTGAAGGCCCTCGTGTCTACGGTACGGTCAACAGCAGCTTGCGGTTTCCCTTCTTGACAAACAGGATTGTCTTGGCTCAATGGCTTCTTAAATGGCTCAGGGAACTCGCTCTCAGGACATTCACAAACACTACAGTCTCTTAACCGGCACATGCCATCATCAGGCCAAAACGGGCAATCACACCACAGCTTAACCTAGTAATAAATGGATTCAGAGCTAATCATAACTTCAGAAGAGACACCTCCAAATTCTCTATCTAATCGCAGAGAGACAAAGATCATCACTTGTTTCATGATCAAAGAAAGAAGAACAACAAACCTTAAAATATCGGTAAAATGGCGTCTTAACAAGGTCTTGAAGCAATGGATGCAACACTTCCATGTTCAGCCGATTCACAGTATCGTAATCACAACAACAGTCTTCGACCATCCCAATGTACTTCTGCTGCTCAGCCTAAAATCAAATCAATATGATTGAGAAACAGAGGAATCAAAACCAAATCAAGTAATAAATAACATAAGAAAACGTAATCCCAATAGTCCAGAGCTAATCTCTTTACACAAACACTGTAGCCTAACCTAATCATGAACTCAAAGTAGACGAATATCGATTCTCGCTATCCTAATTTCCCAGTCAGAAACTAACAAGAGCGTAAAGAGATACATAACCTGACGGCAATTGCATATTTTTCCGGTAATCTCATAAACCGACGAATTCTGAGTATTCAAAAACACAGCGGCCACGGCGGCTAAAAGGACGGCAGCTATAGCGCTGATCAGCAAAACCAAGCGCCTCGCCGATCCTTTCTCCTTCCCCTTCACGTTTCCGACGTCCGACTCCGCCATTCTCCCAATAGCAAACGGACTAAATCAACGGTAAGAGTAAAGTCTCTGTTGGGTTGCTGAGAAAATTTGACACAGACGACGAGAAATCTCCGGCGCGGCTTTCTTTTTTAGAATTTGGTGGGCGCTTCTCGTACAAGCAGCAGTCGTCGAAAAAACCAACGGCGATCACAAAAAGTCATCTGATCCAACGGGGAGGATGCCTATTTAATATCTTCCTGATATCTATTTCATTTATATTAGATTAATGTTCATAAAGTTTGATTATTTCTCTACTCCATTTTCATTGTCGTCACAGTGCAAGTTCTCTGTAGCAAAGTATTGTACAAAAGACTCTGCTTTTGTTTCCAAACAAATGTAATGATGAAACAATTTGGTTGATTAGGTTGCGTCTTACTCGACGAAGGAGAATAAGAAGTGTGTACAGTTTTGCAAATCCGGACTAATAACTACAAGAAACCGAAAACACTTCTTTTTCATTCATTCCTGCTTCTATGAAACCAAAAACATTCCCTTTTCTTTCATCTCTGCTTCTGTTTCTTTGCCGTGTTCACAGCAGAAGAATCGCATGGCCTGGCTGATTTGTTAGAACAAGGTTTCACAGTCCCTCTTTGATCATCATTCCCCTCTTTAGCGTTCAGTATCTCCATGATCGATCTCGCCTTTCTTGGCTTCGTCTGCTCCTTAGTTCCAGCTTCAACATCTTTCCTTGTGTTGTTGTTGTTGCTGTTGTTGTTACAGGGCATAATAACCTCATCTGTCTTCTTGCCCTTGTCTCTTGGCTGTGAGCTTTTGATGGCCGGAGAAGCATAGCAGTTGCGATCTATGTTTCCCCATCTGAACATGGAGCTGAGTTTGTGTAGTTCCAACGCCTCTACGAGAATATTCAGCTCATCGATGGTGTGCCTATAAAGAAAACTCTTCCCGTCACAGGGACAAGCACAGAGATTCCTCATGTGGCTCAGACACGAGTAACGATCCGCGGAACATGAACACTGAACAGCTGAAAAATGCAGATCCGCAAAACATACACAGCACTCCCTCTTGCTCACATCATCATAACTCTTGTCCATCCTCTGCGATTTCAGTGAATGACTAAGGAACTCGCGTCTGCTTTTCTCCTGCTTGACCCGTGACTACATAATAGAGAGACAAACAAAACCAAAAGGCCGTGAGCAAGTGCCAGATTTTTGGTGCGTGATCTGAGAAAATAAGATATGCAGAGAAAAGAAACAGTGAGCATACCTTAACAATGTTGGAAAACATCCCCTCCTTGCCACAAGAATTAACCCATCTCATACTGTCTGCTGTTTTTTTCTTGGACAGAGAATATTCCTTAAGGCATTTCACAGCTTCTCTTGCAGCTGCCAGTAATAGCTTATCATACGATATTAACGACCTTCTACACTTCTCTTGATTCTGCTGAACAGCGATATCCCCGTGGGGCAACCAATCAACGAGAGCAAAGTTTGCTTTCTCCACACAGTTAAAGCCACAGTCAACGGCGGAGTAGTACGACCCTGGAAACAGAATCACATACTGGCCAGGGTTCTGGACACACCGGGTCACCGGAATACCCTCCATGCTCAACACATATGGAGACATTAACATCCCCTGCCAAATGAATTGTTTCTCTTATAAGATGAACCGCAACAATGAGTATACAACAGCTCATTAAAAGTCATTAAAGTTGTGATAGGTTTTGCTTTGAACAGATAGTTCCAAATACTATGTAATCTCTCTTTGGCATGCCATGATCGTCAGATTTCTTTCTAAGTTTTGAAAAGAGTAACTTGCATTGATGCTTAATCTGTTTAAAAGTACTTACAGGATCATCGCTCACCTTTGACTGTTCTCCAGACATCCCAGGGATCAAGCTCTTCATGGTATCCCTAAACTTAGAGCGATGACATCCTGCTACAGAATACCACACTCTAGGAGCGCCCATATGCAAATAGCAGATCAAGTACAGTCTCTCCTTTTCAGATTTCTGTTCAGCAACAGATATTCCACGAGACAATTATAAGATTATACAAGCAAAATTAGACTGCAAAACTCAAAATGGTATTTATAGCTTGATATCAACTTTAAAACTTACCCACAACTGGGAAGACAAGCACATTCCCACACTTAGGCGAGGGACACAAATTGATTCGCAGTCTTCAAACGACAGAAGAGAGCCAGGATGCTTAGCTGTGCTGTTCAGATTCCAACCTGATGTTTTGTAGTTGCAAGATTCATATGGTCCAGGTAAAGGAAATCCACTGCCAAACGTCGTGGTGTCTAGATCATTGCCATAAATCACCTAAATTTACACCACGAGTTAGCGATATAACCAATGAAATCATATATAAAAAGCAATAGAGTTGATTCTAACATTACCCCCATTTCAACAAGTGGACTCTCAACAAGTTGTCTATACTCTTTTTCAACGTCCGCCATGGTTGGCTCTGGTTTCAGTGATGGGGATGAATTTTTGGAACCCAAAACCGCATCCTTTACGCTAAAATGCCTATTCTTGTATGAATCTGCAAATTCCTTAAAGCTCTTCAAAGTGTGCACAGAACCGCGCTCTGTTCTACGAACCTTAACCTTCTCAGATGTATCACTATCCGCATCAGGCTCCGTTTTAACCATTGGGTCCTCGGCATGATATCCATCAAAGAGCTGAACTTGAGTGACAAATTTGGAAGCCTCCCATATTTTCTTCTCCTCGAGAAGACATGGAGGTTTCCAAGAAGGAGGAGGAACAACACAACAGATTCCATAAGGCTCAGCTTTGTCACGCAAGCTTGCAATGTATGAAAAGGTGTCACTGAATTCCTGATTGATTCAGTAATTGTAGGTTAGAGAATAAGAAAAATATATTCCTCTTCAAGCATAAATGCTTGTGTAAAGCAGTTTAATACCCTAATTATCTTTTCATAGAGACAAAGCAAAACTAACCTCCTCGGTTGGGTTTAACACAGGAGCTTCCTCAAGGACTACGTTCTTGGAGAATCTCGGTAGCCGTCTTGGCCGTGCCTGTGAAAAGAACTTGTAAATACTCAAACCTACACTCTCATACGTCTAAATACATCGTAAAGCTACCTAAATCAGCACATCAAGCTCCAAGGTGTTCATAATAAATCAACTAAGTAAAGCTTAAAGTAAGTAAAACCACAGGGATATGAAATCCACAACAAGAAAACTTCTGGCTTTACATCAAGTCTAGTGTCCATTAGTAGCCATGACTTAGCACACATTCTAGAAAATCTCCACTTCAGAAAATGACTGTGATAGACACAATATAAGGAAACATGTCCACATATATACATGTGACTAGCTTCACCACAAGAGCATAATAATAAGAAGAAGAAGAAAAAACTAGCCTATATGGAAGAAAGAGAGTTATGAAAACCTCGGGTTTCATTGGCGTTGAGGTGGGAGCTATGTGATCATGCACTATCCACGGTCGGCTTGCAAGAAACCTCTTGAGACTATCTGCATCATCTGTACCGAACCCAGTTATCTGCTCTGGTCTCGGAACCGACCTGGAACCTTCTCTGTCTACGTGTGCCTTCCTCAGCACAAACCTTGTTTGAGATTCAAAACCTGGCGGAGGTGACAACTTATCCATACTTCCAGATTTTGAATATGTGTGCACACTTTCAATGCCCATTAAACAACCTTACAAGCCACCCAAAAAAAAGATTTATTTTTCACGGAGAAGAAACAAAATCGAATTCCAGAGGAGGTCTCAACAAAGCTGCAACTTCCTGCAGACGATGAAAAAAACTCTAATGTCAAGTATAAACCGATGGGTGTTGAAAAAAAGATTGCATTTCAGAAGATTCAATTATGTAGAGAACAATAATCTGTGGTAGATAGATAGTTAGATCATCTTTAGCACCAATATTAAACATCACAAAAGACCACAGAAACATATTCCTAGGTTACAATATGACCAAATACCATTCGATAGCATCTAAACTTTCAAATTGTTGACGATGCGTCGTTCTTGTTTACTCAAAAGTATCATTTTCCACACTAAATCATTCTTGATTCATCAAGGAAGCTCCTTTCTAATTACAGGATGTGATCCAAGATACGCAAATCATTAACTTGAATTAAAACGCTTCTCGTAAAAAAAATTGGATCTTGGGAGACAAAATCTAAACAATTTTGGGAGACGAGAAAGCTAAAATCGAAAAGTCCGAATTTTTCAGATGAGAAGAAATTAGAACACATACCCAGCCGAACTGAGATCCGAAAGACTTCCAGACATTACCGAAGCAATTGCCTCTGGAGTTTGTTGATCGATAAAAGGAATAAATTGGGTAATATCTTTTTCTTCTACTTGTTACTGTAACCTAATTTCCCGTCGTAAAAGACACAAATCCTGTTTTCTACAAAAAAAAAAAAAAAAAAAAAAAAAAACTCTGAATAAAAAAAAGTCGCACTTTTATTTTATTGAGAAAAATCGTTAATGTGTATATATATACTTATATAGCATTTACAGTATATAGATTTGGTTCCATATTTAACATTCTTGTTTCCTTAACTGAAAGAAACTTGTAGTCTGTATCTCTTCATATTATGGGTGGGTGTTAGGAACATTAATTAAAATATAATTATATATTACAAAATTAATTAATTAATAAAAATAAGCAAAGTAGCATGATTCTTTTGAAGATTTATAAATTCTCATCTACGAGCATATTATTGGCCAAATATAAGAAAACCCTCCACAGGACCACAGAGATTAAGCCGTAATGAGATTAAGCTAGCCATACGTAAGAACCTAGATAACCTTAAGTGCTTAACTAACTATGTGATACACCAACAAATGAAAAAAACAAGCTTGAAAACATTAAACCATAATGTATTTTAGTGAGAAGTATTTGTATTCTCAACTTCCCCACAACGTACAAATTGTCATTTGACATTGCTGCACAGGTTTTAGAAGTCTAAAAAATCTTTAATTTAGGAATCGACCAATTAAGCTGAGATCAGCGATCATATTTGAAATCGATCAATGCAAATTTTGATTTCTATAGCATTTAAGCATCAAGGGATCACACAAAGAACAACTTGAGTTGCTAGAGATCGACAAGAAGAAAAGAAAAGAAAACAATTACAAAAGGCGTATTATCCACCTAAACTATTGGGACCGTTCTACTATCACTGTTGCTGTTCTCATTCTCTTCATTTTCACCGGACATTTCCTCCAGCGATTTCCCTTTAGATTCAGGCACCAAGAAAGTGAAGAGAATACCCAAGAAGTTAACCACACCTAACACGATAAGTGAGTTCCTGACCCCAATCCCTGGAGGGTATCCTGCATCCGTCTTGGTCTTGTCTGGACTCTGCGCCAAGTACAAGAACCCAAACGCACCAACCATCGCTCCTAGCTTGCCTGATGCTGCCGATATACCATGGCATGTGGATCTGAACCTCGCCGGGAAGATCTCAGCCGGCACAACGAAGGTCGTGGCATTGGGTCCAAAGTTGGCGAAAAAGAATGTTAAGGAGTACATGACAACGAATCCGATTCGGTTCTCCTTGTGAGTCCAGTGGTTGTAAGGAATCGCCAGAGCAAACATAAAGACCGTCATGAAGAAGAATCCCATAATCTGAATCGCAAATCTTCCAATGACGTCGATGAACGCAACTGTGAACCAGTAACCAGGCACCGTACTACACAAGGCGATGAGGGTTTGAGCACGAGCGATCTTGAAAACTTCTTGAATCGCGTTCATGGTTTGCGCCGGAGGAATCCACCCGATCGCGCTGAAAATATCCTTCTGGAAAAGGTTTTGACTGTAGAAAGCGATGTCGAGAAGGAACCAGGTTGATGTAGTTCCGAGCAAGTGAAGCCCATGGCGTCTCATGAACTCCTTGGAGAACAAGGAAAAGGCTTTGGACTTGTCCTTTGAGGTCTCTTCCACTTTCTGCTGTTCTGGTTCTATCTCCATTTGCAGAACCCTAGACATGTCTGAAGCCGCTTGCTTTGCGTCCTTAGCAACCAAAGCTGTGTATCTTGCGGTTTCTGGCATCTTCGACCTCGAGTAATACGTCATTGCCGCAGGGATAGCACCAACCATCAAAATTATACGCCATACCAAATCAGCTTGAGGAACCGTGGATCCCAAGGCATCCTCCGAATAGGCAGGAGCAGGGAACTTAGCTTCGAAGGCAGAGGAAATAATAATAGCGAAAATGCCACCAGCCATGATCCCGAACCCTTGCATGGCGAAAACCGCAGCGATGAACGCGCCACGAGTCTTCTTGTTAGCGTACTCAGACATGATCGTTGCGGATAAAGGGTAGTCACCACCGATCCCAAACCCAAGCCAAAACCTAAAGAAGCAGAGCGTGGCCATCACAGCTTTTGGCTCGTGCCCGAAAGAGAGACCAGAGGCTACGGAGCAGAGGACCATGACCATCAACGTCATACCGTAAACTTTCTTCCTCCCGAGCTTGTCACCGAGCCACCCGAAAAAGAGCTGACCAGCGAGCGTGCCACAGAAGGCTACACCGTTGACTGCGGCGGCAACATTGGGAGGAAGAGTTCCAGGTTTCTGAGAGCCTTCCACGTGGTAGTAAATACGGCCGAGGAGCTTCGTGACGAGAGAGATGCAGAAGAGATCGTAAGCATCGGTGAAGAATCCCATTCCAGCTATAATGATCGCCGTGAAATGGTACCATTGCGTCTTCGCAACATCAAGTGCGTTCAACACTTGTAACTGATCCCTTGCCATTCCTCTTCTCCTCTGTAATATCTATCATCCAACAGAAAGAGAAAATGTAAATTAGTAACCTAACTTTGATTAACATTTTTGAACGTTATATAAGATCGACCCATGAATCCTATCAGAAATACATTAATTTGTGTGATCTCTTACATAGAACAAATTCTCTCTCTGAATTTTACTAACAAAAAAAAAAAACTCTCTCTCTGAACGTCGTAGACAGTTTGCGTTTTATTTCTATGAATCCAACTAAACAAAATTCGTCGTTGAAATAAAGGATTTTGTTACAAACATTGAAACAGTTACCTAACTTGGAACTAAGTTAGGCAAATTTAAAAGAATACAGGACTAAACATTTAAACCCCACTTGAAAGTTTCAAGCCAATTAGCAAATTTACATGTCTATATTTTATTATATAATTTATATGAAGTAACTTTCAACAAGAGGTTCGCTTTTTGTCTATATGATGTTTTATAATTTTAAAAGATTTAAAGCAAGAAAATGAAATGATTATAAAAGTCAACTCCAATTATTTCTCAGAGATGACAATAGAAAAAAAAAATTTTATGTGTAACTCATAATTCAAAAATATTGATTCCGTTTTATTTTATTTTTCTGTTTCTTCACCCCAACATAACCAATTCTTTAAAAGTAAACGAGGAAATGGAGGTCCACATAATATTTATATGAGTTTTTCAACGATTACTATTTTGTCTTTACTATAGAGTTACCCACAAAGGTTGACTTGTGACATATGAATCTGAACACGCGGCTGCAAATGCTTAAGTGAGAGTAATACTTATACAGCGAGTTGTGTTTGTCTTAACGAAGAAATCATATTTTTCGTTTTTATTGAAGTAAAAAAAATTCCAAGCCTTTTGCCATTTCCCGTTAATTAACTTGTTTGTGAATTATGATGCACTAAACAAACAAACAAAAGTCTTCTAGAAATGGAGAGCTAAGATCCAACAAAATACGTTTCAAGAGAACTGATCCTAATCATTGATCCAAGAAAGTTGGAAAACCAAAATTGATCCAAAATCACTACTGATAAGACCAAACAGAGATCGAAGAGGCAGAGAGGTCAGCCACATAACTAACATCATTTTTGCATCCATAGAAGAAAAGAACAAAACAGAAGATATCAAATTATGCAAAAACATAAATTAGAAGAAAGACTTACATGAATATACTACAGGGTTCTTCTACGTGTGTGGGATCTGATCTGATCAAGAACAAGTGTTGTAAGTATATTAGTCAGAAGAGTGTAGAGAGAGAGGATTTAATTTTCCTTTATTTCTGAAGAAAACGTAGAGAGAGAGAGAGGAAGTGGAATGAGCGTTGAAGCTGCCGATGAACAAGGGCATAGTGTAAGCGTTTTGAAACGACCATTTATAAGCAACTCTATATGAGATATTCCATTTCTATTTCGGTATATTCTCTTTTTCAACGGCGCCGTTTCACTATTTTCAATATTTTTAACCAACTTTTTTTACTTCTTTTTAGGACAGGCTGCTTTTGTTTTGCTGTAATTATTCTTTTATCATCTAAAAAAATAGCTGTTCCACTAATATAATAACTAGTTATTGTTCTTTTACTCATAGTTGACCATGAATTGTTTTTTTATTTATACGGAGCTTTAAATGCCTGGAAAATGCAAAGATTTTTAGTTTTAGGATATTCGCCATTTAATACAATCACCTATTTCCCTGGCATGCAATCTAGGGAGAAGTTTACTCAAACTTTATCAACAAAATATGTAAATAATAAGAAGTCAAATGTGGTAACTTCTTAAACAAAAGTAATAAAATGAATCCAATTGAGAAGTATGAACAAACTTTTATCATGTATAAAATTAATCTTCTGTTAGTCAAATTCAAAATCATCACTTAACAATTATTCCTGTTTTTTAATAACACGTTATCT